ATTTGATCCCCAATTTGTACTTGATAAAACCTTTAGTAATTAAAAGCTTTTAGGCATTTAGTTTTCAAATGTTTAATATGTGGTATAAAAGAAAGATTTTTATCAAATACAATTCCTAAAAACTTAGTTTCATCAACTACTGGAATTTTAGAACCAGATATGTAAAGTTCAGGGTCATTGTGGTGTTTCCGCAACCGACAAAAATGAACACATTGAGTTTTTGACTTTGAAAATTTAAAACCATTTTCTATTGCCCACTTTTGAATTTTATCTAAATTTTGTTGAAGTTGCCTTTCAATTATTCTCATACTATTCGATCGATAGCAGATAAGAAAATCGTCTACATGCATATAGAGAACAATCTATGCCTGGTGTAAGAGCTCTAGCAATATTGTTTATTTTAAGTCCAAAAAGTGTAACAGCTAGAAAGTATGCTGCCTTGAGGAACACATTATTCTTGTTGATGGTCCTCAGAAAAAGTTGAACCAAGTCTTACTTTAAAGTGCCTATCGTTTAGAAATCCAGAAATGAAAAGAGGAAGTCTGCCTTTAAGTCCAGCATCCTTTAGATCTTTTAGGATACCATATTTCCAAGTTCTATCGTAAGCCTTCTCAAGATCAAAGAAAATTGATACCAGGTGTAGTTTATTTACAAAGGCTTCTCTAATAAAAGTTTCAAGTCGTACAAGATGATCGTTTGTACTTCGCTGTTTGCGAAAACCTGACTGAAAATTAGTGATAGTTCCATTATTTTCTAGATACCAAACTAACCGATTATTTATCATTCTCTCGAATGTTTTGCAGAGGCAGCTTGTTAGTGAAATTGGACGATAGTTAATTAGTAGGGTCGGTTGAATCTTTTCCGGGTTTAGGGATAGGAATAACCAACGCATTTTTCCAAGTGTTGGGAAATTTACCAGATACCCAAATTTTGTTAAAAATTTCAAGAAGCAAGTCAAGAGATTGGGGTGGTAAATGTTTAAGAAACTGGTAGTAAATTTCGTCCGGGCCTGCAGCACTATCTTTTGCAGTTTTGATTGAATAAATTAAGTCATCAATAGAGAAAAGGGAATTATAGTCTTCATCGTTTGTTGAAGTAAAATTAATATGCTCTTTCTCAGCTTTACATTTATGTTGTTGAAATTCATTTGAATAATTGTTTGAAGAAGAGTTCTTTTCAAAAGTTTTAGCCAAAGTTTCTGCAATATCCGTTTTTGTTTTGGCATATTGGCCATCACCAGTTTTTAAGTGAACAGTTGGACTCTTTTTATACTTACCACTTATTTTTCGTACTGCATCCCAGACTTTCCTAATAGGAGTATTTGAATTAATATTTGAAACATATGATTGCCATGATTGGCGTTTAGATTGACGAATTGATCTTCTAGCTTTGGCTCTAAATATTCTATAATTTTCAAGGTTTTCTGTTGTAGGGCGATGTTCAAACTTTTTAAGTGAAGCTTTACGTATACGAACGGCTTTTTTACATTCATCGTTAAACCATGGTTTTTTATTTTGTTACTTTTATTATTTTTTGTTAATGGAATAACTTTGCAGGCAATCGTATGTAATGCTGAAGAGAACGTTTCAGCTATATCAGCAGAAGTGAAATCAAATTCATTTTTTGTTAGATCAATAGAACAGAGCCTAGTAAATGTTTCCCAATCTGCTTTCTTAAATTTAAAAATTTGACGTCTTTCATCTGGTATAGAGTCATTTGATGTTAGTAACAATGGATAATGATCACTGCCGTACTGGTCATCTAAAACTTTCCAATCGAAGTCCAAGTATATAGCAGAGTGGACAATCGAGAGGTCGATGCAAGAAAACGTACCTGTAGCTGGATGTAAATATGTAGGTGACCAGCTACAGGTACGTTTTCTTCTTATATTTCTACCGCGTTACTAACGCAGTAAGGGCTTATTTTGCTCATTTTGACCTCTTTTTGTTAATTTATGTGGATTGTAAGAGCTGTTTGAAATGTGTAAATTATTTTCTTTGTTCACTTCACAATATTTTACTTTTAAATACATTTTTGAAATTTTCATGAAAAATAGCATGAATCTGCATGGAGGCATGCTGCTTTAAATATTTCCCGCTTATATCAATTTTGAAATTCTACATGCAAACGAATTTTCGGATCATTCACCTATAAAAATTGTTTTAAAAGCAAGGTAAAGTTTAGCTATTTTTAAAGGGATTCCATTGAGTTTTTTTAAAATAACAGTACAGAAGATATTTTCCTGATGAATTTAACTAAGTCCAAGATTTGATCTAGATGTAGATGAATAAGTTTTTGATATATTTGATCTGTATATGAGCTGTTTTTAGTTAAATAATATTTTATTCTATATTTTGTACATGATAAATTTACACAATCTAACATCATTATATTTTAAAAGCATAAATATAATGTACATACAAAAGGGTTGGACAAAAAGTTATACCAACATTATCTAGGGTCCTCCCCTAAAGGTCTGTCTTGTTTGCTTAATGGTTACACAGTGAATTAATCGTAAAAAAAAGAGAAAAAACCAGCCACATTTTTTTAATGTTAACAACAATGTCAACAACATTATACTTTTTTAGTTTTTATTCACGAAAAAATTATTTTTTGTACAGGCAGTGAGCATTAAGAGGGTAAAAACAACACACAGAGCCTCTTTGAGCCCACCTGTTTTCAACGCCAGCCTTACTGTTATGATGCTAGGACCACCAATAGAAAAGGTTAATAGCTATTCCATGGTGAAAATCAGGCACAAGGAGAAACCTAGGCGTAGCCATCCCTAGGCAAAGTCATAAATTAACTGATATAATACTATACTGTTTTATATTTTTGTATGAAATATATTTTTCTGTTAAAGTTATATGAAAAGACAATAAAATTATGTAAATACTGATGTTTAAACTCTCATTAAACATGCATCAAAATACACCATTCCATTGTAAGGTTAAAAAAAATCGACACACCCATCCCCTCAAAGTTGCGCTTACAGAAATTTCTGGGGAAGGCCCTGATAAATATAAAATGCCATTGACAATTTGCCATTAGAATAAACGCACCGAACCTTGATTTGCAACATTTTCTTTTTCTTTTTGATAAACTAAATATGAAAATAAATATAGTACATGCATGTATAAGCATAATTAGGTAAATCTTCTACTACTTTTGATGAAATCGTGCACTTCATGAAATAGTCTTCTGCAAGTCCATTAATACCGTGTAATAATGTGTTACTGCTGAGAGGATGGAATGACCTGGTACTCAAAAAAGTATATGTACATACGTCTTTGCATTGTGTATAATTGACATCGGAAAAAATAGTGCTCCGCATTTTCAATGTCTGCGCCACATTGGCATATAATTAATGGACTTGAAACTAAATGGTTAATAAAAAGATTATTAGTTAAGTTGCTACAATTGCTTCGAATTCGGGTTTGGTGGACATTTAAGAAACGATCTCTGTATAAGAAAAAAGATGGAACTACTGGTGGTTCATATAACTGTTTAATCTTGTTTTTTAAATGTAGCTAGCGACTGTGATTCGCGAAGATTATTCCATAATTGAATAGCTAATGGAATAAGAGATTTTGAGTAAATTTCGGTTCGTCTAGCTAAAGAAATAAAGTCACTATTATTTCTTAACGAATAGTGGTTTTCTAACGCCATCTCGACAGATGTTGGAAAAAGTTGCATAAGATATTGTGGTAATAGATTATTAATATATTTTCCTTTATATACATTAAAAATCTGGAAACAAAGTGATCCCTCGGAAGCATTAATCACAACAAAATTACATGAAAATCTCAGAGTCGGTTTGATTGAGTCTGCACATAAAAAACTAGTTTTTGAATTTGTCGTAAGTGAAACACATCCTATCTATTTAAGTAAATTTTGAATTGATACGGATCTATTTAAACCAGTTACTACGTGAGCTGCTTCGAACTGAATTTTTCTAACGCTTTTATTTCAAACTGTGTACAGTTATCCCATACTATTAAAGATGCATATTCTAAATGTAGACGTAAATAAGATATGTAAATGCTAGTTAAAGTATTTTTTTAACTTAAATTTTAGCATTTTCGTTGAACCAAGAATTCTTGCAGCTTTGGATAGGATAAAAAGATTTTGAGCTCCACGTCCCACGTGTCTGTGACTGTACTGGGCATATTGTGACTATTGGATACTGAATAATGTGAATGAAGTAGTGCTTGTAGAGAAAACAGCAATTCATTTTGATCGTGCATCAGAGATACTTACAATATTTATCAAGAGTTGATTTTTACTTATGACAATCCTACGATTGCGATTGTTAGGTCAGGGTCTTTGATAGATTTAGATCTACACATTCAAATGTGTGTAAAACATGTTAATATGCACTTATCTTATGGGCCAATAGCTGATTGTATAAATGGTCATTTTAGTCAAGCACATTTATACAGTTCAACGATTAATAGAACTTCTATGCTTAATTAGTAATTATAGTTATTTATTAACATCATTAGTCTTTGTCAATGTGCATCCCCATGGTGGGTTAATTATTTGATGAGGCTTTTTTAAAAATTCTATTTCTTTTATGTGCTGTCATTTAAAATGCCTTTGTTGAATGCATATAGTTACTAGTCCTTTTTTTAATTGTGTTATCAAATCAGAATTAGCTTATGTTATCTTATTGTTTTGTTTATGTACATTTAATGTACCGATATTTATTTTATGTAATTGTATGCCTGAGAAGGCCCATGATTGGAAATAAACACTATTCTATTCTATTCTATTCTATTCTATTCATCAAAATTGTTTACTGTTACAAAAGGAAGAAAAAAGTCATCTCACTATATCAGTTTCTATTAAAATAAAAGATGTAATGAATACCTAAAAATAAAGGTGTTTTAAATAGTGAAAACAATTTTTTATTACAACTACACCTCAAAATAAATATTTAGTTGTATAAGACCTTAAAATATTTCACACAATTAAAAAATTCTTACGATAAAATTCCCGCGAAAAAGTTTGCGGCAATTGTCAGCTGTGCAGCAGCCGGACGAGGAAGGTTATCCAAATCACCCAATAAGTCATCCAATGCATAGGTCTACTGTTTGTAAGTGACTGTTAACTGAATATATAAAATCTACGAAGTGATGTTGGCTATTTTATTAAAATCTTTAGTGGCCGGGTAGCCTCATAATTCGGCGTCAATGGCTCGACACATTTTGTTATTTTAACAGACTTTTTCCGTACTGAGTAAATGACAAACCGTTGGAAAAAACCACCGCTCGTCCTAAATTATCTCGATGTCTCTGACAAGTGTAATAAGTTGGACTAGCGACTGGTCGTGTACCATCAATCGGACACTTTCTTAAATATTTCATACAGCTTTCACAATTTTTGAAAATTTGACACAGAAAAGCAAGGATCTTATTCAAGAGATAGCTAGTTTGTTTATATCTGATATTGTTGACACTTCTACATTTATTTGAGCCGTATTGAGGCCTCTATAGGGGGGCATCAAAATTTCCTAAATTGCCCTCACAAGCATGCATGTGTTGGGACAGATATTTATAACTTCATAATCTAATCCAGATAATGGCTTTAGTTTTAATTCTAACCTAAAATACATTATTGCATATGTTACTATAATGAGTAATAGAAATGCGTTTCTTTTTTCTGAATATGACATGCGAAAATCCCGTATTTGAGCAAGTGTGCCAATAAGCCATATTGGCGCACTTGCCAAGTGTGCCAAAATCCCATATTGAGGCTATTTCCGGTTATCACGCACCTGTTGTACAGTAACGGCAGAATGTCTGCGCGTATACACGTAACGTAATTGACAATCGCATCACAAAAAAATGGCCGTCGAAAGGACGTTGAAATCTTGAGCAAATCGCTTGATGGATTTAGATAATATAATCGAACAATACGGACAGCCAATTAATAAATATATTAGAACAATTACGTACGTTATTACTTGATTTTATTCCAGTCTGAAAAACTGCTGTGGAACGATATGCAATAAACAGGTCATAACATGGGGCAAGTGTGTCTTTAGTCCATATTGGCACACTTGGTTCAAAATTGCCCTCGGGCTAAAGCCCTTGGGCAAATACGTCACCAAGTGTGCCAATATGGCACACTTGCCCCATGTAATAACCTCTACATATTCCTGCAGCATATGCTGAAATTTTGATTATTCTATATTAGAGGTGTAACGATTCATCGTTGATCGCGATCTGCCCTGTCCTCAATGTATGCATCGTAATGAAATTACAAATTCTAATATATTGCGATGCAATACATATTTCACCTCCCAATGTATCTATATAGCGGGAAAGTATCGCAATACACTAACAATATCTTCCAGGAAAATAAGGACAAATGTATTTTTTGAAAGACTGAACAGGGTTTTACATCTCTTTGAAATTTTAGGGGTCCAGTGGATGCACAGCCTAGATAAGTAGGGGTCCAGGCCTGAATTTTAGGGGTCCAAAATTACAGTTGACTCTCGGTAACTCAAAATCCAAGGGACTGGGCATTTTACTTCGAGAGAAACGGAATTCTAGTAACATGGAACTACCGCTATTACGTTGACATTCGTACATGCATATACATGTGCCTGATTGAATGTGCACAGAAGTAGGTCTGTTATTGTTGTTAGCGGCAATGCTGCAATATTTAACCATTGAAATGACGATAAATCACTTACAACTACAAATTATAAATGAACAAAAATATATCATTCAAAATTTAATACATGTATATTAATAGTGAAACATAAACACACAATTATATTTGATTTAATTGATCATCGGACGAAAAAAAAAAATTAGCAACTATCGTGAACCGGAAGTACATATTAATGTATGTAATATGATGGAACATTAATTATACAAATGTCATTTACGTTGATAACACACATCAATACCTAGGCTATTATTTGACAAACACCCGTCAGACTGGCACGAGTCAACTGTCTTAAAGAAATGTACATTTTAGTTATCTAACTGTTAAAACCAATTAAGTCCTGAAACGGATTAAAGCCACTTTAACGACGTGTTAATAATACATGATGACCGGCAATTAAAAATTACTATGAAACGTGTAAATCACGAGTGACAACATCTCACCTTGATGTCGCCGACCTTTGATCAGTTGGCTGTTTTCACAATTCGATTAATTAAGATGAAAATATGTTGGACTTTAATTGACGGGACCAAATTTTCTTTTCGACTAAACAGGAGTCTCGGTATGTCAAAAATTGACCTAAGCGGAGTTAAAATACAAAGATAAAGAAGGAAATTTGACGGGACTTTAGAAATTATTCGACTAAGGCGGAATTTTGAGTAAAGCGATTTTGACTTATTGAGAGTCAACTGTATTTTCACTATAAAAGACTATGAAGACCACTCTATTTTGCTTAAAATCATTTATTTACCCTGTAAGAGATATGCATGTATATTGTACTGTTTTCATAAGAAGTATATGATTTCAATATCTTTTATCACTAGGTTTTTTTATAGCCCTTTAGTAGCCTTTTACAATAATATCATGTGCTATTTCCAAGGCTTATAAGTCTTTGAGTGGCTGGAATGTCAAGTTTTAGTAGCATATTTTGTTCCAACAGACTGAAAATTTGTACTGATCTATTTGTAAATATTTTAGCTGAACTAGTAAACACACTATATATAACTTTACAGACCAGTCAGCTAAATATGTTGCATTTTAAAAAATATCATATAACAAAAGGCTGACGAAACCGCTTTTGCACCTCCTCATAAGCTTGGACATACTTGATGTCCCAGTCAAGTTAAGTTCGCCGAAACCATTATATTTATAACACCAATGATAATAACATACCCAGTGACTTAATTTCTATAACACTATGAAAATAAGTTTGCAAAAAGCACTGCCTTTTTTATTATCGCCGTTCATGTACAAAATACATTCGCATCGACATTGGATACGCTAACCAATAGTAATTGCTTGTTATAAATAGTCCGTCTAAATATAGCAACAGAAAAACCAAAAACAGCTACCTAAAATAGATTTTACGGTAAACGTCATCAGTTACTGTAGCTTGCACGATAAACGTCATCAGTTTCTGCAGTGGGCACTTGCTAATAGCATGCGCAGTAGATTTCAATTATGTTAACTTCCGAAATAAACAATGCAAGCATTTTCTGCTCGCTGTATTAGATTTAAATGGAATTTTGTGAGCTTTGAGAAGAAAGAGATAAATCATGTCGGGGCCAGAAACAATAATATCTATTGTCTAGGATTATTTTTGTGCGTACACTTGAACGCAAGTGGATAACTTATATGCGTACATGTCAAAATTTATGCATATAGGGACGCAGAATTCTGCGTCCCGTAAAACCCTGGACTGAAGAAAGAAAAATAGCTCGGATGAAAACAATGAACAAGCGCGACTATTATCATATCATCGTTGTCATCTCGTTTCCCCATGTCCGCAATCATTTAACGGTAACTAACCAAGTTTTATCAATTCCATATAAATGGGCTGGTGTTCTTTGAACTTGTTCATAATAAAAAAAAATAATAATTCGAGATCTATGCGTTTTTAAGAAAAAACAACCTACAAACATGAATTTGTAATTTTATTTAGTCGCACTTGATGTCGGATTAAAATAGTGATGATGACAACATTCCCATGTGATATTCGTCACGTATTTATATTTTCATTTCCGTTGACATCATTTTCCCGTAAAATAACAACAAAACAAACAAACAGAAAACATGTAGACGGCAAAATATTTAGAAGGGGAAACTATAGTTAATCCTCCCTGGTCATACAATTCACGAGTTTTGGGAACATTGTAGTTTTTGGGGAACCAACAGACAGCGTTGTATAATGTGGAAGACCGGACGTGGAGTGTTTGCAAAATTTGCAAACTCAAAATAAAATACGAAATATTGAGAGTGAAACTGATAAACTGTTATTTACACAGTTGTTGACCTAATTGTAAATCACTTGTTACTATTTTTTCACAAGAAAAATCTTTAGTGGTGTATTGTAAGACTGAAATTGTTAAACTGCCATATTTACAGTAGCGGACGTTAGTGTTAGAATAGTAGATATCAATTTGCTGTTATGGTATAATTAACAATACCTTTAATCCTTAAGTAATCAGAAAAGTAAATTTTTGAAAGATCAAAATCGGAAACCAAGTTATAACAACAAGTTAAAGAGTTTAATGTTTTTGTTATTGTAATAGTTTTATATTATATTCGTAATTATGCTGTAAACAAATGGCCAAATTTTTATATACTTAGTCTGAAAGTCAGTATCGTGATTCGTATCGCATCGCAACATAAGAATCGCAATATGTATCGCATTTCTTCAAAGTATACAATACATATCGTGAATCGCATCGTTTTGAAAAACAAATATCGTGATACGCATCGTGACAGAAATAAATGGCAATGCACAGCCCTATTCTATATTGTTTATTCGCTAGAGAAAGAGGTCAGGTATTGCACTTTTGACAGAATTTTTCAACGTCAATATGTTTCTGTAATAGACAAAAAACTATTAGGCTAACATTTAAGAAGGATCAAATCAATTTAATTAATTAATTTTAGATGAAACTTTCATTAATTGTTGATATTAGAGCGGCTAATTTATCGCCAACCACTGGGCAAAGAAAATAATTAATTGGTGTTTTTCATTGGGCTGTCTGCGTTTGATGGTTGTCCAGTTTTGGTGTTTGAAACTAGTAAAGTACCTGTGAATTTTGCACAGGAAACTGAAATTTAAAAATGAAAATTGAAAATCACTGCTTCTGTATGCAGGGATTTACATCAGGCCATCCTTAAAAAAATGTTTGTTTGCAGTAACCCGACCCAGAATTTTCAAGGTGGGTAGGTAGGTCGATTTTTTTTTTTTTTTTTTTTTTTTTTTTTTTTCCCAAATAAACATTGAATTTCAAAATGCAGGACAATATATGCTTTGATAACCTGGTAACAATTAATAAATTGATAACTTAATTCTAATTTAATAAGAACTACATTTTATTTCTTCTATTAACCTTTAAAAGAACGAAAACAAAGCACAAGGCATAATTTTCTGATCAAAAAAAAAAAAAAAAAATTATTCAGACCATGAAAAAAAAATTTGAGTAGGGGTAAATTTTGTGAGTCGGTCGCGTTACTGCAAACAAACATTTTTTTAAGGATGGCCTCAATTTAAATTTCCAATAGATACAGGTTCTTTAATAGTATAGGGGTCCAAGGACAAATTCAAGGGGTCCAACTATTAATTCATGATGCCCAACATCTAATTTAAGCAATCCGACTCCTTTCTAAAACATTATACCTACTATATATATATATATATATACATGTATATATATCAGGTGTTGTATTGTCAGTTATGGTCAAATTATTAGTCCCCTACCGGTTTACCGGAGGGGACTTTAGGTTTACCCTCCGTCCGTCTGTCTGTCCGTCCGTCAGTCCGTCCGTCTGTCCGTCCGTCAGTCCGTCCGTCCACAAAACTGGATCCCGCGATAACGCAAAAAGTACTGAAAATATTTTAATGAAACTTGATATATGGATAGATGGCAGTATTGAGATTATGCACGTCTTTTTCTTTTCTTCCTATGTTGAAAATTCTGGTTGCTATGGCAACAAATAGACTGAAAATATGGCAAATTTTACACATAACCTGGATCCCGCGATAACGCAAAAAGTACTGAAAATATTTTTATGAAACTTGATATATGGATAGATGGCAGTATGGAGATTATGCACGTCTTTTTCTTTTCTTCCTATGTTGAAAATTCTGGTTGCTATGGCAACAAATAGACTGAAAATATGGAAGATTTTACACATAACCTGGATCCAGTGATAACACAAAAAGTACTGAATATATGTTTATGAAACTTGACATATGGGTAGATGGCAGTATGGAAATTATGCACATCCTTTTTTATCTTCTTATGTTGAAAATTCTGGTTGCTATGGCAACAAATAGACTGAATTTCAAGATTTCTGATTCAAGTTTTTAAGTTTTTTCACTATAAGTTCTTTATTTCTTAAGGTATTTTCTTCAAACTTTAAATATAAGTTGCTTGTCATCAACCACATCATATGTGACAAGGTTTACAACTCTAGCACAAAATTTATCAGAATTAGCTCCCTTGAACTTAAAATTTTCATGAAAAAAAAACATTGTTTTTTTTAATAACTTCGTTTTCTGAATGTATCTACTTCAAACTTCATGTAAATGTTTCTTATTGTCACTCAACATTTGTGAGTGTTCAATACTCTACCAAGACTATTTCCAGAATTATGCCCCTTTTGAACTTAGACTTTTTTTTGAGAAATTGGTAATTTTTACTCCAACTTCTTCAATCATGATAGGATTTTAAAAATGTTATATTTTGATAACAGGGATGTTTAAAAAATAACTTTAGAGTGTCCTTCAGTCCGTATGTCTGTACATAAAAAGTGTTTCCTGTGATCACTTTTAAAGAACTTTTTCAACAAATTTACTTAAAATAGGAACCTAAGTGAATGGCCAATGGCCGTTCAGAATGTTGCTTGGGCTCTTACCGGTAGGGGACTTATGGATTGCTTGCAATACTATGATAATTGCTTGTCATAAAATATTACTATCTGGCATTTGTTTACTGTTTAAAATATATACCTAAGGTATATTATTCAACTCGCCATAACGTATTTCCTGACACAATATTTTGCTATCGCATTTTAAAAAGAAAATAAAGACATATTTTCATACCTATGTATGCAAACATAGCACAATCTTTTAATAACAGTGAAAATACTTCAGCAATCTATCATTTACGATAAATGAAAATGTCAAACTTGAAAAATAACCTTAAAATTGCTAGGTTGGCATGTTTTGTGCCATGAAGGAAGTTTCCAATATAAACATCTCCACTTCTGGGATTTTTATCTTTAAATGGTCTTGCTGATGCTTAGACAAGAAAGTTACGGTTTCAAGCCTTTGTTTATTCTAATTTATTTTAGTTTAATTATGTTGGAAGCTATAATTTGTATAATCTTATTGAAACACTCTCGAATCTGTTCCTGGAACCAACCAGTACTAAGCAATGAGTGTACAGCTTCTTGGTCATGGAAACAATGGCATGAATATTTGTGGTCTAAGACTTTAGAAACTGAAAAAGACAGGACCATTTGTTGATGAGGGTAAAGTCAAGTTTGAAGGAAAGTAAAGATAAAACTTCAAAATTTCAAGAAAAGACAAAATAAACAACAAAAAACAGCTTTCAAGATCTATAGTAGTACATGTGTTTAGAAGTCTCTTATGTTATACACTTGTGATTTTTTAATTATTTTCTCCATGCCATCTGACATTTTAGATTGTCTCTGAAAGAAATAGTGTACAGGAAAAAGAATGGGTCGTTGGGGGTGGCCGAAAAAAAGATCCTTTGGCAGATCTCGCTTCTCCAGATACCAGTATGATCCAGAAGAAGATTCTTTACTTAATGACATACTTGCAGAACGGCTTATGATGGACTTGATAGGTAATGTTATATAGTTTACATACATTGGGGTTTTTCAGTATCCAGGTCAAGGTTATTCGATTGTGTCAGGTTTTTCAGTACAGTATTTATTATGTACATGAAACATGAAAGCATTATCAGCAAACCAACCAAAGAGTCAGAGTGTACCATTCAGAAACATCAGTTTAAAAAATATAATTGCAATGCAGGGCTCAAGCTAGGTTCAAAATTTAGGGAGAAGTCACTTCTCCCTCCAGCTGATTTAGGGAGAAGTGGGGAGACTTTAGGGAGAAGTGAGGAGATTCATTTATTGATGTTTGTTGTATGTTATCGCAATTATGTTGACTCACTGTACATATCTTATCAAATGAATTGGATTTGTGTTACAACTGAATATTCAATTTTAATTTAAAACAGAGACATAGATAGGTATTATTATAACTATTGTTATCTATGTCTCTGTTTAAAAGTAGTTTGAAACAAGTAATAAGAATGAGTATCTTGTAATGCAACCATTGCATTAAATGAAGATAAAAAAGCCATAGTTGATTCCTATCATGGATCATATCATGGGTGCATTAACAGTTATTCCCTTCTGATTTACTATTAAAAAGCTTGCGCCGGACATTATATTCATATTCACTTATGTTGTAAAGAAAATGAAAGTAGATAACAAAAGAAACAATCTTAAATTTAACTTCATTTGTAATAAATACAGTGTAATATGCCGTTAATTTTATCAAATTTAACAAAAAAGGTTATCATAACTTTCATTTAAAATTACCGTTACAGTTATATGTCGAGCGATAGTGAAAATTTAATTGACGTTTGATCCGTCAATCATAAATAATTGTTACAGGTAGTTGTATGTTAGCGATTTAATGATTGGTTAAATAATGTCGCCTCGATTAAAACGTGAATTACGATTGGTTTCTCGCACGTATCGGTAATCTCGCCGTGGGCGGAGTCTAATTGTTCCTCGAGCGTCTGTTAATTAGACTTTTATGACATGTTGGTAAACAAACGGATTAATGACATTTCGCGTTGATTGAGATGCATGGCAGTCCCTTTTTTCGGCGGCGAGGGTAAACAAAGCAAACACACACAACATGTTATTCACAGTTATTGTTATTGTTGGTAATTATCAATAATGGATCAATAAAATCGGGCGACTTCATCTTCGCTTTCATGTAGGATGTCGGCGAAGTCAGACGGAATTCGGCGACTATTTCGCCCGAATCGCCCACTAGCTCGAGCCCTGCAATGATATAAGAATGATAGTCACAAGTGGTCAGGGATTAGTTGTAGTATATGGCAGAAATAGGGTTATTCACAGTTAACTATTCTCATGTATGTTTATGTGCTGGTAGGTGAATGCATCTTGTTGTGAAATCTTCATTACTATTATGCTTGACCCTTGTTGGAACTATAAGTGTTATTAACCTTACCAGTATAAGGACAAGTCAGCATTTACATCCACACAGTCTGACCAGGCTCTCCTAACTGTTGGCTGATCCAACTTATAGTTTGAACTTGATAACCTTGATATTGATATTGGAAGGTCCTTAAAATAGAAACTTATATTAAAAGTCCATTAAAGTTATTAGAGGTAAAGGGTTAAAGATTTGAACATTACATTTACATTTTAGATAGACACAATTTATATCCCAGCCAGCCACATGGTAGTCAGTCAGTGATGATTGATGATGATGAAGATGATGATTTGATGGGGCATGATGATTTAGATGATGAAATCTGTTTTGGACATTTACGGGGAAATATTGTTGGCATTCAATATTATTCTGGAACTGTGAGTTCTTAATTTACTTTGCAAATTTTCGTTGCATATGTAATACAGTATTTTAAGTTAACCAAAAAATTCAAAACCTGTACTATTTCATCAGCAAAGAAAAATCAGAAGAAATTTTATTGTTAAACAGTTAAGATAAAAATGTAATTTATTTGTCTGTTTATTTGACTATTTCAGAAGCCTTCACATTATTCTTTGTATCAGTAAGTTTCCAAGACAACTGTTATGTGTAGTTTTCATTAAAATAATATTTTTAACTAAGAAATGTTGTTAATCTAAAAGAAAAATTTACCTCTATAAAGTAGCGTTACCTTTATGAATGAATTTTTAGCTCACCTGTCACAAAGTGACAGGGTGAGCTTTTGTGATCGCTTTTCGTCCGGCATCCGTCCGTCCGTCCGTCGTCCGTCCGTAAACTTTTGCTTTAAATGACATCTCCTCATAAACCACTGAGCCAATTTCATCCAAACTTCACAGGAATGTTCCTTTGGTGGTCACCTTTAAAAATTGTTCAAAGAATTTAATTCCATGCAGAACTCTGGTTGCCATGGCAACCGAAAGAAAAATCTTTAAATATCTTCTTTTAAACAACCCTAAGAGCTAGAGCTTAGATATTTGGCATGCAACATCTTCTAATGAGTGTCTACCAAGTTTGTTCAAATAAAAGCCCTGGGGTCAAAATTGGCCCCGCCCCGGGGGGTCATTGATTTTCCCTATATGCATATAGTAAAAACTTAAAAAATCTTCTTTTAAAGAACTGTAAGAGCTAGAGCTAAGATATTTGGCATGGAACATCTTCTAGTGAGTGTCTACCAAGTTTGTTCAAATAAAAGCCCTGGGGTCAAAATTGGCCCCGCCCCGGGGGGTCATTGATTTTCCCTATATGCATATAGTAAACACTTAAAAAATCTTCTTTTAAAGAACTGTAAGAGCTAGAGCTTAGATATTTGGCATGAAACATCTTCTAGTGAATGTCTACCAAGTTTGTTCAAATAAAAGCCCTGGGGTCAAAATTGGCCCCGCCCCCGGGGGTCATTGATTTTCCCTATATGCATATAGTAAAAACTTAAAAAATCTTCTTTTAAAGAACCCAAAGAGCTAGAGCTTAGATATTTGGCATGAAACATCTTCTAGTGAATGTCTACCAAGTTTGTTCAAATAAAAGCCCTGGGGTCAAAATTGGCCCCGCCCTGGGGGGTAATTGATTTTTGCCTATATGCATATAGTAAAAACTTAAAAAATCTTCTTTTAAAGAACCGTAAGAGCTAGAGCTTAGATATTTGGCATAAAACATCTTCTAGTAAATGTCTACCAAGTTTGTTCAAATAAAAGCCCTGGGGTCCAAATTGGCCCCGCCCCAGGGGGTCATTGATTTTCCTTATATGCATATAGTAAAAACTTATAAAATCTTCTTTTAAAGAACTCAAAGAGCTAGAGCTAAGATATTTAGCAAGAGACATGTTCTAATGGGTGTCTACCAAGTATGTTCAAATAAAAGCCCTGGGGTCAAAACTGGCCCCGCCCGGGGGTCATTGATTTTCCTTATATACATAGCAAAAACTTAAAAATCTTCTTTGAAAAAACCCAAATAACTAGAGTTTAGATATTAAGCATGAAACATCTTTAAGTAAATATCTACAATGTTTGTTCAAATAAAAGCCCAGGGGTCAAAACTGGCCCTGCCCGAGGGGTGTCATTGTTTTTAACTATATGTGTATAGTAAAAACTTAAAAAATCTTCTTTTAAAAAACCCAATGAGCTAGAACTTAGATGTTTTGCATGAAACATCTTCTTATGGGTGTCTACCAAGTCTGTTCAAATAAAGAAATAAAAGCCCTTGTGTAAAAATTGGACCGGGGGGGGGGGGGGCTATATACAGGTGAGCGACCTCAGGGCCATCATGGCCCTCTTGTTACTTTTATAGTGAATTTATTATAATTTTACCTAATTTAAAATTTTACTTTATAAGTATTATTTTATCTAAATGATTCCCCCCTGAATAACATAATTTTACCTTATTTTGCTTAGATGATATAATTTCATTGCCTGAATAATATTTGATTTTACCTGAAATGTATAATATCTTGAAAATGGAATTTTATTCATATGATGTAATTTTACATTATGTCACTCATATTTTGGTTACAGGTCAATATAAAAGAAATGGTTGCATTAGAGAGGGAGCCTGAGAATCGCTACGATATCAATGCCATCAAGGTGAAAAATGTGGGCAATGTTCAAGTAGGCCATATCAAAAGGGAGCTAGCCAGACCACTGGCTTACATTATGGACAAAGGATTGGCAAGGCTTGAAGGGTACTTTTTCTTTTCAAAGATATAGTTGAATTACGGAGAACTTCTAATCCACCATAAGAAGTATCTTGTTTTGATATTGACCCAAGGTTTTGTGTCAAAGATTTATCTTGCTGCTGTCTATTAGAAGTATTGAAATGACAAATAAAAAATGATAAATAATAACAAAAAAACGCAATTTTTCATTTGAAAAGAAGGAAAAAACACCCTACCAACTGTTTCTGTTAACACAGGAACTAGATTTAAACATTTCTTAACCTGGGATGATTTTGCTTTGAACATATCTGGTTTTTCATAAAGTTTTGTAAACTACATTTAAAGAATTTGTCATATTCTTGTGAAGATGACATACTTATTCTCGCTTTAATAGGGTTGTTCCTTTTGGTGCCACCAATATGTACTCCATGCCAGTAGACATAAGCTTGTGGGGCAAACCTGAAAACCAGAAAGAGGCCGTGGACAAGTTAAAGAAGTCTGGTTTCTATCTGACTGGTGGGACACAGCCGGTAACCAGCCCAGGAAGTGGTATGTCATCATCGTCACTTGGAGCTTCTGAATTCTCCTTGGCGGCAATTGAGCCTAGAAGAACATATCTTACTCCTGCAGAGGTCAATATTTTCTTCGTATTTATATACATGTATTTCATTATTCATCTTTCCTTTTCTTACTTTATATTTGGGTCCATGTCATACAAGCTCTGTTAAGGTCATATGGCAACTTATAAACATAAGAGCATAGAGAAAGATGGATGGGATAGGTACAATATAATAACATGGCACATCTTAAAACATATTTCAATTTTCTAGGAAAAACCACCTTTATTCTATGCAGTTTAGGGCCCTCTGTGGTCGAGTGGTTAACATTGCCGACTTTGAACCACATGCCCTTCTCAGCTAAGGGTTCGAATTGCTTCAAGAACTTTTGACTTTTTCACTTTCATGTGAGGGAGCTAACGCTTTAGCTCTTAAAAGGGTGTTTGCTCTTTTCAGGTGCCTGCTCTTTGCTAAAATAATGCTTAGAAGGGCACCTGAGGTTTTCCTTCACCAGTAAAGCTGGAAAGTTTACAGTATGGGTACTACTTTAAATCTAACGAAATAAAGAAATTAATTTATTTGGATACAATATTGTAATTTAACAGGTGTTTTAGTCATGTAGGCAGTTTGCCTTAAAATTGATGGTAATTTTGTACTTAATTTTTCTATTTCTTATAATAGGTGAAAAATGAGCTGGATAAACTGTTTGAAAACATTGAGGAGGGAGACAAAACAAGTCTGGCTGATCCTGCCCAGGTATTTGTATTGTCTAAATATTTTAATGTACATATCAGTTGCCCGCTTAATTCTTGGGTAATGAGAATGTAGTAATTTACCCTGTGAATGGAGTAGGAGATTAATGGAGGAATGAAATATACATAATGTATAATTAGATCAGGGCTGCCGATTTTCCGCGGATTCACGGATGTCGATGTAAATTCGTCATATTTTATACAGTACCCAAAAACCGGCACGCTTCGGCTTTTATTGTTACGCTAGCCGCCTATGGTACTTCTGTAAGCGCTTTTCTCATTGGTCAAATCGAGTCTTTTCCGGCATTCTATTTTAGAATAACCAATCAAATTACAGTTTACATTGTCGCTCTTGTCTGTTGTAAAATGCGTCAAAATGTCGGATATTAATATGCTGTTTGTTTGTCTCACCAGACTGATCTTTAGCAATTGATTGTAGAGGATTGTCTTGGGTACATGTTCCAAATATCATGCTGGATGGTCTGTAGGTGATTAGGTTCAGAGTAGGCTTTGTTTTGAGGGCTGATGAAAACCTGAAGTCCAACTAAAGTGTCTCTGAATGGCTTTAAAGGCAACCAAGGAAGTCAAATTTAGAGTCCAGGAAATTGATTTTAGGGCATACCAAATCATCAGAATCCAGGAGCTTCCGAGGGCTTCGCCCCCTGGGCCGCCACCAGAGCTCTGCCCTGGACCCACACAGGGGGCTTGCGCAGCCCCCTTGACCCCCGGTGTATTTTCCTCTAATTTTGCAATTTGCTGTTGGCAGCCCTGTTAGATGTATATATTTATTTACATAAATTCTAGTTGCTTATGTGATGCATAGAGCCATTCAGCCTTCATGTTGATGATGCTTGCGTGACCAGCCTCTATACTTGCAGTAGCGCAATTCCATTTATTATTTTGATTTTGAATTTTCATAAGCTTCTAACTTACTGTCAATTCAAAGCATTTTACAAGTTTGGCGAGTTCAGCATAAAAGTGGTTATTGTTGGATTATTTTACAGGCTATAGCCACACCCCTGTATCCCCACCAGAAGCAGGCATTAAACTGGATGGTAAAGAGAGAGAATAACGCCACCTTGCCGCCATTCTGGCAAGAGAAAAATGGGAAATACTTCAATACAGTGCTTAATTTTACCAGCAGCATAAGGCCGGATAGTGTAAGAGGAGGTAGGTATAGTATGCTAGTAGTGCACATGCAATTTTAAAAGCATATTATGCCTCAGAAGTGAATAAGCTTTCCTTTCTTTAGAAATGGCAATCATGAGTTTTATAATGTTTAAATAATGGTTTAAGAGCATCTTATATGCTTTTTTCAACTAAAGAAAGAGGTACTGAATATAACATAATTTGTCATAAAAGTAACAAAATGTGAACAAAGTAGTATTTTGACTTCCATATGAAATACTAAATCAATATAACTTTTGTGTTTGCTAAAAAGCAGCAGAAGCAAAAGAAAGTTCAGGTATTTTGCCTGTTAGTAATTTTTTGAAAACAACAGGACTCCAAAAATGTTTTGAGAAATTAAGTTTGACATAAAAGCATTTTTTAGACATAATGGGCCTTTAATCATTCCATTGTTTATAAATAGGTGAAATGCAAATGTTAAAAACCTGAGTCAATTTGAGTTGTTTTTCTTGTGCCGATGACAATATTTTTTGTTCTGGTCAACTTTTCCCTTCCTTGAATATATTAAAAGAACTTTACTATAGTTCTATTTTAAGAGTATGTCTTTCAATTAACATAAGTACTTTAATTATGGCGGCAATTGTTTGCCTAAGATATCTGTCTTTCAAGTTTTTAGCTCACCTGACCACGAAGTGGTCAAGGTGAGGTATAGTGATGGGGCTATGTCCGGCGTCGTGCGTCGTTTGTTGTCAACAATTGGGTTGTTAACAGTCTAGCAGTCACAGTTTTGATTGGATCATTGCCAAACTTTGTCAGAATGTTTGTCTCAATGAAATACTGATCGAGTTCGAAGATGGGTCATCTCTGGTCAAAAACTACGTCACAGGAGCTAAAAATAGAAAAAGCTTGTTAACACTCTACTGGCTGCAGTTTTGATACAAATATTCTGGAAATTTGTCAGGAAGGTTGTTTTAATGATATCTTGGTCAAGTTCGAAGATGGGTCATCTCCGGTCAAAAACTAGGTCACAGGAGCTAAAAATAGAAAAAGCTTGTTAACACTCTAGTGGCTGCAGTTTTGATCCAAATATTCTGGAAATTTGTCAGGAAGGTTGTTTTGATGATTTCTAGGTCAAGTTTGAAGATGGGTCATCTCCGGTCAAAAACTAGGTCACAGGAGCTAAAAATAGAAAAAGCTTGTTAACACTCTAGTGGCTGCAGTTTTGATCCAAATATTCTGGAAATTTGTCAGGAAGGTTGTTTTGATGATTTCTAGGTCAAGTTCGAAGATGGGTCATCTCCGGTCAAAAACTAGGTCACAGGAGCTAAAAATAGAAAAAGCTTGTTAACACTCTAGTGGCTGCAGTTTTGATCCAAATATTCTGGAAATTTGTCAGGAAGGTTGTTTTGATGATTTCTAGGTCAAGTTCGAAGATGGGTCATCTCCGGTCAAAAACTAGGTCACAGAAGCTAAAAATAGAAAAATCTTTATAACACTGTAGTGGCTGCAGTTTTGATCCAAATATTCTGGAAATTTGTCAGAAAGGTTGTTTTGATGATTTCTAGGTCAAGTTTGAATATGGGTCGTCTCCAGTCAAAAATTAGGTCGCATTGCCCAAATATGGAAAACCTTTTTAACACACTAGAGGTCACATTTTTGACTCAATTGTCATCAAACTTGGCCAGGATGCTTGTCTAAGACATTGCTTGGATGCGGTTGATGGGTCAGGGGAGCGATCCAGGGCCATCATGGCCCTCTTGTTATACCCCCAAAAACGAAGTTTGGGGGGGTATATAGGAGTCACCCGGTGGTCGGGCGGTCGGTAGGTCCAGACGTCCGTTGCATTTTCCTTGTCCGGAGCATAACTTGAAGACTAATGGTTGGAATTCAATATAACTATATACAATGGTCAAGCACATTGAGAGGAAGTGCAGTGCACAAGAAACATAACTCTATCTAGACTAATTACAGAGTTATTGCCCTTTGTTACTTTTCCTTGTCTGGGGCATAACTTGAAAACTACTGGTTGGAATTCAAAACAACTTCATACAATTGTCAAACACAATAAGGGGAAGTGCAGTGCACAAGAACCATAACTCTATCTAAAGTAATTACAGAGTTATTGCCCTTTGTTGCTTTTCCATTGCTTTTTTTTGTCCGGACCATAACTTGAAGACTAATGGTTGGAATTCAATATAACTACATACAATGGTCAAGCCCATTGAGAGGAAGTGCAGTGCATAAGAACCATAACTCTATCTAAAGTAATAACAGAGTTATTGCCCTTTGTTACTTTTCCATTGCTTTCTTTTGTCCGGACCATAACTTGAAGACTAATATTTGGAATTCATTATAACTTCATACAATGGTCCAGCACATTGAGAGGAAGTGCAGTGCACAAGAATCATAACTCCATCTTGACTTATTACAGAGTTATTGCCCTTTGTTACTTTTCCTTGTCTGGGGCATAACTTGAAAACTACTGTTTGGAATTCAAAACAACTTCATACAATGGTCAAGCACAATAAGGGGAAGTGCAGTGCACAAGAACCATAACTCCATCTTGACTAATTACAGAGTTATTGCCCTTTGTTACTTTTCCATTGCTTTTTTTTGTCCAGACCATAACTTGAAGACTAATTGTTCGAACTCATTATAACTTCATACAATGGTCAAGCACATTGAGAGGAAGTGCAGTGCATAAGAACCATAACTCCATCTTGACTAATTACAGAGTTACTGCCCTTTGTTACTTTTCCTTGTACAGAGCATGATTTGAAAACTACTGGTTGTAATTCAAAACAACTTCATACAATGGTCAAGCACAATTAGGGGAAGTGCAGTGCACAAGAACCGTAACTCCATCTTGACTAATTACAGAGTTATTGCCCTTTGTTACTTTTCCATTGCTTTTTTGTCTGGAGCATAACTTGAAGACTAATGGTTGGAATTCAATATAACTTCATACAATGGTCAAGCACATTGAGAGGAAGTGCAGTGCACAAGAACCATAACTACATCTTTACTAATTACAGAGTTATTGCCCTTTGTTACTTTTCCTTGTCCAGAGCATAACTTGAAAACTACTGTTTGGAATTCAGTACAACTTCATACAGTTGTCAAGGACATTAAAAGGAAGTGCAGTGCACAAGAGCCATAACTCCATTTGACAAAATACAGAGTTACTGCCCTTTGATACTTTTCCTTGTCCAGAGCATAACTTAAAACGTACTGGTTGGAATTCAAAACAACTTCATACAATGAACAAGCACATTAAGAGGAAGTGCAGTGCACAAGAACTATAACTCTATCTTCAGTATTTATAGAGTTATTGCCCTTTGTTCTTTTTCTTTGTCTTTCTGGACTTATTACAGGGTAATTCAATTAAACTTCATCAATGGCCAACCACATTGAAAGGAAATGCAACATACAAGAACCACAACTATCTTTAATTGCCCACAACCATAACTCTTTATTTCAATTCTTTTACAAGGTATTCTGTTACTAGTAACATCCTGATTTCTGAAGCAGTCTTGTGGGGGTATTGATCACATTTAGTGATAGTTCTAGTTTTTATAGGAATGATAGTACAATAGAAACATGGTTGATTAAAATTCAATGAAAGTCAACAAGTTCTTGCCTGATTAATTTTGTAAATTATTTATAATACAGGTATTCTAGCAGATGACATGGGACTCGGTAAAACTCTAGAGATGATTACATTAATTATAACAAACTTTGTAGACAACAAACCATTGGCCACACCTGTTGATGGTCTTGTTAGACAATCCAAATCTGAGAAAATGGCAGGCAAAAAGTCAAAGGTTCGCATAGATTTTTTTCTACCCTTTAATGATTTAACTGAAGTTACTTGATTTTAATTTACTCATAGTTTTTTTTAATAGCTTGTTTATTTCAAAGAAAATGATGAGTTATTCTGATTGCTGTATTGTCTTTGTCAGTGTTGCTGTGCAAAAATATTTATGTAGCCTAATCATTCAAACATTTTAATAGGTATCAACAAGAAACTTGGAATACTTGATTATCCTGACAAGGTGCAGTTGTTAGACAAGGGCATACTTCTAAAAGTTATATTTTTTTAGTTAAGTTGGTTTTTTATCATAGAATGTTCATGCCTTTTAAGTTGAATGATTTCAAAACTATGAAAAATATCAACACAAAACTTGGCACACTTGATTATAATGGCAATAGGCAGTATATTGCAAAGGCCATACTTATTTGATATTTGATAGTCTTTGCCATTAACAGACGAGTGTTAACACCTCATCTTGTTAGATCAGTGAGTCAAAGGTCATGTCATCTTCACATCTCTACTTTGCCTAAATGCAGTCTTAATATTTGGTAGCATGGTTTGGAAAGTGATTAATGCATGTTTAGTAGCCAATAGGAACACAAATATTCCAAAAACCTCTCTTATATGATTTTGAATTAACACAAAATAACCTTTCATTATTATAGATGCTTCCTACTAGTAGCAGTCTTCATTCTTCTATGAAGAAAACACAAATAAAGCTGGAGAAAAAGAAGTCGCTATCTTGTTATACAGAAAACAAGCTCCTGGTCTCGATAGCATCGTCTGATAACATTGAAACTCCGGCATTACCAGATCTACCGGACGACGAAGAGGTTTTGGAAATATCCGATGAAGATGATGATGATGGTATGCATTTAGTTTTAACAGTTTATACAGGGCTGCCGAGTTTCCGCGGATTCGCGGAAATCCCCGGATTTCGTGAGCTCCTGGGTCATTTTTGAGATCGATGTAAATTCGACAAAGACAATACATTCATTCGTCATATTTTATACAGTACCCAAAAACCGGCACGCTTCGGCTTTTATCGTTACGCTAGCCGCCTATGGTACGTCTGTAAGCACTTTTCTCATTGGTCAAATCTAGTCTTTTCCGGCATTCTATTTTAGAATAACCAATCAAATTACAGTTTACATTGTCGCTCTTGTCTGTTGTCAAAATGCGTCAAAATGTCGGATATTTGTTTTGAGGGCTGATGAAAACCTGAAGTCCAACTAAAGTGTCTCTGAATGGCTTTAAAGGCAACCAAGGAAGTCAAATTTAGAGTCCAGGAAATTGATTTTAGGGCATATCAAATCATCAGAATCCAGGAGCTTCCGTGGGCTGGGCCCCCACCAGGGCTCTGCCCTGGACCCGCAAAGGGGGCTTGTGCAGCCCCCTTGACCCCCAGCGAATTTTCCTCTGATTTTGCAATTTGCTGTTAGCAGCCCTGTTTATATTGGGAGCAAAGTAAATTCATTATTGAATGCCATTGAAAAGGTTTTATAGGGTATTAAGCAGTATCTAATAAAAAATGTTTTATGCATTTTATAAAGAATAAAAATATTATTTCCGAAATGTTATTGTCAAATTACAATTCTTGAAAGAGTTGTAACATAGAAATTCTTGGTTCCTTAACACATCAATCAGAATATAATGTTCTGGGACAGAATATTATGCTGCTGAAGATTTCTGATGTCTAAATCATCAAGTAATACTTTAGTATAAGAAAAGAAAAAACACTAATGCATCCAAGGTTTATGTCATGCTATGATGTGATTTTTTTCTTTGATATTTCACCAACTACCCAACTTCTTTTGCCTTCCTATCTTTTCAATATCTTATTATTTTGTCATATTTTAGAGGAAGATATTGCAGATTTGCCAGCAATAGATGACAGAACAATGCTAAAGAAAGATGATCCTGACTTTAGTCCTATGATTAAAAAGAAGGAAAAGAAGACTAAAGCAAAGGAAAATGTAACTCCTGAAGAAGCATCTGGTAGAAGACCTAGAAGGTATAAAACCCTTTTCTTTCATATTGATAGGTTTTAAAGTGAAATGAAACTGTTGAAATTATATGCCCAATGTCTTGCTTTTCACGTGAAAAAAGAGCCTGACTAGAACCACTGAACTTTACACTTAATCATTAGCTAACATAGAAAATATCAGTTAATACATTATGTCATGTTTAATTGAGTAAAAGTGGATAATGTATTCTTGCATATCAGACTGGTGTTTGTGTGAGTTTTACTTATGCTGGAAATTTTATCTGTCATAGGGGTAGCCAGATGAGTTGTTTGCTTAACAACTGCAATATTTTAGTGCATTTTATCGATGAACTGCATTAAAATAACTTCATTTCGGCGTATTTAAGAATGAACTGCATGCTTAGGATTATGTAATTTTACCGTTGTGAATGAAGTTATTATTTCATACGCTGTTGTAAGAAAATAGTTTTGGGTGACACCGTGTAATGACATGGATTTCCATGGAAAATTGTTTTATTTAGGTAAAGAATTCAATTTATGATGGAATATGGTAGAATATGCAAGAAAAAATATCTAACATAAGTTTGTGGTTCAAATTGGAATATCCGTCCCTCGTTGGGCGGGTCCCCTCGGGACAGATATTCTGATCCGAACCGCAAAATATGAAGATATTATTAGACTATTTTGCCTGTTGTTAGGACTTGAGGTTAGGACTTGAGGTATGAGTGTAAATCCAGAAATTGTAAAATACTGATATATTTTTGTAAAGGTTAAAATGTTTGCTAAATGGTTTGTTTTTATAATTGTATAGAAGTGTTAAGAGACCTGTCCGGTATGCCTACAGTAGTGAAGAAGACGAGGCCATTAATGATGAAACACCGAAGAAAAAAGGTAGGGTATTTCATATGTTTTGATTCTAATGTGCTGCCTAACAATCTGTACAATATACAGTTGACTCTCAATAAGTCAAAATCGCTTTACTCAAAATTCCGCCTTAGTCGAAAAATTTCTAAAGTCCCGTCAAATTTTCTTCTTTATCTTTGTATTTTAACTCCGCTTAGGTCAAATTTTGACTTGCCGAGACTCCTGTTTAGTCGAAAAGAAAAATTGGGTCCCTCAATTAAAGTCCAACATATTTACATCTCAATAAGTCGAAGTGTGAAAACAACCGTCTGATCAAAGGTCGGCAACATCAAGGTGAGAAGTTGTCACTCATGATTTACACGTTTCATAGTAATTTTTAATTGCCGTTCATCGTGTATTATTAACACGTCGTAAAAGTGGCTTTAATCCGTTTCAGGACTTAATTGGTTTTAACAGTTAGATAACTAAATTAAAATTTAATTACATTTCTTAAAGAAAGTTGACTCATGCCAGTCTGACGGGTGTTAGTCAAATAACAGCCTAGGTATTGATGTGTGTTATCAACGTAAAGGACATTTGTTTAATTAATTATCTGTCATATTTGTACTTCCGGTTCAGGATAGTTGCTAATTTCGTTTTCGTCCGATAATGAATTAAATCAAATGTAATTGTGTGTTTCTGTTTCACTATTAATAAACATGTATTAAATTTTGAATGATATATTTTTGTTCATTAATAATTTGCAGTTGTAAGTGATTTACCGTCATTTCAATGGTTGAATATTGCAGCATTGCCGCTAACAACAATAACAAACCTACTCCTTTGCACATTCAATCAGGTACATGTATATACATGTAATGGTGGTAGTTCCACGTTACTCGAATTCCGTTTCTCTCGAAGTTAAATGCCCAGTCCCTTGGATTTCGAGTTACCGAGAGTCAACTGTATCAACAAATAATTGTGTCTACTTGCGATAAATGTTTCTAGTATTGTGTCCTTCGAGGGAGCATTGGTCGTTTCCATTGATATCCTTGTGGCTAGCTTCCTGGTTAAGTTGAACAATTATAGAGTGCCTGCAATAATAATGAAATGCAGGAATTTTTATGCCCCCACAATGTGGGAGCATATAGCGTTGCACTTGTCCGTCCGTCAGTCCGTACGTCCCAAAATTTTGTGAACGCAACTCCTCTTAAACTGGATGGCAGATTTTGCTTAAACTTACAGGGATGAACAACCTTAATGTGTAGATGGTAGTAAAGGAAGGAATTTTCGCTGCGACCAAATTTAACAGAATTATGGCCCTTTGTTGATTTTTTCACGAGATACTATGTAGAAATTTTGTGAACGCAACTCCTCTTAAACCGGATGGCAGATTTTGCTTAAACTTACAGGGATGAACAACCTTAATGTGTAGATGGTAGTAAAGGAAGGAATTTTTGCTGCGACCAAATTTAACAGAATTATGGCCCTTTGTTGATTTTTTCACTATATACTTTGTAGAAATTTTGTGAATGCAACTCCTCTTAAACCGGATGGCAGATTTTGCTTAAACTTACAGGGATGAACAACTTTCAGGTGTAGATGGTAGTATAGGAAGGAATTTTTGCTGCGACCAAATTTAACAGAATTATGGCCCTTTGTTGATTTTTTCACTATATACTATGTAGAAATTTTGTGAATGCAACTCCTCTTAAACTGGATGGCAGATTTTGCTTAAACTTCCAGGGATGAACAACCTTAATGTGTAGATGGTAGTAAAGAAAGGAATTTTTTGCTGCAACCAAATTTAACAGAATTATGGCCCTTTTTTTATTTTTTCATTATATACTTTGTAGAAATTTTGTGAACGCAACTCCTCTTAAACCGGATGGCAGATTTTGCTTAAACTTCCAGGGATTAACAACCTTAATGTGTAGATGGTAGTGAAGGAAGGAATTTTTGCTGCGACCAAATTTAACAGAATTATGGCCCTTTGTTGATTTTTAGTTTTCAACTTGTGGCACATGTAGTCCAAAAAATATTTGACCTAGAGTCATAAGATTGACAGAACAGTGGCTGTGGGGGCATCCGTGTCCTATGGACACATTTCTAGTTTTTACTATATCACAAAGGGCCAAAATTTATTCCCATTCCAGATCTGATATAGCAACTGTAAAAAAAAACCTTAAAAGTCATGTACAATGTATAAGGTAGAATTCTGCGTTTTAAAATTTGTCAAAATGTTGAATCTTTTTTCAGAATTTATGCCTTGGACCTTTTCCAAAAATACCTGGGAAAGGCCCTGAAATCTCTATGCTAGAATATTATTATTCTGATATGTGAAAACTTCAAAACCAAAACTAAGCTATACCAAATTAAACTGACTGATCATTCTGTAAAATTTCTTTTTGTCATTTATGAACAATAATGAACTGTAATACAAAGGTCAAAGCTAGGGTTGGACACCGGTTCCCGGTATCGGTCCTATACCGAATAGTAACTTCGTAAATTACCGGTATATACCGTTTCGTAAAATACCGGTACTGGATTTGATACTTTTGTAATTTTGTAAAAAAAAATAATTTAATAGTCAAAATGTCAAAAAAATAAAAAGATTTTTAAATAAAAACAGCCTACAAACACGTAAAACAAACTATGAATTACTATTATCATGCGGCGAGTACGGCTTTCGCGGCAAACTTGAAGTTTGTGACGCGGCGATATTTTTGTAAAACTATTGTGCCGCTTATGTTCAAGATAATAATATTTTTGTACTCGGCAGGAAACTATAATTATTTAAACTGATTTTGCTAAAAGTTTGTAAGTTTTAAATGTCAAAGAAACAACGAGAAAACAAATCAAATACTTGAGTATTTTAAATCATCGGCACATCGCACACAGTCCTTCCAAACACATCGCACACAGCGTTTGCCGTAATGACAATGTAAATCCATCATATGACAATTGTTTATTCAAACAATGCTTTTAAAAAATAATTAAATCCTTTTTTCAGTTTAAGTCTCTAAACACTCATAATGAATACATATTTAATGTTTCCAGGTTCTTTTCATCCATTACCACATGTACAAATCCACACGTGAATTACGATTTTAACATAAATGAGGCCGAAATATTCCAACAAAATATGCCTCCTTTTGTTTTTAGTGTAACACTGAACTATTATTAAACATGTATACATTTTCTTAACAAAAGAATGCTGACAGAACTTCAATCAAAAAGTGTGAATGTCGGCGGCTCTTTGATGGTGATAGAGTAACAACATCAAAGGGAGGCATATTCTTTTGAATAGCCTATTATGCACCTGTCAAAGGTCCACTTGTGTGTATTACACATTTAGATCTGTGATACTTTAAACAACTGAAACATATTTCATATAGTCTTTTGTAGGATTTTTTTTGCAAATGTTGGCAAGTATTTTTGCCTATTTGAGCAGTATGGAATTATGCAATTTGGTAAGGACAATACTTTTTTTCTGTAGCAAGATGTTCACGGTGCATGCTATTGAAAAATAAAAGATGTATAAAATTGAAGGGTAAATTCAATATTAATAAATACCAAATCCTTATTATTTGTAAAGCATAGGTATTTGCTTTATGACTTCTACAAGGACTAATATTAGGTTAACATGAAAATGTAAACAAGTCATTTTGGAAACAGTCTGTGCTGACTGTGCATATACATGTATTTCAAAATTTCTAAGTTAATTACTGGTGGAAAATATGTTTGTGCTGTTGTAGTAGAACAGACTGGAAACATAAGTGACTTTGAAAAAACATCTAATGAAATTTCTTACATGTAATTCCAAATTGCAAAGTATGCCAACCAATCCAGTGATTTCATTTATTACAGTAAACAATAATGTGATTTAAAAAGAATATCAGCATCAGAATAAAATTTCTACACAGTAATAATAATAGCTGTAAGAAAATAATAGATAACCAACTGTCTTAAATTCTTTCAGATGTAGAGATATCAAGATTAAAACAATAATTTGTAGACTTCTCAGCTGCAGACTGCTGTCCTGCATAAGATATTTTGCTGTGTTTAAATTATGTCATGTTCTTTTGATGAAAAAGTAAAAGTATTTTACAATTAACATGTGTAAATGTTGTAAAAAAAATAAACACAAAACAACAAAAGAAAAGTATACTTTACAGAAAGACCAGTAATGTAACATTTTTATTTTCTATTTAAATACTACATGTTATATCTCTTCAGTCCTTATACTTGCAGCAACGGGTTTGGTATTGTAAAAGTATCAGTATCAGTATCGATAAAATACCCGTATCGTTTCGTCAGTACCGGTATCGGTATCGGACCGTTTCGTGAAGAACGATATCCAACCCTAGTCAAAGCTGTTGTCAAGTTAACATGTTTGCAGATAAATAGCTTCCATATTGAATATTCACTTTTCCAGCTAGAGAAGAAGTTGTCAACAATATTGCCGAAAGTAACTTGAGCAAAGGTAAAGGAAAAGCTCCTGCAAGTGGGAAAAAGCATGTTAAAAAAGGCAAGCCGAAGAAGGTTCTCCTTAATGACAAGGCATTACCAGAGTGCAAAAAATCTGAAGATATTCCTCAAGAAAAAATAGAAGATGACACCACACTAGTTGAAGTGAAGAAAGAGACGGATGATGGAGTAGCTGGCAAATCAGAAACTGATATTAAAAATGGTAGGGATCATGAAAATGTAGAGCTGAAAATTTTGCAAACATCTAGTTTGTGTAATTTGTTTGTGACATAATTATGGACATACTGGGTGTGAAATATTCCAGTGTGAAATAATTAATTGATCTGAGTTTTGGTGCTGTGTCCTATTAATAATAAGACTGTAGATGATATGTCACATTACACTGTGTGTAACATGCTCTTAAATGATTATCTAAACAGTTTTAGGATAAGAAACAGCATGCATTTTTATCCAGATGTCCAGAGCTGAGAATAATCAAGAGGTTTGTCCATCTGACTGCTATTGTCGCTATAAATTGATTACAAATACAGTAGAACTTCTATGAATCGAACTTCGATTTTCTCGATGTGTCGAAGTAAAATGAAAGTCCCGATTTTTCCCTTATCGTGTCGCCTTGAAAAGGTGACATATAGGGGTTACTTTTGTTGGCGTCGTTGTCGGCGTCCCCTAAAGCTTGTCCGGAGCATAACTCAGTCACTATAAGTCTGATTGACTTCAAACTTGGTATGCATGCTTCTTTCAATAACCCGAAGTGCAGTGCACAAGGACCGGTACTCTGCAGTTCTTATTTTTTGAGTTATTGCCCTTTGTTAATTTTCATACTTTAATTTTGTCCGGGCCATTTCTCTTCAACTAAAAAAGCTAAGGACTTGAAACTTCATAGGATGATACATCTCATTAAGAAGAAGTGCAGTGCACAAGAACCGGTACTCTGCACTTCCTAATTTTTGAGTTATTGCCCTTTGTTAATTTTCATACTTTATTTTTGTCCGGGCCATTTCTCCTAATGTATAAAAGCCATGGACTTGAAACTTCATAGGATGATAGGTCTCATTAAGAAGAAGTGCAGTGAACAAGAATAGTTACTCTGCATTTCTTATTTTTTAAGTTATTGCCCTTTGTTTTTTTTATGCCACCGCAGCATCTGCGATGCGGTGGCATATAGCGATTCACCTGTGTGTGTGTGTGTTTGTTTGTTTGTTTGTGTGTGTGTGTGTTATATAGATTATATAGTGAACTTAAAAAATCTTCTTGTGAAAAACCACTTGTCCAATTTCAACCAAACTTGGCAGGATTGATCCTTGGGTGAAGGGCTTCCAAACTTGTTCAAAGAATTTCATTCCATGCAGAAATCTGGTTGCCATGGCAACCAAAAGGAATTATAAGAATAAATTTAAAAAATCTTCTTGTAAAGACCCAGAAGGCCTAGAGCTTAGATATTTTGCATAAGGCATTGTCTGGTAGACCTCTACCAAGATTGTTCAAATTATAGCCCTGGGGTCAAAATCGGCTCCGCCCCGGGGGTCATTGATTTTCACTATATGTACATATAGTAAAAACTTAAAATACCTTCTTGTAAAGACCCAAAAGGCCCAGAGCTTAGATATTTTGCATAAGGCATTGTCTTGTAGACCCTTACCAAGATTGTTCAAATTATAGCCCTGGGGTCAAAATCGGCCCCGCCTGGGGGGTCATTGAATTTCACTATATGTACATATAGTAAAAACTTAAAATACCTTCTTGTAAAGACCCAAAAGGTCTAGAGCTTAGATATTTTGCATAAGGCATTGTGTAGTGAACCTCTAGCAAGATTGTTCAAATTATAGCCCTGGGGTCAAAATCGGCCCGCCCCTGGGGTCATTGGTTTTCTTTATATGTATATAGTAAAAACTTACAGTAAAAACTTTAAAAAAATTTCTTCTAGCAATTGACAAATGCTAGAGGTTAGATATTTTGCATGAAACATTGTGTAGTGAACCTCTAGCAAGATTGTTCAAATTATAGCCCTGGGGTCAAAATTGCCCCTGCCACGGGGGTCATTGATTTCCAATATATACATATAGTAAAAAATCAAAAAATCTCATTGTCTGAAGGTACAAGGCTTAGAGCTTTAATATTTGTTAAATGATATCATCTATAGGACTGGTACTCTACCAAAGTTGTTCAAATTTTGCCTCTAGTGTCAAAATTAGCCCCGCCCCGGGGCCATAGGTTTTCCTTATATGTGTATTGTAAAATCATCTTCTCTAAATTTACAAAGGCTAGAGTTAAGATATTTTTCATGAAACATTGTGTAGTGAACCTCTAGCAAGATTGTACAAATTAAAGTCCTGGTGTCAAAATTGGCCCCACCCCCAGGGGTCATTGATTTTCACTATGTACATTATAGTAAAAAATTAAAAAATCTTCTTGTCTGAAGGTACAAGGCTTAGAGCTTTGATATTTGGTATATAATATCATCTATGGGTCCTCTACTAAAGTTGTTTTAATTATGCCCCTTGTGAAAAAATTGCCCTGCCCTAGAGGCGATAGTTTTCCTTATATGTATAAAGTAAAGACTTGAAAAATCTTCTTCTCTGAATTGACAAAGGCTAGAGGTTAAATTTATGGCATGAGACTTTGGGAAGTGAACCTCTACTAAGATTGTTCAAATTATAGCCCTTGGGTCAAAATTGGGTCTGCCCCGGGTTCATTGATTTTCAATTATTTTGTCTGAAGGTACAAGGCATAGAGCTTGGATGTTTGCTATATAATATCATCTGTAGGTCCTCTACAAAAGTTGTTCAAATTTTTCCCCTGGTGTCAAAATCGGCCCTGCCTGGGGGCAGTGATTTTCATTAAGTACACATAATAAAAACAGAAAATAAAACAAATGTTTTCTGAATGGGAGAAAGCTACAGCTTAGATATTTGACTTGAAATGTTGTTTGGTGGACCTGTATCAAGATTGTTTTGAATTAAACCCTTGGGTCAATATTTTTCTTGCCCAAGGGGACAGTGACCTACTTTCTTGTCCTTTGATGTACAGCTATGAAATTTGAACCATGTGCACAGATTAAGATGTAAAGTGAACTCTGATATCAGCTGACTTAGATTTTGACAAAATGTCTTACTGTGTTGTCCTTTGATGTAGTCATGAAATTTAGGCTGTCGTCTGCTTATCTTTCTGCAAGGGAATGCTAGCAGTTTATAGTAATACGTTGGTTTTGCATTGGTACCGGCTCATCCAGACAATAATATACGAGGTTAATAAAAGACCCGTTCTTCAACAGTATTTGTTCCTACACTTCTATTTAGTGTTGTATTAATGCGGTGGCATAGCATTTTCTCAAATGCAATCTTGTTTCATACTTTAATTTTGTCCTGGCCATTTCTCCTTAAGTATAAAAGCTATGGACTTGAAACTTCATAGGATGATAGATCTCATTAAGAAGAAGTGCAGTGCACAAGAATCGGTACTCTGCATTTCTTAATTTTTGAGTTATGGCCCTTTGTTAATTTTCATACTTAATTTTTGTCCAGGCCATTTCTCAAAAGTATAAAAGTTATGGACTTGAAACTTCATAGGATGATAGATCTCATGAATAAAAAGTGCAGTGCATAAGAACTGATACTCTGCATTTCTTATTTTTTGAGTTATTGCCCTTTGTTGATTTTCTTACTTTATTTTTGTCCTGGTCATTTCTCCTCTAGTATGAAAGCTATGGACTTGAAACATCATAGAATGATAGATCTTATTGATAAGAAGTACAGTGCACAGAAACTGCTGCTCTGCACTTATTATTTTTTTAGTTATTGCCCATTGTTATTTTTCATATTTCATTTTTGTCCTGGCCATTTCTCCTAAACTACATTGTTCACAAGGCGACACATCCGACTCGCGGAGTTCTAGTATATTCCTTATAAAAACCTATTTATGAGTCGAGATTTTATGTGTCGAATTTTTCGATGTGTTGAAGTTTTTTGTGGTCCGTATAGAATAAATCTGGTACAATTTACCACAAATAAGTCCTTCGATTATTTTGACACCTTCGATCTCGAGACACTTTCACACCTTTTCTGGCCGTGAAGACGATTTCCGATCAACTTTAGTGACAGGTTGACAGGTGTTAATAGCACAGCAGAGTGTTCAAACAGCCTTTTGTATGCGTTGAAATGTGTGAAAAAATGCTTTAATCGCTACTTTTTAGCTCACCTGTCACAAAGTGACAGGGTGAGCTTTTGTGATCGCTTTTCGTCCGGCGTCCGTCCGTCCGTCGTCCGTCCGTAAACTTTTACTTTAAATGACATCTCCTCATAAACCACTAAGCCAATTTCATCCAAACTTCACAGGAATGTTCCTTTGGTGGTCACCTTTAAAAATTGTTCAAAGAATTTAATTCCATGCAGAACTCTGGTTGCCATGGCAACCGAAAGAAAAAACTTTAAATATCTTCTTTTAAAAAACCATAAGAGCTAGAGCTTAGATATTTGGCATGAAACATCTTCTAGTGAGTGTCTACCAAGTTTGTTCAAATAAAAGCCCTGGGGTCAAAATTGGCCCCGCCCCGGGGGGGTCATTGATTTTCCTTATATGTGTATAGCAAAAACTTAAAATCTTCTTTGAAAAAACCCAAATAGCTAGAGTTTAGATATTAAGCATGAAACATCTTCTAGTAAGTGTCTACAAAGTTTGTTCAAATAAAAGCCCTGGGGTCAAAACTGGCCCGGCCCCAGGGGTGTCATTGTTTTTAACTATATGTGTATAGTAAAAACTTTAAAAAAATCTTCTTTTAAAAAGCCCAATGAGCTAGAGCTTAGATGTTTAGCATGAAACATCTTCTTATGGGTGTCTACCAAGTTTGTGCAAATAAAAGCCCTAGGGTCAAAATTGGCCCCACGGGGGGTCATTGATTTTCCCTATATGCATATAGTAAAAACTTAAAAAATTCTCTTTTAAAGAACTCAAAGAGCTATGGCTAAGATATTGAGCATTAAACATGTTCTAATAGGTGTCTACCAAGTTTGTTCAAATAAAAGCCCTAGGGTCAAAATTGGCCCCACGGGGGGTCATTGATTTTCCCTATATGCATATAGTAAAAACTTAAAAAATCTTCTTTTAAAGAACTCAAAGAGCTATGGCTAAGATATTTAGCATCAAACATGTTCTAATAGGTGTCTACCAAGTTTGTTCAAATAAAAGCCCTGGGGTCAAAATTGGCACCGCCCCGGGGGTCATTGATTTTCCTTATATGTGTATAGCAAAAACTTAAAATCTTCTTTGAAAAAACCCAAATAGCTAGAGTTTAGATATTAAGCATGAAACATCTTCTAGTAAGTGTCTACAAAGTTTGTTCAAATAAAAGCCCTGGGGTCAAAACTGGCCCGGCCCCAGGGGTGTCATTGTTTTTAACTATATGTGTATAGTAAAAACTTTAAAAAAATCTTCTTTTAAAAAGCCCAATGAGCTAGAGCTTAGATGTTTAGCATGAAACATCTTCTTATGGGTGTCTACCAAGTTTGTGCAAATAAAAGCCCTTGGGTTAAATTGGCCCTGCAACGTTGGGGGGGGTGGGGGTTTGGGGGCCTATAAACAGGTGAGCGACCTCAGGGCCATCATGGCCCTCTTGTTTAATTGCCGTAGCGGTATTTGAAAGTACATGTGAACAGTAAGAACTATCATTTGAGTACTTCCGTGACCCGGTGTCGCGTCATAATCACATGCGAAATATTTACTATATTCTGGTTTAGTTATTGCCCTTTCGTATTGTTACTTCTTTTGTTTCTTCATTATATACGTCAACAGGTAGTCCAAATCAATTTAGCCTTGAAAAGTTACTTAACATGTCATATTTATCATTGTATAATGTAAAATATCAGATGAAAGAATGAAAGAAAAACATGAAAAAGGTTACGTTATAGATCTTATAATTAGGGCTAGTCATGGGTTGAAATTTTGTCATGAAATTCAGACCGATTCCTGAGTCGAAGTCCCGATGTGTCGAAGTTTTTACGAAAGTCCCTCCAACTTCGACTTACCGAAGTTCTACTGTAGTATGATTTATATCAGAGAACCTGAATTCGTTTTGTGAATTAAGTATGTTAGTGAAAGGGAAAATAGATTTTTTTATGCATTTCAGTACAAAACCAAGAAGTTGCACCTGTTGAAATGATGAGTGGACAGGTGTTTGACAATTTGCAACCTGAAGCAGCAGGTATTATTTTATTCAGACCTAACATATGACTTGTAAGATTCTGTTGATTGGCTTCTTAAATGGTAGATCAAAGTTGAATGTGTTGATTTAACAATACAATCACAGTGTTTTTTCCCACAGAGTTTTGGGGCCAAAATAAGAGCTCCATTCACAAATCTTAAAAGTTTCTATCTTTTCACAATTGTGGATGTAAATCAGACCTGTAGTCATTGACATAATTTTCAATTACCTTGTAACATATTGCAACATTTCAAAAGTCAAAATTTATTATTCAAACAAAAGAACATGAGAAAAGAACAGAGACATTTTACTATTAGACATTATTCAATAAGTTGTGTATCATGAATCAAAGCAATTTTATTTTATCCCATTTAATATTTATATTTTACCAGTATGAATCATAAACAATATGATTCAGTCCATATGTGTTACAGTCTATTTCTTTTCTTAAACCTTAAAACTACATATATATGCCTGTGATGGTGACTTTTATGTATATTAAAATATGTTTCATTGTTCAGAAGCAGTAAAAAAGATGTCAGACAGAATTAAAGAACTGGAAGCCCTGCTGTCTAGCCAGCAGGTACCTGGCTCACAACCTGTCGGTAAGGAGACTAAAACCGAGTGTACTCAACCAGTGAAATTAGAGAGTTCTAACCTAATCTCACGAACACAAGCAGATGTTAAGAGTACTCCATTGTCAAGCCAGGTTAAACAAGAACCTATAGGAAATAATCCTACTGATAAAACTGGAGACCATGTCAAGAAAGGTAATTCTGTTATCTTATTTGTTAATTAGCTTTTGGAAAGTGAATAGTCTTTGCAGGCTGCCTAGTATCCCAAAAATTCCTAAAATATCCTAATTTTTTTCAGTTTGGCTAAAATTCCTAAAAAAAGTGAAAAATTCAAAGCGAATTCCTTAAAATGTCCAATTTTACCACTGAAATTCTTATTTTTTAGCTCAACAGAGCCGAAGGCTCAGGGTGAGCTATTAGTATCAAAGGGGGATGCTCTGGCGTCCGTCGTCCGTAATATTATTTTGATTGGCCCCTTTTAGGGGTCTCTAGGGCTAAAAATAGAAAAACCTTTAAACATCTTCTCCTACAGAACTAATTGATGGATGATCACCTAACTTTGTCGATAGCATTCTCGGGTAGTGTTTTATCAAGTTTGCTCATATTAATTTGATTGGCCCCTTTTAGGGGCCACTAAAGCAAAAAATAGAAATACCGTTAAATGTCTATTTTTAGAGAACTAATTGATGGATGATCACCAAACTTTGTCTGTAGCATTCTTGGGTAGTCTTTTATAAAGTTCGCTGATATTTTGTTTGGCCCCTTTTAGGGGCCGCAAAAGCTAAGAATAGAAATACCTTTAAATGTCTATTTCTAGAGAACTTATAGATGGATGATCACCAAACTTTGTCTGTAGCATTATTGGGTAGTCTTTTATCAAGTTTGCTCATATTAATATGATTAGCCCCGTTTAAGCTAAAGCTTAAATGGCCCAGGTCATGGCATTTCTTCAAATTATTGTTTAAACATCTTCTATGCTCAAATTTAATATTAGAATATATTGACATTCCAACACTGAAAAGCAGTTGTTTCTGGTGAGCGACTCAGGGCCGTCATGGCCCTCTTGGGCCCTCTTGATTTATCTTTTGTTATGAACATACTTATAACTTTGAAAATGTTTTCATTCTAATTATGTTTTTTTTTTATGTAGTTTTTCAGTTTTCTTATTCAGAGTAGGGAGTTAAAGCAGTTGATCAGTTGACGTGTGGTTTCTTTGTCTTCTTTCTTTTTAACCACTTTGATTTCATTGTGTTCAAGGTTGTCACCATGTACAGAGTTGTTTCAACTTAAGTGAATTAATGTATCATTGTGGTTTATACGTATGATTCTTATGTTACTGATTTCAAAACCATTTACCCCAGTATTGCAGTGGGTCCAAATCGTAATTTGTTCTTAAGATATTTTTTTTTGAGAATAGGATAGGTGTCAAACAGTAATATATGGAAACAAAAACATTTATTTTACAGAAATGATTGATGATCTCCCAGACTTGGATGAAAACATTGTAACAACCGGTGTGTTTCATACAATAGTATTGAAATAGAAATGTAGCATGGGGCTTTAATATATTTAATAGTTTCCAAATAATTATCTTTTTTTGCTGAATGCATGCTAACAAACTTCTTTACAAACAGTTTTATATGGAGTGGGTTTTATTGACACTAAAATATCGAGGAATTTTCATACTAAATCGTTAAAGGCTCAAGATGGCTCAGAAATGCTATCATTTTTATTTCTTAAAAACTTCTTACTTTTGGTTTCTTGTTAGAGTTTCCAAAAAATAGTCATTTGCCATATAGATTAATTTTCTTTGTTTCTTTTGCTTGTTTAGGACTTTGTATAATTATAGTGAATAAGTATTTTGTATGAAAGTCAAAATACTATTTTGTTTACATTTCACTACCTTTACAACACATTATTGCATTTTCAGGGCTACCTCTGCTGTTAAACATCTAGCATGCTCTAAATCCATTATTGAAACATTATTGAACACATGTTTGACATAATACTCATTTTGGTATTTCAAGTTTGTTTTAGTCAAGATATAGTCACTGCCATGCTAGTAATAATACATAATAAACAGATATAAAAAAACAACAGATATAGTGGATATTAATTTGTAATTTGTTAAAGTCTTCAACTTTATAAACTGCATTCCTTTTGTCGAAATGTACAAATCATGATACTGCATCATGATATACAACCAAGATGTTATGATAATTTTTTAATACATATTTAGCACAATATCTAACTCACCATTTTTATTTGCAACCTGTTATATAAGCTATTGATAAAGGACATGTGCACTTTACTAACAACATACACCAAGCACAGGGATATCCTAGGCACCAAATCTTTATATATGACCTTTGCTGTGTTGGTGTGACCTAAAATCCAACATAAACAAGCCTTGTTTATTGGTGTGACTTAATATCCAACAAAAACAACCACATTTAGTTGTACTTCTATCTGTAAAAATATATTGTCATCATTATAGCGTCCTTACAACATGCACATCATTCGATCTTGTAAACTGTGTACTGCTTGCTGCATAGTTTTACCATCTTGCTTTAAGTATCTCTCAAAATATTCAGCTTTACCCCCTGCTGATGTTTCCTGCTTTGAATTTGGAACAGTCCATTTGTTGTTGAAGGGAATTCAATCTCACATATTTAAATTCAACAGTCAACTCTATATAGATCCTAGCCAAATTTGCCTGATTAATTCTATATTGGAAGTGAAGGTCTTGTCACCACATCCCTCAATTTGTTGTTCCAAATTCAAAGCATGGTAAGATCATATAGGGTAAAGGTTAATGCTTATGTCACTGCTTAAATAACTAGAAAATTTAGTATGTTTATGTATATAATATTGTATAATCATGCCTTAATTTATTTTTAAGAAAATTTTGAACAGAAAATAATGTCTATAGAATTTTGTTGAAATTTATAAAATTTCAAAAAGTCCTGTATATAAATTCAGTAGGGTTAAGTTTATTGAATAAATTTTTCAGAAATAGATGATATAATATTAAGTATACCTTATGAGATGTAATTTCTTATTATCACTCACTTTTGTTTCTTTTATTTAAAGAAGAATTACCAGACATACCAGCAGTTACGTGTTATGGGGACTCCAGCAACAGTAAGTTGAGCATCCTTAAATTTCCAAATATCAAGTACATGTACTGATAAACCCTTTATAGTAACAAACATAATTTATCAGAAACATGTAGAATATAAGAAATACTTCCGAAATCATGATTTGTAGAAGTAAGGTCAGTTGATAATTTATTAGTCCCCTACCGGTTTACCGGAGGGGACTTTAGGTTTACCCTCCGTCCGTCTGTCCGTCTGTCCGTCCGTCCGTCCGTCAGTCCGTCTGTCCGTCCGTCAGTCCGTCCGTCCACAAAACTGGATCCCGCGATAACGCAAAAAGTACTGAAAATATTTTAATGAAACTTGATATATGGATTGATGGCAGTATGGAGATTATGCACGTCTTTTTCTTTTCTTCCTATGTTGAAAATTCTGGTTGCTATGGCAACAAATAGACTGAAAATATGGCAAATTTTACACATAACCTGGATCCCGCGATAACGCAAAAAGTACTGAAAATATTTTTATGAAACTTGATATATGGATAGATGGCAGTATGAAGATTATGCACGTCTTTTTCTTTTCTTCCTATGTTGAAAATTCTGGTTGCTATGGCAACAAATAGACTGAAAATATGGCAAATTTTACACATAACCTGGATCCAGTGATAACACAAAAAAGTACTGAAAATATGTTTATGAAACTTGACATATGCGTAGATGGCAGTATGGAAATTATGCACATCCTTTTTTATCTTCCTATGTAGAAAATCCTGGTTGCTATGGCAACAAATAGACTGAATTTCAAGATTTCTGATTCTAGTTTTTTAGTTTTTTCACTATAAGTTCTTTATTTCTTGAGGTATTTTCTTCAAACTTTAAATATAAGTTGCTTGTCATCAACCACATCATATGTAACAAGGTTTACAACTCTAGCACAAAATTTATCAGAATAACCTCCCTTGAACTTAAAATTTTCATGAAAAAAACATTGTTTTTTTTTAATAACTTCTTTTTCTGAATGTATCTACTTCAAACTTCATATAAATGTTTCTTATTGTCACTCAACATTTGTGAGTGTTCAATACTCTAGCAAGACTATTTCCAGAATTATGCCCCTTTTGAACTTAGACTCTTTTTTGAGAAATTGGTAATTTTTACTCCAACTTCTTCAATCATGATAGGATTTTGAAAATGTTATATTGTGATAACAGGGATGTTTAAAAAATAACTTTAGAGTGTCCTTCAGTACGTCTGTCTACATAAAAACTGTTTCCTGTGATCACTTTTAAAGAACTTTTTCAACAAATTTACTTAAAATAGGAACCTAAGTGAATGGCAAATGGCCCTTCAGAATGTTGCTTGGGCTCTTACCGTTAGGGGACTTATGGATTGCTTGCAATACTATGATAATTGCTTGTTTAGAATAGTTTGGGTTTGTACTCTATAGAGTGATATACAGTCCTTGTTCTGTATGTGTATTGAAATGAAAAGTTGAGTCCTATAACTGCTTCAAATTGTCAGTTTTGTCATATCTTGTTTTGGGCGAATGTAACACAAGCTATGGTAACAAGATTCTATTTTGAACATAACTTGCCTAATATAACTAAAAAAATGTAATTTGCCTAATAACTTAAAAAAAATGTATTTGGCATTTATACACTTTAATAAATTGTGACAATAATTATTTGTACCAATTGAATGCATCATACATGTGAACTTTTTTCGATGATCAAGTGAGAGATTTTTCTTCAAAAAGAGGAGATTTTAGAATTAGCAATAAACAAAGAAGGAAGTTCTGACATCAAAAATAGGGAGATTTATTTAATTTGTTAAAATTATATGTATTATAAGAAAAATCTTTGAAAATATGGCTGCAGAAAAAGAGAGTCTCCCACTAAAAGTTGGAGAGTTCACATGTATGCTGCATATGTGATTGCTTTATGGCTTAAATATATGCCAATATATTCTGTAAAATTTGTGATAATGGCCTTTATTTTAAGCTTATGTGTTATATATATGAAATGAATTATTACTTTCAGGTTTTTCATCCGACAAGGTTGTTACATCTAACTATACTAAAGCAGGTAGAAGTTTATTCATATATTATCTATATTACTATTATAGGGGTCCTAAGTTGTTTGACCAGACAATACTGTCAGCTGCATAACATTAGTACAGAAAACTCAACTTGTAACAATGCTGTTAGTTGCATCTCGGATATAACAGTATAAATTCAGCAGTCCCTTGAATATTGTTATAATCGAAGTTTACTGTATTTCAAAATTATTATCTTTTGAGTTAACAAAGCACATTTTTGGAATAAAAAAGATTTTCCATAAGTATTGATCTATGAGGTAATTACAATAGTTTAACAATTCAAGTTAAAGTTGAATTGAAGACTGTTCAGTGTGGTTCAAGCAAGCATTATTTATTTAAAGGCGCATCCCTGCAGATTAATGCTTATTTTTATGAACATTTTGAAAAAGTATTAAAAAGTGAAATATTTTCAATTAAGCAAAGTAATTTTTACATTGCAAATGACAGATTCAGTTATGACAGATTCAGTTCCATGTAAATAACCAAAAAATTGTCAAAATATGCAATAAAAAGCCTGAACTGGGTTAATCAGGCAGGAGAATATGGTTATAAATACAGCAAATTTAGACAGTCATTTATTTCATGTCACATGAATTATTACTTGAATTATAAATTATTATTATTATTTTTATAAATCTTAGTATATTTTTCTGATTAATAATGGTTGTTACTTTAAAAAAAATGGCTCATCTTAAGGCATGCAGCTTTAACACAAATCTGGACGCATGCTGCTTTAAGCCCAATTGTTTAGAAAGCTTGGAAGTTTATTTGAAGCTCTCTCAAGTCCACCCAGATTTTGCATGATAAAAGAAAAAATAGCTGTGATCTCACTAGGGCTCGAACCTAAAATCCCTTGGTTGAGAGGCAGACACCTTATCCACCAGGCCACCACTCCTTCAGAGAAAACATGTGACAAACTGTAAGGAGAAGTTATTTATATAGTGGACTTGACATTTATTTCTTGCATATGAGACAGGAGTATCTACTGTTTACACTGTTGCTAGAAAAAAAGTGTCTTACACCCCCAATGTAAGACAAGTCTTGTGTTTTAAATGGTGACATTCCAAGGCACCTGAATGAAGTACATTCAAAGATTGTCGTCTTTTTGCCGTCATGAATGAAGTTGTAATTTATACACTACTATACTTCTTTTCGAAATATCATTTATTTGTAATATGTAAGGAATAGAATTAGACACCGGCTGTTGTCACAGACACAAGTACCTACCTTTCTGGTAAACGTCTGGTAGAAACTCAGCAGGGCCTTGTTGCCGCCGTAAAGGATGGATGTTTCGGTCTGTACTGGCAGTCCGTGTAAGACCCTTAATATCTGTTTATGACCTATACAGTCGTGTATGTTTGGATATTTACAGAAGTAAGAGAACTAGGGGAGAGCACTGGACGAACATTTACAACAGGGCCAAGATGTACATTGATAGTCTGCCCATTATCTGTTCTTAGCAACTGGCTTGTAAGTGACTTTCAAATTAAACTTCTGTTATAGGCAAAGTATGAAAAATGTGTGTTTTTTCTTAATCTTAGTCAATTTCTTTATAAGTAATGATTTGCAAAAAACTGTAAGAGTTGATTTTGAACGATATTTAATTAAAATAAGTAAACAGGGTCCATTAAGGTCAAAGTTTTCATATTTGTCCTTTCCCTTCTTGAATTGAAAATGTTCGAAAACCAACAACTACTTTATGTGCCTGTTTGTGCCTGAAATAATGCAGGGAAGGGCGCCTTCGGTCTTCACGGTCGCCAGAAGACCTGTACTGTGTTGATCCGAAAATATGGAATTACTTCCCTTTTATATTACATTTCAAATATAAATATGATTATTGCAAAAATGAATAGTCTGTCAATTTTTCCCTGTTTTGTATACATTAGGGTAGATCTTTACAATTTCAATTTCACCTGACAGATAAAATTTAGAAGAAATTTAAGCAATTATATTAACATAATTATGCATAAAGCTTAATTAGGTGATATCATTTGTTGATATTTTTTACTTGTTTAAAAAAAAAAGCAAAAAAGTAATTGGACACATTTTGCATTTGAAAACATTTTGAAAATTAGCATCACCTAAGAAAATTGCAAAATGACATGTTGATCTTTATCGAGTTATATGATTTTCTTGAAATTTCTGTTAACTTTGCATTCAAGTCTTATCTCTCCTGACTGATTTCATATAATATGCGTTGATACATATTTTGAAAATTTCAGGACTGATTGTTAACTAAAACTTCATAGCTGTGAATATTTTTGAGCAAAAAACTTGGAAACATAAAGAAAAACAACTGAAAAACTGAAAGCAAGAGTTAGAATGTTTGTAAAAATAAAAAATCTTTCGATTTTTTTTTTTGATTGATGAAAAGGACATTAAAATATTTTTTTTTATGAAAAGAACCTGATTAAGTTTAAGCATGTATGAATTTGTAAACCACTTGCTCATGTATGAATTTACACATGTGAACTCTTATAATTTAACAGCAATATATAGCTATTAGAGATACTTGATTAATAAAGGGAGGTAATTCAAACCTTCAAATTCTGTATTTATTACATTTTTGCTGCATATTTCTCATACATTTTTGTCCTAAATACTCATCTATATAAGTTAATAAATATTTATGCATAAATTTTCATATCAAAACAAAAATTAAAACCCAGTATAGCTTAATAATTGATTTATATATAATGGTAAAAATCCTTTGTAAAAATTGTCAACGGTAAGGTTTCTACTTTACCTGTGGACCTTGTGTCCATAGACAAATGATGAACAGTGGTAATGATCTCTTTGATTAAACCACACGGACCTGTTAAGTTTGACGACCTTTCAGGTGCCATTTCTGACTGTCTATGGTCATTTATACTTCTCCTTAAATGTTATCATTATACATGAAGAGGGTGCGAAGTGTCTGACAAGAATTTTGAAATTGCTCATTAACCACTAAGTGGAAGTGAAGTGTTTGAGACGTACTACATTAATCAGAAGTTTATATTTGTTTTTACATTTTACAAGAATGTTTTGATGTTATGTTGTTTGATTGGAGGGGGAGGGGGGGGGGGGCAGCAGGGGGACCCAAAAAGTTTTAAATTATATAATTGACCAATATCTCCCTGTTAAGATGTTGAAAACTAAATGACATTTATCAAGGTAAAGAAATTAAAAATTATATAAAAAACAAACAATTTTTCATCAAGTGATTTTGTTGCATCAAAATGTTGTTGTGTTTCTATAATAACTATTTAGTTAACCCACTAGGTTTTATCTTTCTTTCTTTCTCTAGGACCAGTTGGAAGACCATGTACACCGAAATGTACATCTGAGTATTTATCTGTACTATGGCAGTGGTAGGACAAAGAACAGTCACTTACTAGAGAGCCAGGATGTTGTGATAACAACTTATTCTACAGTCTCGGCAGATTTTAAGGTATTCTTTAAAAATATTTCACTCGAGCAGCAATGATTTGTATTTTTTGACTGAGAGTTGACAGGTGATCAATTAGACCAAGCATACATTCACACACAAATAAAAATGAAGAATATAGAATGTTGGTTATTAAAAGTCATATTTTTATTCTCGAAATTAAAGGATTTAGCTGCTCTGGCTTAAAACTTTCTCTGTAGGTAAAGTATATAATCAGACTTTAGTACTTTATTTGATTAATTATGTATTTAATCACAATGGTAAAAAAAGTTCATAAGATTTTGTATTTTAACACTTCTCTGTGGATACTCTAAGGGTAGCTTGTTAAGGTGGATTTTTAAGTTGCATCTTTTATTTAGGCAAAATAAGCCAACTGTGTGAAATGTTTGACCTGAGTTATCTGTTAAAATTTGATTTGATGCAAGTAACAGTCATGTATATTCATTTTTTCAAATGTTTTCAGAAGGGGGCCAGAAATCCATTAAAGAAGGTCAAGTGGTTGAGGATCGTTCTTGATGAGGGTCATGCCATAAAGAACCCCCTGGCCCAGCAAACAAAAGCCATATTAGAATTAGATGCTCAGAGAAAATGGGTGCTTACAGGTCAGACTGAATAACTTGTATTTATTATTTTTAGAAATATAATGTTGTCCAAGGATTATACAGTTTAATCATAGGTTATGTCCATTGTATAGTCATACATCATTCACCATCTTCAAAAAATTCAGCATATTTTGGGTCCATCTAGGTGTGATAAAGAATAAAGGATGTATGACCCAGAGTAGAATTTTTTTTGTCAGATTGCTTCATTCTAATGTAGTTGGGTTGTTTCCCTATGATCGGGGTGTTATTTTTTTTCCCTGGATTATATTAAGTGGAAGTAAAAAATTGTTCTAATTTTCATGCATATATGATAAACTGCTATCATCTTGGTATTGCAAGTTTTCTTCGTCAAAAAAGAGGTCTTACGTTAACAATTAAAAGTTTGGCGCGGTATGGCCAGTAATGTGTCATGTGCTGTTAAACCTAAACAAGAAAACAAAAAATGAGGAAGGGGGGGGGGGACATTTCAATTTATTCAGATGGCATCCCTTTTCTAAAAGTTTTTAGATTTGATAAAGATATGAAGAAATAATATTATTTGCAGGAACACCAATCCAGAATTCTATGAAGGATCTTTGGAGTTTGATTAACTTCCTGAAGGTGAATCCTTTCACTGACAAACAGTGGTGGCGGAGAACCATTGAGAGACCTCTGGAGAAAGGAGATGAAAGTGCTCTCAAGTATGAATTTATATTTAACATTTTGACAAGAGTCATGGCCCCTTTTGGAATTCAGAAAATTCTTCTTTATTCAGGCTCTTTTACTATCAAGCACTGTGAATAGTGAAGCATGCAGACAGCTCTTGTCTGAGTGAGTCATAGCTATAGGCTATCTGGTCATTGTCAGTGTTCAATGTTCATATAATTTTGCGTGCCTTATAATGATACCTGAACAAAAATTATAGCTATTTGTAGAAAGATTGGTGCTTTCACAGTACTAATTTACTGTGGAACATAAAATGTCTCCTTTCATCAGTAAAAGCTAAACCGTAACCCTGCTGGAATAATAAATGCCACCAGTAAATGAGTATAGAGCCAGGCCAGCCTGTTCATCCGTGGTTAAGGAAATCTTTTAAGCATACTGTAAAGGCTCCTTAGATATAATCCTAATCTTGTATCTTATTTCACAGGAGAGTTCAACATTTGATGGGCCATCTGGCGTTAAGAAGAACAAAGACACAGGAAGTAAATGGGAAACCACTGGTACAGTTACCGGAGAGAAAAGTTTTTATTGAGCATGTGAAGCTGTCAGAGGAAGAGAGAAAGACATATGATTCCATGCAGAACGAGGGCAGGCTGATAGTTAGCAAGTAAGCTTGGGTTCTGTATTTCTATTTTTAAATACACATGTACTTAAAGCTGAATTGGGAAACAAGTTCATGCAACTTTCATTTATCACTTTGAAGTCCTCGCTGGAACAATCCACTACTTGTATCATAGGAAGAAACATGGTTTTGAACCCAAGATCCCCAGGTTGAGGGGCAGACACCTTAAGCTTTATGTTATTTACTGAACATCCTTATGTATTAAAACAACATAAAGCAGAGAAAAGGTTATATCTGTTTAATTTGTAAGTAGTGTAAATGCATATTACTTGTAAACATATTGAAGAATGTTCATGAATATCATCTCTCAGCATATAAAATTTTAAACATTAGTAGTGATGAAAATCCATTCAACAGTTCCCCTTTTAGGACACCCTGTACAAAGCGCAGCATAGAATGAGTTAAACATTTATTCCCCAATTTGTTTGTTTTGTAGGTATTTTAAACAAGGGACATTGTTACACCATTACGGTGATGTACTAGCCATTCTAATGAGATTAAGACAGCTGTGTTGTCACCCATTCCTGGTAGCCAAAGCTGCAGCAGCAGTTAAAGATACTATAGGTGAGAACTCTGTTTAATATTATGTACAGTTTTTGAGAACTATGTTTAAAGGGACTCCACTGAGATTTTTTGACATAACAGGGCTGGAAATATATTTTCGAGATTAATGTTCCAATTGATGAAGATCTAAACCAGAAGCTTGTGTGCAAAATTTCAGATCAATCGCTCACTCAGTTTTTCCAGAATAATTATTCTAATTGTGAAAACATAAGCCAAAAGTTCGCTTTCACAGTAATCTTGCTAAGAACAGCACAAAAATACAATTTTCATTTTATTTCTAAGAATATTTCCTACTAATCGTTTGAATATCTAACTGTTTTAAGAACCTTTCCTGATATATGAAAAGAATTTAAATTTCATATTTTAAGGCTTTTAGAACTCAGTGGAGTTCCTTTAATATTGTGTACAGTTTGTATTTTAAAGGGACTCGACTGAGGTTTTATGACATGACAAGACTGGAATATTTTTTCAAGACATTTAAACCATTTGATAAAGGTCTATACCTATAATTTTTGTGCAAAATTTTTGATCACTTTGTATACTCATTTTTCCCAAAGAACCATTTTTATTGTGCAAAATGACTAACAAATGAAAGCGTTCAAAATGCTTTCCTAAACTTGCTACATTCTAGCCGAGATAGATCTAGCTATATTCCTTTTTCTGAACTTGCTTCATTCCAGCTGAGATAGATCGTAATGGTGGAGTGATCAACGAGGAACTACGTAAGAAATTGATTGACACGTTAATCATGGTATTAAGTTCGGGTACCGATGAGGAGTGTGCCATATGCCTTGACTCACTTAAAACCCCGGTAATAACACACTGTGCTCACGTGTTCTGCCGACCCTGCATAGAAACTGTGATCAGAAATGAAAGGGTGAGTAGGAGTAGATACCATCCTATACACAATCGATAATTATAATAATAATAATAACTTTATTTACAGAAGATAACACATTAAGACATATACAGATTGTAACACCTTATTTACAATGCAGCCTTCTAAATTAAAAAAAGAAAAAAACAAAAACATGCACACACAAAAGAACACATATCAATCGAACAAAATATAGAAATTATTAAATGGCAATCACAATTTAAACATTTATCTTATCACACATACTGAACATTCATACAATTCATTTTATCTTACCTTAACTATCATTAAGCATAATACTTTCATCATGGAGTACATTGTAAAACTATTCATTCCACTGCAGGGGCTATATCAAAATTACATAGCTGTTGAAAAAAAAAAACAGTAAAAAAGTATTGACCTTTCAGTAAAAAAAAAATCCTTAACCATACAACTTAGTAAGTAAAAAGAAAGAAATAAAGCCTTAAATGCACTGATATGTTTTAAGACATACATTATAACATATGAAAAGATTATTATATAATAAATGCTTATATACACGGCAAAAATTACTAATTTGATGCATGGTTTAAGTAGAAATTGCTAAGATAAGTATTAATCTTTCAATAAGAATGCTTATTTGATTAATGACAGGTTTTAAGACTCCTATAGTTCCTTTTATGTACTGGTATATTTTAAGACAAACATGCTACCTATCAATCATAGAGCAGAACGCCTTAGATTCATGATATTTTCATGAAAATTTTGAAAATGTTTTTAGAAATAAAATAACAAATTACCAAAAAGAGGTCAAAATATGCAAAAAACAGCTATAACTGTATGCTGCGTAAGTCAAGCAGAAGAACTGTGTTAGTCACACATTAGAAATATGTTGATAAATACAGCAAATTCAGTCTTTAATCGCATGTAACATGTAAATTATTACTTGAATGAAGAATCTTTACCTCATATAAAATCAAAGTTAATTTTTCTCAAGTTGGATTTTCTTGAAAAATCTGGCTCATCTGGAGGCATGCAGCTTTAAGCAGAATTTTTAAAGCACTGCATTGTTCACCCACTAATGGGAAGCATGAGACTGGGAAATTCAGCGTCCTTTGCAAATGGGTATCAAGGAAATTGATTCAGAAGTTTTAGCAGTCCAGCATTATAAAGATTCGTAATGTATTTTTGTGACCAAAGTTGCTGTACAGTATAAATTAAGAGCTTTCAAATTTTGCTGTTAATTTAAAAATTTATAAAAAAAGGATCTTTCAAATTATCATATGAAACATTAATGAATTGTGCTCATTGTCATTTTAGCCACACCCGAAGTGCCCTTTATGTAGAGGTGCTATAGAAGATGATAAGTTGTTGGAGGTTCCTCCAGAGAAGATTCAAGATGAGAAGACAGATGATAACTCCATAGTTGCTGATACCTGGAAATCCAGTGCTAAAGTTAGTTCTTGTTTAATTAGTTATTGTTCTTCTCCATGTGATTTAAAATCTTACAATACTTGTGTGTGGGGAAGCTATCCATTGTCTATTCTAGGAGGGGGGATTGGGGGGATTCACACCTATTTATTCAGAGGCAGAGGGAAAATTTTACATAGAGAAAGAAAGAAGATCAACAAATGTAATAAATTTTTCACTTTTCAAATAAAAATCCCCCACCCCCTTTTTTTTCGAATCCTAGAATAAACACTGGCTATAGAGCTAGGTAATGGGAAGTTGGTTTAACTTTCATACATTTGCTAATACCTGCTTTTGTCTTTAAAAAACTTTTGCCTATAGATCTCTACCTGTGCTTGTAATAATACATTGGGTTTGCTCTTCCAGTTACAATAGAGGAGAAAAAAGGTAAAGTGGTGATAAAATCTCTCAAGAATTTGATTCATTGAAACCTGCTGTTTATTAGGTCATGTCTGTTCTGATAAGGAAATCATGCGACCTGATCGAACAACAATTCAGAAAACAAACAATTTTATATTCAATACATCCAATTGTATATAAACTTAGATAATGTTCTACTTTAACTGTGTTATAGTTATAATACTATGTTTCTCAAAGGTGGGTGAAATGTTTATTTAAAAATAAAAATTTTTGTCATTGACTAGGTTGATGCATTGATGAATGCCTTGTTGAAGTTGAGATCCGAGGACGGCAGTATTAAGAGTATAGTAGTCTCCCAGTTCACTAGTCTTCTGACATTGCTCGAGACTCCACTGAGCACTAACGGCTTCAACTTTGTGCGCCTAGATGGTACGATGAGCTCCAAGGCTCGCTCTCAGGCCATTGAAGAATTTTCCGACCCTACTTCAGGATCACCAACTATATTTCTGTTGTCACTGAAAGCAGGAGGTGTAGGTATAAATCTGACAGCAGCTTCCAGAGTCTTCCTGATTGATCCGGTAAGTTTGAATAATCTTGTGAATGAAAAGAATGTTGACTTATGTTGTCTTATCTATTTTTATTTATAAAAAATCTAGTGATATGTTCAAAAATTTGTATTGACTAAGTTTTATGCATTTTCTGCCCCTAAAACATACTATCAATTCTAATTTCTTTCTACTTAAAGTATTGCTCACTTATTTTGAAAAATATAGTATTTATGTTATGCACTCTATCTTTTTCTAAGGCCTGGAACCCTGCATCAGAGGAACAGTGCTTTGATAGGTGTCACAGACTGGGACAGACCAAAGACGTGATCATAACAAAAGTAAGATATATGTAATAATATGATAGGAGTCAAAAGATGATTTCTTTTTCTCAGTTCATTTGTTAGCTTAAAGAAGTTTTTAGAAGTTTTCATATAGACATATAAGCAATATTAAAACTGTCATCAAATTCTAACAACATGCCAAGTTTAAAGAAATTCTATTGACCAGTTTCAATTCTACCTATATGTTTCTATTAAAACTCCTGAAAATGTTCTTTTTTTTTAATGTTCTATTTTTAGCTCACCTGTCACAAAGTGACAGGGTGAGCTTTGTGATCGCTTTTCGTGCGGGAAAAACTTTAAAAATCTTCTTTTAAAGAACCTGTTGAAAGAATTTAATTCCATAAAAAAGAGTTAGAGCTAAAAATATTTAGCAATGAAACATGTTCTAATAAGTGTCCTACCAAGTTTGTTCAAATAAAAGCCCGGGGGGTCAAAATTGGCCCCGCCCAGGGGGTCATTGGATTTTCCCTATATGCATTAATAGTAAAAACTTAAAAAATCTTTTTGAAGAATCAAAGAGCTATGGCTAAGATATTTAGCATCAAAACATCAGTAAAAACTTTAAAAATCTTCTTTTAAAGAACCAAAGAGTTCTATAGGTTTATGTCTCTACCAAGTTTGTTCAAATAAAAGCCCTGGGGGTCAAAATTGGCCCCGCCCGGGGGTTGTGTATAAGCAAAAACTTAAAAAATCTTCTTTTTGAAAAAACCCAAATAGCTAGAGTTAAGATATATAAAGCATGAAACTTGTTTTAGTGAGTGTCTACAAAGTTTGTTCAAAAATAAAAGACCTGGCGTCAAAACCTGGCCCGGCCCAGGGGTGTTCATTGTTTTTTAACTATATGTGTATAGTAAAAACTCTAAAAAAAATCTTCTTTTAGAAAGTCCAATGAGCTAGAGCTTAGATGTTTAGGCAATGAAACATCTTCTAATGGGTGTCCCTACCAAGTTTGTGGCAAAATAAAGCCTCAGGGCCATCATGGCCCTCTTGTTATACATGTAGCAAAAGTTTCAGAAATGACTAACAAAAACTGCTTATGGTAACCAAATGGTTTTAGATAAAATTGTTTTGCTTCCTGAATACTTTCAACTAGCTATCCAGCTATTTATAGAAGATTTGTGGTTTTATTCCTGTGCCTGTTGGTGCCTGAAATACTTTGTACATAAACAGCTGTTTAGCCCTTCTTCTACCATTGAAACTGGAAATTGGCTGTATGGCATTTACAGTACCCAAGTGAGGTAAAATCTAACCTTTAAGATAAATTCCTCACTTGTTTTAATGAACAGTGATGTACCATGAATTCAAGAAGTGGTTTTGATTAATTTTAATCTACCGCCTCTAATTTTACAATTTTTTCACACAGTTTATTGTTGAGGATTCAGTTGAAGAAAGGATGATGGAACTTCAGGAAAAGAAGCGAAAATTAATGCAGGGCGCCTTTGGTCAGAAACAGAGTGCTGAACAGAAGCGACAAGCCAGAATAAAAGACATCAAAACATTGTTTGCCTTTTAGGGCACATCTGACCATAATGTTTCACCACATATGACCATAATGTTTCACTATATCTGACCATAATGTTTCACCACATATGACCATAATGTTTCACCATATCTGGCCATATCTCACCATAATGTTTCACCATATACTGACCATAATGTTTCACCATATATCTGACCATGTTTCATCATATCTCACCATAATGTTTCACCATATATCTCACCATAATGTTTCACCATATATCTCACCACCATATATCTCACCATGTTTCACCATATATCTCACCATAATGTTTAATCATATCTGATCATGTCACCATCATATCTCACCATAATGTTTCACCATATATCTCACCATAATGTTTCACCATATATCTCACCATGATGTCTCACCATAATGTTTCACCATATATCTGACCATAATGTTTAATCATATTTATGACCATAATATTTAAAATATTTCTCACCATAAGGTTATAGTATATATGACCATAGTTAAATAGTTTAAGTTGGTGAAAAGTGCCTTGACAATATCTATATGATATCTCGAAGTTATATCAAAGGTTGTGATTGAAGTTTTGTGTGAAAAGTTGGTATTTATCGTAGAAATCTAGAATAAAATTTGTTAAACAAAACAAAAAAATCAAATTTTGGTTATGAAATCACATAGATTTTGCCACCTCAGTATTATTCTACTGTTACATTGTTGAAATATTTTATACTGCACAAAAAAAATGCTTTTTTATTATTTTATTGTTATTATGATATGTATCTTCCTCCACCTGCTTTGTCAGTTGGGAGATGTTTAGGAAGAAATTTTTTTAACCATATTTTCTTATATCTGTTCCTTTTCTGAAAGTTTTTATTATTTTAAATATGCTAGCAGTCATTGTTTTATTTGTTTTAGTGGGAAATCATGAATCTTGGCCTGTTTTTAATGGAGAATAGTTATACAAACATAGCTGCATGTAGTAATAAATGTGCTGCATATGACTTGAAGATACGAACATTATCATATATAATATATTTCACAGTATTTTAATGCAAATTTTTTAACACATTTTGAATACCATGTAAATTCATTGATTACAGTTTTTGTAGAACTGTGATGTAAACATGCCAGCATCTCCATTTAGATGTAACGGGGAATGAAAATTGACCCGCGTCACAACAAAACCAACAAAGTGGGTTTGCTACCAGCATGGATCCAGACCAGCCTGTGCATCCACGCAGTCAGATCAGGATCCCTGCTGTTCGCTATCAGTTTCCCTACTTGTAATAGAGTTGGTAAGCGAACAGCATGGATCCTGATCAGACTGCGCGGAGTCGCAGGCTGGTCTGGATCCATGCTGGTCGCAAACCCACTATGTTGGTTTTGTCATGACCCGGCTCAAATATTGTTTCAATATTTTTGTACCATTTAATGTAGTTCTCAAACAATGACTTCTCTTGAAATTTAACTCCTTTTTTCCAGCTAAATAAATTTAACTCTGCAAAATTATTTAAATATGGAAAGAATTTAAAACATTTTTTAACGCATATTGACCTAAGAGTCGAACAAGAAATTGATTTTCAATTTAATTTTGAGTATATTTATTTCTTCTATATATTTCCATTATAAGTTGATCTGTGTAAGAATCACAAATGTTATGTTTTAGGTATTTGCACACAAGTAGAGCCCATTTAAAAAAGTAATCTGATAAATTATGTTTGGTTAAATGTGATATGGGTCTTGCATACATAGTGCATTATTATTGAAAACTTAAGTTGTATACAATTGTTCAACTATTCTAAATTGAAAATGGGCCAGGTTTCTTATAAGATATCCAGTTGTTCTAGAATGTTTTTATAAGCTTTTTACTTTTTTATTCACAAATGTGCTCTCTAAGTAAGAGAAATTGCTTGTTATCTTTTATTGTGTTCATCTTAAATATGTGTTCACTTTTGTTTTGTGTTTTTTTACCGGTGCTGTAAAATTTTATTTCTTAAAGGAAATAAGAGCTATTGCTACTGTAATGTTGTCATTGCTGTTTATGCTGCTGTCAGAAAACTTAAACTTTGGTCATATTGTTTTATTTGAATTATTCTTTTATAACCTTGACCTTAAATTGACCTTAAAAAAATAAGGTCAAAATTTAAAAATTTTCTTAAATTGTAAAAATTTTTTTATTACAGATTTTATTTATCTTGGACAAAAGAAAAATTTTGAAACTAAAGATTGTTTTTATTCTGAAATGACCTTGACCTTTTAAATTACCTTAAACCCTTTTAAAAAAAATTTAGAATTCTTAAATTGCAATTTTTTTTTAATTTATTTAGGATTTTTCATTTAAAAAAACTTTTTATTAAAAAACTGGAATGTTTTATTAAATTTAATGTACCAAAAACCATCAAAAAATTTAAATATTAATTGTTTCAAGAAGTTAATTTTTAGGGGTTTATTACTGGCAAATTCGTTTTTAAAAGTGTTTTTGCCCCAAGAAAAAAATATGGAAAAAGTTTAGTGTGTCCTGCCTGGTAAAGTGGCTTTGGGTTTTTCTTATAAAATTTTAAAGCATTTTAATTGCCTTATACCTTACAAATTTTCACCAAAAATGAAAAAAAAAAAAAAGAAAAAAGTTAAAAAAACATTCTTAAAACCCTAATTAGTTTTGCTTTTAATATATTGGTTGTAAAATTAAAAAAATGAAGTGTTTAATTTTTTGATTAAAATTATTTTTATTGTCATGTGGAAAACAAAATTCAGTTTTTTAGGAAAAGAAAAATTCAAATTTGTTTTTAAAAGTGAAAAAGATATACTAATAATGTCCATGTTGGGCTTAAAAATTTAATTTTTAAAAATAAATCAATAATTCTAAAAATGTGGTGTTTAATAACCTTTTTTTTAAAAAAAAAATATTTTCAAAAATACAAGATGCCCCCAAAACCCGGCATAAACCAAAAACCCGACGGTTAAATTAAAAAAAGATGGTACATAAAACATGACTGTTTACATGACACCATACATACAGCAAGACTAGATCCATTCTGCATAAAAAGATTCTTGATCCATTTAATTAGACAAGACTTATTTGTATACCAAAACTCATTAATCTACGTTAGATACATTGTCGGATACCCACAGACGAACCATTAACATCAGATTGCATGTTATGTTACATGTTAATCAACCGTGGATATGCGACAATGCGTCCACATAATTTTATAAACATCAATAGAAAAATAAAACTTTAAATATTTAGTATGAAGTATTGTTTTCAGAACAAGATCCTTATGAGCGATTTGACGTAAATTATGTAATTCATTGTGAGAGAAACTAAAATTTTTTACTCGTACAACGGTAGCCAGGTTGTTGAAAGACTTGTACACCATAATTGTTGTGTGGTATTTCACCCCTAAAATTGAATTCTAGCCAATTTAGTTCATTAAAAAAAATCTGGTGTAAGTGAACGTATCTGCCTGTTAAATATTATTTGTGCAGCTGGTATGAGTTTGTGCCCTTTCACACATCAATCACTGGAAGGATGTACGCGTTGTTATATAAAAAAAATACTTCAAGAGTAAGGTAGAATAGATATGTTTGAAGATAATGCCAGGTTAATATATTATCAACATAAATGCCCAATAACTTTTTAACGGTAACATTACTAGGGATGTATTATTTTTTCACCTACTATTGAAGAACCAATTATGCATTTTGTTTTTATTGGGTGCAAGGACATGTTATAGATATATCAATCATTTATGTAAGTTAGTTTATTCTGTAAATTATTTTCTACAATAGTCAACGTACAACGGATTGGTAGAGTCATCTGCATACAATTAAGTCTATATTAAGACAGAGACTTATAATTATACACTATTTAAATGTAGCTCTGCGATAAAGATCATTACAAAGTATAGATATATCATTTATAAAAAAGATAAAAAAAAAATAGTAAGGGCTAATGAATGGATCCATTTTGCATAAGACTGGCCACATCGAATGAAATTGAATGATCATAAGACTTGCTTGATAGAATAAACTACATATAACAAGACTGAATCCACCTTACATAAAACAGAACAAAACTGGATATATATTGCCTATGGACCTATACACATGACAAGAATTCAATCATGTGACTGTTTTACATATAATTATATCCAAATTACTACAGCACAAGGTCACGTGACACTTGTAATATCCAGTAGGTCAAACTTAAGCTTGTGCAACGAACACTCGAAATATTAATTATTACCATATACATTAGTAATATTTAAGTATTATTAGTATTATATACATTAGTAAACATAAGGGTGGGCAAAAATGAGTTATCTCGGGAGGGCACATGAGCCCATCACAGTGACCTTGTGCCTCGGAACTTACAGGTAAGACTCGTTTAATTTTTCCAATTAATTAATGAGCAAAGAAGAGGTATTGGTGTGTGATGTTTTAACTACTGACCTATGCTATCTTAATTTATAACAGTGGACAGATCTCCTGTATTTTGTATGACTGTTGTCGATGCATTGAACTGTTGTCTGGTCTTTAACCTATATGTAGAGAGACTAAGCTTGATTTACTTGTCTTTGCTGACGTACTGGCAAAGTGTATTAGCACGAGATTATCAGGCTTTAATTTTCTGATTGATGTTTGGACGATGATTTCGTGCCGTTATTGCCCAGTTTTATGAGTCGGACGATATTTTCTTTGCACACAAGATCTATATTATCTTTAATACGCTTTCAGGATTCTTCGTAAGATGTTGGTGATTTATGCTTATATATAAAGATTTTCATTAGTTATGATGAGTTTACAAAAATTGGGTTTAATTAGGAATTGTACAATATTATACTTAGATACTTATTGCCTTATGCGCGGTTTTGTAATTTTCCGTTCGTAATATCGAAAGCATTCGTGATATCGTGACTTCGTAACACGAGATCTCAAGACATAATATGTTTGAGTGAATGCTAAAATATTCATTTCCCTTAAGTATCAAAAATATTATCGTGAGATCTACATACTTGATGGGTACTAGATCTAGTTTAAAGAATGAAGTAGGCACATATGCTATTATATAGCGCTTGCTATTTAGTCTACATGTATCTAAACGTTTCAACTTTTTAAATTCTTGTAGAATTATTCATCACGTACATGTATAAGCATTGCCGCCTAAATTTCACAGACTAGAGTAGACAAACTGAAATAAAACAACTTTTTGAAGCGAATTTTATTTCCGCATATCAATTTTAAGATTACTTATGTAAATGTTACCATGGTAATATCATATTTCATAAAATGCATAAATAATACGAACATGTACTGCATAAAACAGGGTCTTTCTATATGAAAGACCCTGCATAAATGATATTTAAATAAAATTTATTCTAAGTAAAAGTTGTTCTTGCACTTCAAATGAAAAAATAATGTCATTCTGCATGCAGCTTTAAATCTTTTCTGTTTTTTTTAGCTTTCTTTATAACATCTCTGTGTCGAGAATTTTAATTTTCAGTTTAAGAACTTTGTTTTTCTTCTCTGAGATATCCTCGGATACGGCTCCTTTTTCTTTCTCGTCAGACGAAACAGTTTCTTCAGATAACACTATTTCATCTAGTTTCTCTTCTGTAACTGCTTGTAAAGTTGTCGATTCGAAACCTGGTTCTGATTTGGAAAATACTGCGTTTGCATTTAGTTTTGGTTTAATATTATCGTCTACTTTTGCCGTCTGCATTTTTGTCGTGTCCAATGGTAGGTGTGCTAAACGTGCAGGTACACGGCGCATCAGTTCATTAGTAAGGCCAATATTGTCATTTATTGTATTCCTAGATATAATACCAATGTTTCTCAGATCTCCGATAATTTCTTCCTGTGCAGTTTTAGTCTTATTACTCTTAAGAAGACCCTTTTCCTCAAGTTCGAGCCTCACTTGCTTCTTATCTTTGCCAAGTTTCCACGGATGTACAGGACCGACCGGTCGTAACTCGCCATCCGCACGCTTATACAACGGATTATCTGGCTTAACACTTTTAAGAAGAGGATTTTCTAGCATCGAAGTCAATGTTGATACACTCTGAACATCGTCGCCGTCTGTTGTAGTGGTAGATTTTGGAGACACTTGTGTGGTCAGCGAAAGAGATTTAGAATGTTTGCACTCGCCTGTATGGTTCACACCTGTGAATACAGCGTCCCATGAACTGCTGTCGTTACTTAACGCTAATCTGTCAGATTTCTCCCGTTTCCTCTCTTTTGTGCTTTTCTCCAGATCGTCGTCTGATACATTATTCAGTTTTTCGTATTTGACGTATTCACCTTTGTCCGCATCATTTACTTTCACCTTGCATTTACTTCCAATAATACCCATTTCTTCAAACTTAACTTTTGACGGTACCAAAATGGAAACAATGACGTCTTGTTTGTACGTTGAACATGTCGTCACTTCCGGACGGTTTGGACGTCAATTGACGTGACACCAAGGAAACGACAAGTTTGGTTAAATAAATGGCGCTAAAATAATATAAAATTTACTGAAAAATCTCCGTAACCCAAAGGAAAGCAATATTTCATATTTAAAATGGGATCTGGTGTTTCGACAGGTAGAGCTCAAAATGCGTGCGTTTTGCCGTGCCTGGGAGAAAAAAGGGCTTGTCCATCACCAGAATTCGTCAACACCACTAAAAGGATGTCTCTATACCCGTACAGAGGTCCAGGCGAAACGCACCACATTTCTTCCTCAGAATTTCCATTTTATAAACCTAAAGTAGTAACTGTGCGGCCGAGACAAACGGATACAGTAAACTTCCAACCAATCAACGTGATGCGAAATGAGGACATCAACAATGTTCATAGCAATCAATTCCTCATGTATAACGAACGATTTCCAGTCTTTGATTCAGACAAAAATAACATTTTTGAGCCAAGGGGACAGAAGCCTTGTACAAGTGTCAACGACCGAAGATGGTCAGCGAGTCTTCAGGCAAAAATAAATATTCCTATCCAAAATGGAAATGTTATAATTCATAAAACCGTAGCCCAGTTGAGAGAGTCGAACCAGAGCTATCCTAACGGTCGAAGTTATTCCTATACTCGGGATGTGCAGCCGGACTTTCGACAGTCTACTGTCAATAACGGGAACAGACCGCCAACTCCGACACAAGACTGGCAACCTACCAGGCATACGTCGGATTATCTTGTAGCATCGTCCTTATTAGCAATGGAGCAACATCGTGGCCGTCGGATAAACTACAGATAAACTATTTCATTTTACGTCTTATATTTTTTCAGTAATAATTATTAGTTTGAAATGTTATAAAAGCAGACAATAAACTGAAATTTAAGTATTTTTGTTGTTTTATCTATCTTTTTTACAACAGGTTAAGATTACGAAGTTGACACCATTTATCTGTTATCCACATGTTTTCTTTTCGCGCCAAAATGGAGTGGGCCACAGGCCCACAGTGCGTAAAAATGACTTGCAGGCGTAAAATTGGCGGGACGTTCATAAAGATAGGACACCAAGTACCTTCTATACATAAAGACTTTAGTTACAAAATTCAATTTTTACTGGAGTATATGCCTTAATTTTTTTGTATGAAAAAAGAGAACTTTTTTACACAATGTTTTTAATCTTGGACAAAAAGTATTGTAAGTCCCAGCTTTAATGCATAAAAATAAAATAAAATTAGTTAATAAAAATACCAAATATTCCAAATAGGTCTGATGGTAAAACCACTATGAAAGTAGTGACCTGTCATGAAAACGATTTTGATTCGTGAAAATGATTAGTTTTACTGGGAGAACTTCACTTATGCCAACTGGTATATTATATATACATTGTAATATCAAATGTGCCAATTTCACATATCATTTGCGCAACGAATGAACTTTAGACCTAAGTAACCTAAGTCTAAGTAACCTAAGTTGACAATTTTCAACTTTTAGTACCATACACTACAATAAAAAATCAATGTAAATGCTTTTTGTGTTTCTGGTTTACTCAAATTTAAATCATCATTTACAGTGATATTAACTTTTCAAATATCACATAAACTAAAATGGTAAATAAAGGAATTATTAACCATAGTGACTGAAATACAAAACTAAAAAAAAAAAACAAAAAAAAAACATGACAGATGTTTTTATGAAACATTTTATTTTGAAATAAAACATTGTTTTACATGAATGATTACTAAAATTAAAAAAATATTTAAAAAAAGAGTAAAAGATTAAACCGTTAGTCAGCATTTAATGTAAACCACCCTTAAAGTGAATTGGTCTCAAATGGGAGGTCTATAATACCATAAATAATTGTGTTGATCAATAGTACATATGAGCAGCGTCACGACAAAACCAACATAGTGCGTTTGCGACCAGCATGGATCCAGACCAGCCTGCGCATCTGCGCAGTCTGATCAGGATCCATGCTGTTCCCTATCAGTTTCTCTACTTGTAATAAGGTTTGTAAGCGAACAGCATTGATCCTGATCAGACTGCGCGCATGCGCAGGCTGGTCTGGATCCATGCTGGTCTCAAACGCATTATGTTGGTTTTGCCATGACCCGGCTCATATATTTAGCATCACACATGACAACAAACGATAGTTAAGTTACATATGAATGTTATTTTAAGCATGAGATGGATGGTCCAATATTACATATCCGATAATATATAGCAGATGATAAAGTGTTCTAGAACAAAATATTATTATTCAATTACTAAATCACTAAAAATTAATTGACATTTTTTTTCCAAGAAACATTTTATTACAGTATCAAAATAATACACTCCTAATTTCCTACTGTTGTTTTAAAACAATATATGAAATACTTGTGGAAAAAGTACCCATTGAAGACAAATCCACTTTAAGTTTTAGTATATATCTGTATATATTCTGCTACATAAACTGCTTGTACATGTACTTTATTAAAGCAGCACACCCACAGATTTACAATTTTACAAAAAATTTTATGCAAAGTAGTTCTAATAAGTTCATGGATCTTGACATTACATTCATCTGTAATAAAAGCCTCTGATAAGTTAAAAGGTTGTCAAATGTACATATCAAGTGGTTTTAGCCACACATTATCCAAAGAAACTACTAATCTATAACTTAAAATATGCTGGAATTCTCTTACTCCATTAGTACTAGGGTGATAAAACTAGTTACAATCAGTCACAACTTGCACAAAACATTAAAAGTTTCAACTTGCATTGTCAGTACATTTATACATTAATGAATATACATATTATATATATTACTTTGCTGCTTTAAGAAATAACCTAGAAAGCATACATTTGTGACCTGTTTTTTATGCACAATTTAACATTACTTTATTTTATTCAAGGCACAAGGCCTTTTCTAGCTTTAGGAATGGGGCCTTATTTCTGGAGCAAAATTGAAAATGCTCTGCAGCCTCTTGCAAATAGTACTTCAGGGTCTTTCAAATAGTTCTATACCCTGCTTTATTCAAACTTGGTATATATATAACTTATATCTAGAAGGGCAAACAATGATAACCTTATTCTATAAAAGACAAAGCATTCACTTCAGGTTTCTGACTTCTTTATTAAAGAAATACTACACTGTATTTGGTAATCAACAATAAATACTTAGTAATTGGAATTCAGAGGAATCATGATAAAATCCTGGTTACATTCATGATTGCAGATACATTGTATCTATCAATTTATTTTCGTCAAACATGGCACACCAATATTTAGATCCACGATTAAATTAATTAGAAAAACATTTAAGATATATGTGAGAGCTAAACCAAAACAACGGATTCTACTGTGATGACTGTCTACTGTTTCAAAACTCATTATAATAGCTTATCAATTTTTGTCACTTATAAATGATTCAAATGTATTTAGTCAATATCAGGTTGTATTCATTATTTTCATACATATATTAAGCATGTTGGGTGAGTCCTTTCAGATATATATTCCACTGTAGACTGATGTTATATTGATGATCATAATGCACACTTAAGATTATGTTACAATTCATCAACTTATCATTTGAACTGTAACAATCACATCTCCACCTCACACAACTTCTTCCCATGCAAGCAAAAATACTTAACAACAATATATTATTCACTATTTATCTTTATCCTCTTGATTCTCTTTTTCTATCTTATCTAAAAGTACAGATCTTATTCCAACTTTTTGTAGTTCATCAATAAGTTCTCCATTTTTATGCATTTCTAACATAACATCACACCCGCCTATAAACTCTCCGCCAATAAAAACTTGTGGAATTGTTGGCCAATTACTGTAATCCTTCACACCTGAAATATTAACAAACAACAATTAATGCTATTTTTTTCTACATCCTCAGAGTGAATATTTTGAATGGAATGGCATTATCGATGCATGGATATCATACTTTTCTTCTACAGCTGAAATATTCTTTTTCAAAAGAATCTAGTTGAACTATTTTGATACCTATGAATGCATTTGTAACAACTAACCCCTAGCAAAAACAGTTAGCTTCTTAAAAATCAAGAATTTTTAAAAAAGAAATATTTTGAAAAAATTGAAGCTTCAACTGCACACCATTTGTGACATTATTTTTCCAAATATACATATAATACAGGGCTGGGCATACATGCATTACAGATAAATCTAGAAAAATTAAATGTTCTACAGGGCCGGCAAAATCTCAGAAAATTGTACTTGTCCATGGACAAGTAACTTACAAAATTTACTTGACCGTACTCAATGTTCACTTGTCCGTATTTATATTTAATATTTACTGCAAATGTCAATAAAGAAGAGCAATATGATCAAGAACTTGTTTTCAATTTTATTAAACATTCTGTGCCATATGTTTAATAATATACTATATTATGATTATAATATAGTTTATATTTTTTAGAGTCACTCATCTTAAAGAACAAGTAGTTTCTAAATCCAATGTGCAGGCAACATTTTTCTATTTTTTGCATAAGATTAAAAAAAATGTATAGGCCTATTTTCAAAATTCCAGTGCCCTTGATGTCACTAGGAAGTTCATAGCTGATGAAATTATATAAATAACTTAAGGAGTATACTGCGCACCTTGTCTTAAACTTTCATCCTCTAACACGTTATAATCTGCAAAGTTTTGCACACCATGGAAGTTGAGTATTTGTACAACAGCATTGCTAAACCCACATCTAGGCTGGTCTGCTGTGCCCTTCATAAAAACAACAACTTTTTTGTCCTTTACCAAACCATCTATATAGTCTTTACTGCCAGTGTCAACGCTATATCTGGCTACAAATGCTTGAAATAACTTCCTATTATTCTGCAAGAAAAGTCTTGACGTAGCAAGACGGTTCATTTTCGAAAATTTGTTATAAAACACTAAACAATTATTTTTTTATTTACAACATGAGTTTCCGGTGGTCCGTGAGAAATTTCATGCGTGACAATCGGTAAGAGTTTCAACTTCCGTAAACATGTCAACTTAAATCCTTCTAAAATTTAATGCGGTATACGCCCATACGTGTTTTCAAAAGAATTGTACACAGTTTTCTATAAAAATTTAACAACTTGGAAATGGCTGAGCAATTAGAAGTAGCTGTCAAGACGGGTAGATCTGATGTGGTGAAAAGTTTTGTGTCCACGTTGCAGGAATGTAGGCTAAGTTTCACTTTTAACGTTTCATTGATCACTTAATTGCTATCATTTTATGTACAACTGCAAATTGCTTTGCCTCTCACCAACATGTCAGTAATAAGTTTTCATTGTCCTTTTCATTGTCCATTTATGCACAAGTTAATTGTAACCAAGGTCCATCCGCCCCAAGGCAGGGTATACATGTCAGATTAAGTATGGCAAATGTGATAATTTTTACCTGTTGTCTGTTTACATACTGCTAGATCAATGTGATAGATTTGTTTTTAGCACAGGGCGCACGTTTTCTCACCCTTTGACATTCGGTGCCCTGCATTGGACCTTACATTAAACTCACATTGCTCTGCAACCCTGAGAAATGTGGTTCAGTTTCAAAATTGCAGAGGAGTAGGTCACTGTTCACTATCTAGGGAGAAGATGTGGAAGCAGCTGGATAGCTTAGTTGGTAGTGCTGCAGAGTGGAATTCCTAGGTCCGAAGTTTGAGTCCTGGTCAGGCTGCACATTTTTCTCACCCTGTCACATTCGGTGTCCAACATCCATGGGAATATGACTGCATATACATGTCCATGTAGCAGAGTTTAACATTGCTCTGTAATCAAGACAAGAGAAATGTAAGGGCAAATTTCAATGAAGTAGGCAGTATTTCATGGCTTATAACTGTTCACTATTTAGGGTAGAAAATGTGCAGCTTGACAAGAACTCGAACCCAGCACCCTCGGAATACCGAAATTCCACAGCACGGGTTACAGAGCAGGGTAATTTAAAGACTGAGCAATAATGCAGGTATGATCCCATTTTGGGCATTAAATATCACAGTGTGAGAAAAATGTGCAACCTGACTTGACTCAAACCGGGGACCATCAAAATACAGCTCAGAGCTATCCAGCTGCTTACACATCACTTTTCTCAAGTAGTGGACTGTTCAGGACAGTTCTAAACTGTAACCTACTCCCCTGCTATATATAAATTTCAACCTTGAATTTTTCAGGATTACAGAGCAATGTGAATTAAAAGTGTTGCAAAAAAATTTCTATCTTATGATTGATTATAAATGAATTACAATTTACATCTGATCTATATTGTCTGTAGAAATTATGTAGATACTGAGATAATAAGTGAAAAATATTTTAGTTGTTACTTTTTATGTAAAATTTTTCATATTGTTATCAATATCAAATGTGAAGTCATACTGCATACCAGTGAAAATAAAATCACTATGTTACGTATAATCAATGTTATTTATTCTTAACAGCTAAAGAACATCCTGAATTGTTGAACCAAGTCTTGAAAGAGCCATGCTATGATGGGGAAACTCTACTCCATCTTTCATCAAAGGTAAGGGCAAGTTCATTTCCATAAAGTTTCCTTTTTTATTCCGTACCAGATTATTTAGAATTTAAACTAAATTGAGCCGCGCGATGACAAAACCAACATAATGGGTTTGCGACCAGCATGGATCCAGACCAGCCTGCCCATCCCCGCAGTTTGATCAGGATCCATGCTGTTCGCTTACAAACTCTATAATAAGTAGAGAAACTGATAGCAAACAGCATGGATCCTGATCAGACTGTTTGGATGCGCAGGCTGGTCTGGATCCATGCTGGTCGCAAACCCATTATGTTGGTTTTGTCATGGCGCGGCTCAAATTCAGTTAAGAATATATCTTACTTCTCATATTTTAAATCAACCAATCAATTGCATTTGATTGGAGTTATTAGATTGCATTTTATTTGAAAGTCCTTATCATTGAGCAAATTCTTAAATTTTGTTGTACAAATGTATAAGAAAAAAGAACAAAGTTATTTAAAACTCTTTAATGTTTTTTATCTTCCTATTTTGAAATGTATTTTTTGTTATCTGATTGCAACACAAATCATGTGAGTACACCGTCATATTTGGTGCTTTAACTGAGGTATACTATAGTATAAATGTATATCATTTAACCACTTCTTTTAGGAAACATTTTCCAATATTTTTTTTTGAAAGCATAGATTTTTGCTTTGATCTGATTTTATTGTGCATTTTAGTTGAGATAGAATCCTCTAAGGCATTTTAGACCCTTATATGTTAGGAAGCTATCCAGCTAGGTCATGGAAGTTTGGTGGTTCCTTTATGGAAGTTTGGTGGTTTCTTTATTCAAGATTGGTGGTTCCTCTCAGGTGCTAGCTTGTGCATGAAAGGGCACCTGATGTCTTACTCCACCAGTAAACTTGGAAAGTCATCATATGACCTTTACATTGTTGGTGTGATTTACAAGCCAACAAAACAAAACACTTGAGCATCAATCAATCAATCAACCAATCAATCAATCAATCAATCAATCAATCAATTGTTTCTTTGTCTACAGGAGGATCAGTTTGACATTGTCAGGTTACTGATATCAGCTGGAGCAGATACAACTGTGTTGAATAAAGATGGAAAATTTGCGTACAGTGTATCAGCCTCGGAGAAAACAAAGTCCGCATACAGGGAATGTCTTCTACAGGCAGCATCTCAATCAAAGTAAGTGCATTTTTGGGGATATTAAAATCAGGAAATACTGAAATAGAACTTGCTATTAGCTTGTCTGTTCCGAAGAAAAAGTCAAGCTATTATGATCGTTGCAACATCATCATCATCGTCAATGTCTTCCTTTATTTCAGCATTGATCAAGTGGAGCAGTTGATTAAAGGCGGAGTCAGTCTGAACTTTACAGATTCAAAAGAGAGTTTAAACTCGCCACTTCACTGGGCAGCTAGCTTCGCTGATGTTAAAACAGTAGAATGTCTCTGTAGTAAGTAAATTGATTTCAAAATTTAATAGTGAAACTATGACTGAGGTCAAGTGCAGTTGATTTTAGCTCTTCACATTATATATAGCTCAACTTTTTTTATCTGTGATGTTTAGCACATGTGCAAGTAAAGTACATCCTCCGCAGAGCAACTCACTTTGAGAGACAAATATTTTGTTCATAGCTGAGGGGTGTTGCTCTAGAAAGGTTAAATTTAATTTGTGAAGTCCTACTTTGGAATGTATTAAGGTAGTCTTACTGTAAAGCTTTCCCGACAAAAAAAATTTAACATTGGCCAATATCGTAATAAATCGGTCATTTCCAGAATGTTATATTTCACAATCTTCGGTATTCAATAAGTTTTAATGGTTTATAACCGGAATTTAGTACAAAGCGATAAAGGATGAGTGATTGTAAACAATCTAATGCCCAAGATTTTTAGTAAATAAAATTCAGGAAAACCATAAAGGTATGATATTGGCCGATGTTTGAGTTTTATTGGCGGGAAAGCATTACAGTAATACTACCTTAAAACTATTGTTGCAGAGAGGTTCTTGCTCTACAGAGGGACGTTCTGCTGAGGTTGCACTATATATATATATATATATATATATTTATATATAATTTTATTAATTTTTTTCCTAAATTAAAATGAATCAGAATTCAGATTAAGATTTTTTTCTTTGAACAGATGAAAGAAATATCATGCAGAGTTTTTGTGTAGATAAAAAGAAGTTGAAAGAAGACAGTAATAGACTTGGTCCTACACCCTCTTCACCCTACCCCCCTACTATTTTAAATTTTTGTAAATGGACTTGCCTTGCTTTGAATTTGCAAATCAGACCTTAGGACAATAACTGGTTAACTCCCATTAAATTTAGAATTATTTAACAGTTACTGCACCATGGTGACAAAAAAAATGTCCGTTGTCAACCTTTACCCAGCTGGAACCGAAAGAGATTGAATTTTGATATTGAAATCTGTTTAATACCTAGTGGATATCCATTGTAAAGCTTCAGTTTGTAAAATATAGTTAATATTAAGATGTTAAATTTTACAAAAAAAAAACCTTTTCAGAGCATGGAGCAGATGTACATGCTGTAAATACAGATGGAGGTTCACCTTTACATGATGCTGTTGTTAGGGGAAACCATGAAATAGTTCATTGTCTCCTCCAGTATGGAGCCGACCCTGCTCTACAGATCAGTCATGGGTAGGCATTGCTATGTATTCAAAGCATCAATATTTATGGGAAAGTTTCAATGAATGAGTACACTTGTGGGATAAGATTGATAAAGGTCATTACCTCTAAGGATGGCAGTACACAATCATAATGTTTATCTGAGAAAGGTAATGTTTACCAAGGCTTGAACAAAGGTAAACATTAACCTCCAAGGCAAATGAAACAGGCAAAGTCATGTACTTTCAATGAAGCGTTAACTTACTTAACCTGTAGATTTTGTCATCTTTTAATATCATATCTTAGGTGAAATGTCATGTCTACATTGTTCTCAATTGTGTTGTGGCTTACAAGTGGACCATTTTAGGTCTTTAGTTTAGGTCTTGGACATTGCCCAAATTTACACGATTCTGAAATATTCAGAGGGGTTTGCGGTAGGTTTTAGTGAAAGGTTTTACAATAATAAGTTTGTAAGAAGAGCTGCAGCCATTTTCACAAAAAAACTTGATAAATTTTTATCGTAAGAGAAATCTTACGATAAATCTCCTTTTCACAAAATATCTTAAGAAAATCTTAAGTGTAAAATCTGTAGTAACTTTGCGATAGGTGTTACCCATTCGTAAGTGTAATTTTTTCTCTCTTACGAGTAATAATATCATGAATCTTTTATCTAAACAGAACAAAAACAAAAAAAAATTTAAGGACAAATATGTATTAAGCAAACAATATGTTATAAACAACACAAATTAAGTAAAAATAAATATATTTCAACATAAACATTTCTGACGTCATGACTTGATGACTTGGTGGAGAGGGTTAATTATAACGAATAGTTTGAATGTGAACTATACTGTTGACAGTATAGATTGAAAACTAATAATTTGTTCAATTTTGCGGGTTCGATTTCATTCCCAGCATGTACTAGTGGCACCTTTTTATTTATTTATACCTTAGCAATAACGTAGCAGACAGTTTATGAATTACTTAGGCCCATATATTATTATTTTCGAATAAGATAGAAAATATATCAGTTTGAATCATTTTTTTCTTCTCATTGTAACTTGATTGTGTTTAATACTTATTTCAAGCTCTTTATTACTTGATTTTAAAACCTGAATCAAATATAGAGCATGCACATCAATACCAAATGAACGTTGCTAGGGATGTTTTTATCGTAAAAATTATCGTAAGTGAAATTTTTATTTTAAGATAAAATTTTAACTTACACGTGGTTTTGTAAAAATGACTTAAGATTTAACTTAGGATTGTCGTAAGATAAATCGTAAGATTTTTTGTGAAAATGTCTGCTCATCTTTAACACATGTTTTTACTGTATTTACTGCTTATTTAAAGGAAATCTGCAGGAAAGACTTGTTTCGAGTTAGCTGAAGGTAAACCTGAAGTTTTGAAAGTTCTCAACAATCCCCCAGCTGTGATACAAGTTGATACTGTACAGTTAGAGACACAGGCAAGCACAGACAGCCTGGTTGTTGGAGGTAGGAAGGGTCTTATTCTATTATAAATGAAAGATTGACTTAGTATTCATTTAGCTTTGAAAGTCCAACGAAACTTGCTGATTGACATGATTGAGTCTCTAAGTCTTTTTAATGACTGTCAAACTTGTTAAATCTATAATGTAGCTGGTTTGTTTAGATGTTTTTTTATTTAAAGGCACAATAAGCCTCAGAAATGAATATTTTTCTACTTTCTCTTTCTGTAGAAAGTACAAACATATGTTTTACTATGTTGTAACAATGGATTAAGAACATGTAAGATGCTAATAACAGATGTAAACAGCAATGACTATGAAATAATTTATGATAAAGAAACCAAAATGTAAACAAAGTAGTTATTTTGACTTCCATTACAGAAGAGGAGTGTGGTCTAGTGTCTAGGTGTGTGCTCTCAACCTGAGATCATGGGTTTTGAACCTCTCGAGGTCACGGACCAATGTTTTCTTCAATGACACATATGGTTGGCTTCCAGGAAGCCGGACTCAAAAGTAGAGGTGAGGGGGGGTGGGGGGTGGGATTGGGATTTATTTTTTTTGTTGACTAGCGGGATTTCTTTATTTTATGCAGATCTTTTTACCTTTTTATTTTTAACAATAAATTCCTGATTCTGCATTTCCTTTTTTATAATATAGTAGTTTTTTCCACTTCTAGTCATTAATCTTTGATATTTTTTTACAGTTTATTTTTTCTATATTTATTAAATTTATTGGTTACTTTTATTATTTTTTTATATTCCCTCAATTGTTTCCGATAGGCATTTGTAATAGAGTTATGTTTTTCTTTTGTCTAGTGAGTGATTCTTTTAATAATTTCTTTTTTTTTTTCTTTTTGTTGATTATTGTTTTTAATCTTCATTTTATGGTTTATATTCTTTCTAATTTCATATTAGATTGTTATTCCATTAAAAATGTGTAACATCTTTTAACATTAACAGAAATATACTTTTTTATCGAGCTTAAAAGGTTTGAAAAAATAGCGTTTTGGAAAATAGAAATATTGGCATTTTTTAGGCTTATGGGCCTTTAAAGTTGATAAGAAATATTTTATTATTTTCCTTACTTTAAACTTTTATTTAAGTATTTTATCTTTTACTATTATTGTAATTAAAAAAAGAAAAATGATATTTTGATTTCAGACCAGAACCATTTGAAACTGTCCTTACCTAATGGTAGTGTACGTGTAGCCAACCATGTGACGTCCCCCACCCCCAGTGATGGTCCAGCTACTCCCCAGCTCATGTCACCAGTGTTCAAGGTCAGTTGACATGAAACACATTTCATACCTTCTCTCAGAATCCAATTTGTTGTTGTTATACTTTTTATTCCTTAATGAATTCTAATGGGTTACATCTTTCTGGTCATGTTTCAAGTATTCCAACTTTGTTAAAGATACCAAACCCTAATTAGCATGTATGCTGGCATCCATATTTGTATTTTCTCAAATAATGACATCAAGATGGTAAACACCATCTCATGTGACAATAATGTACTAAAAATAGATATTACAAAATATGACAAAAGAAGGCAAGGGCTGTTTCGGCATTATTATAATATGTATTGACCAAGATGTCAATATTTTACAATTTACTACAATTTGTTACCCTTAAGGTAGAAATGTTCTGGCATCATAACTGTTTAAGGAAAGCACTAGCTTGATGGATATAGTTTTTGTCAAGATGCTTACATTAATGTTTTCGCACCATAAATGACTTGTAAGTCAAAGTGAGTACAAATTGTATTAAGTCTTTATATTTCTTTAGTTGAACCGCTCCTAAGCTAGATAATGATTGTAAAGTACAAACAAAGTACCAGGTGAATGATGGAAGTAATAAAAAAATAAATTATTATTTCTCACCAAAACAATAAACAGGATTAGGGAAAAAACATTGTTTACAAAAACTATTGTGGGATATATATTCAAAGATAAGTTTTAATATATTGACATAGGATAAATAGATCAAAAACCAACACAATTTATTAAAACATGATTTGCTTTAATTAGCTTCATCAGTTGATAAATAACAAAGGAAATGACGTAAACGTACCAAACAGATGTCTACGTTAATAGACGCCACATTTGGCGCGTAACAGGAACGTTATAATATTATAATAAAATAAATCATCTATTACTGTTTTACACAATGAAATATGTGCATGTGTATATATAGACATAACTTTTTAAATAGCATATATATTATTTCGAAAAGATTAACATGAAGTAACTGGATCAAAAGGTACAAACATTTTCACAGAGAAACTTTATTGAAATATAGCATTTATAGTATTATGATCATATATTGTATTTAGAGGTCACCTGTGTTAGATGTTTCAATGAAGCCTCCACAAGTTGTAACGGAGGAGAAGTTAAGCCGTCTTTGGCCCCAGCCACAGAGTATAGAACAGCAAGAGGGGTATCCCTTTCATATCAGAAAACCTACTTTACCTGTCATGATCAGTGTTGCTACAGGGGCTGGTATGTACAGAAATAATGTTTTATTTACTCTGTCCTTCATTTAAAACAAGAAAGTTTTACTATTTCAACTATTATATTAACTTAAGTGTATCCATAGAAACTCAGTGTTTATTGCATAGAAAATTGATGTAAGGTTTGTAGATTAAAAAAAAAAAATATTTTTTTTTTTATTGTTTTATTGATATTCTGGTAAAAGCTATAGAGCAATAGAAAGATAAAGTTTTAGCCCCAACTGAATTTGCACTGTTTCCCAAGAAAAAAGAAACATTCCAGTTTTTGTCAAAAATGAAATCATTCAGTATATTTAGCTAATAGCAAAACGTCAACCTATTTCCATTCTAACCAGCAATTATATTTACTTTACAAGTTTTTGAAGTAGAAAACTTTCAACCATTATAAGGTTTTGTTTTTTTCTTCAATTTTTAAGAATTGTATATGTCACGGTTCAGAACTGTTCACTATTAAGGGGAGAAGATGTGTAAGCGGCCGGATAGCTCAGTCAGTAGAGCCGCGGAACGGTATTCCGAAGGTCCCGGGTTCGAGTCCTGGTCAGGCTGCACATTTTTCTCACCCTGTGACATATTAAAAAGTATCTTTCACTGTGTTGCTTAGAAATAGCCATAGACAAGAGCTGTCACAAGGTAGCAGTTTTGACTACTCTCATTTCTTGAACGCAAATCAAGCACAATGCAGTAATTTTCAAAATTTAATATTCTTGGAATAATTCAACAAAATATTCCATTCTAGAGTTATTGGCCTTAATCACTGACTTGCAGTTATGAGAATTTATAGGACCCTACTTTTTTCTTGCAGCTTTAAGAGATATTAGAAAAGTTTGGATGTTACAGAAGTCAAAGTTTGAAGATATGAACTTAAAGCTAGCTTTAGAACCTTTCACGCCTCTCAGTGACATGGATGATCCTCATATTGTGTGCTGTGTCAGTCAGAGGCTTTGTCCTGGAACTGGGTCATATAAACTTACTATAATGCAAAATCAGGTGAATATTATTGAATTATAACAGATAAGCATGTTGTAAATACAAATCCAGTGTAAAGTAATCAAATACTTGCGTGTCATTTAATCTATAATAAATATTTATGCTATTTAATCTATTTGTTTGATATTTAACAAAGAAAACTTGAAGGCAAAGAAAGAACACTTTATTTTATGATTTTTATGATTTTATGTTTTTAGAAACAAAATTTTGTCAGGTTTATCTTTATATGGTCATTTGAAGGTGAATTTACCCTGTTTAAGTCATGCCATTAATAAATTAAAGGCTGTTCAGTATCAATATAATAAATTTTTGCAGCCAATAAGATTAGGTTTGGTCATTCTGCATATATGTGCAAGCTGGTCAACAAATTTCCATCTGTGATTGATATGTCATTTGTTGTAATTTACAGATTAAAGTGTTATCCAACAATTGTTCCAGTCTTCACTATGCAATATCCACTCTGGTACAGTTGTTCAGGATGTACAGAGATGAAAAGAAAAATGAAATACAGTTACCACAGCTCAGGGTAGGTTTTGTAGTACATTCATACATGCCATAACGTCCCGGAAGTCTGGGACCATCCCAGAAGTCCGGGACCATTCGAGAAATCAGGTGACTGTCTCAGAGGCATCACGTAGATGATATAAAAAAATTAGTATGTTCCACTGTCTACATTTACCCAGCATCCTCTACTGCCAGCAACAGTCACTTTTGCCAAGAATAGCGGTCAAGGTCACTATTTTGAATTTTGAGTGTGTATATGTTTTTCTTTAAAATCATACAAATGAATTTTTGGGAAGTATTATACCACTTTATTTGGAGAGAAGTGCATGACAGCAAGTCTTTATCAGTGAAATAGCAACCCAGTAAGTGGCTTGCACACAGATTTATTTTGTAAAGTGTTTGGAATTGTGAAATTGTACTCAGGTGCACCATTAAAGAGGAAATAAGGTTGCTAAAAAGATACAAGTTTAATTCAAGCTTCCAAAATGCTATCATTTTTATTTCTTTTTTTTTTTTTAATTTTTGGTATCCTGTTACAGTTTCAAAAAAGTCCTCATTGGCAATATAGTTAAACTATATTTACTCCTTTTGCTCGTGTTAAATAAAAAGGTTCAAAAAGGTTGGTAAGCAAACAGCATGGATCCTGATCATTGGTTGATTATTCTGTTACAGATAGACGATTGGCCAGATTTGCCATATAGAGGTGTACTCTTTGACATATCACAAGGGAGAGTTCCAAATATGGTAAACAATGTGTTTATATCTAGTTAATGACAGCAAGCAAGCTGGAGAATCTAAATTCAGCTATGAAAGATTTGTGGTTCTTATTAGCTGCTATCAAAGTGCTCGAAATTAAGCACATGATGGCAACAATTTAATAAGAAACAAAATTGCAATGCTACAGTGAGTGTTAGGGTCAGTTTGATTTTAAAACCACTGTACTTTTAAGATGATTCTGTTTGTCTTAATCTTTAGGTATTGTACTTTGTTGAAATACCATGATATTAAGGCTTATGATTCTGTTCTATAGGTTTTCTTCATATACCTTATTATAGATTTTAAAGCAAATTCTTTGAACTTGAAAGATGGCATGTTTCCCTAGCTCTGCTAAAAACTGTTATATTTCAGTTTCCCATTTGTTATAACAGTGTTTCATTTCTTTTTTCGTTTTCAGGAAACTTTTAAAGAAACAGTTTTATCATTGTCATCACTTAAAGTTAATCAGGTAGGATGTTTTGGTATTTTTGATCTTCCTCATTCTTGTATCCATGTCCTCTTTCTTTTTTTTTTTTGCATTTGTCCACACATTTAATATGATAGAGAAACCATCAGATGTGTTATCAAGAGGCAACTGTTTTGATCTATGGGCAATGCAAATTTTTCTAAAATTTATGTCAGACATTGAGTCTTATGGTCAATTGTCTTTTGCGACTCATTTAGAATTCATATGAGCCGCATCACGATAAAACCAACATAGTAAGTTTGCGACCAGCATGGATCCAGACCAGCCTGTGCATCCGGGCAGTCTGATCAGTCTGCGCAGATGCGCAGGCTGATCTGGATCCATGCTGGTCGCAAACCCATTATGTTGGTTTTGTCATGACGCGTCTCATATGGGATTAGTATTCAGTCACTTGCTGAGAAGTTGGTATTTACTGGTAAGATATCCAGGAAAGCCAGTTAGGTGGATCAGCTGCCAGGATATGATCAAAAATGTAATAAAACTTGCGTAAAAATCAAACAATCACTATTTTTTTGTTTTTCATCTTCATTTCTTTCAAACACAATTAGTCATGCTTTCTTTACCTCCCTCTTTTCTTATTAGCTTTTCTATTATCTATCTTTTCTTTTCTCATAATTCCTTACAGTCACTCTTTCCTCTTACTTCCTTCTCTCTCACTTTCCTGGCTGTCCATCTCTGGCAAGAATAAGGGTATTATATTGATTTAATCATGAGTCATATGTAATTCAAATTGATAATTCCATTCATAAACAAACAATCAAGGCTAATACAATTGATCAGAATGACAAAATAAATAAATATACAATGTTTTTTGTTGTTTGTTTTATATTCCAGATCTATTTATATACAAGATTTAGAAATTTGGAACAAATTGCCTGGCAAGTCTATTATGGAATGGAGTAAGTCTGTTTATGTAATAGTGACCTTTAAACCACATTTAAATATTTTCTAATTCAGACTTATTAAAGCAACAAGTCTCCAGATTCATTCTGATTTTTAATTAAAATTATGAAAGTGTTTTAAATGGTAAAACAATTGTCAACTGAATAAAGTGATTTAAGATATGAGGCACTATAAATCCAGGTACATGTAATGTACTTTAAATGCTGTTAAAATATGCAAAATAAGTTATTACTCTGACAATAACAGAGTAGAGGTATAGTGGCGCAGAAATACTCAATTTAGTAACATTTCACATTTAGCTTGCAAAACCATTATGGGAGTAGTGTAAAATAATGTTTAGTCCGTCTGACTAGCTCAATCAGATCAGTAATCCAGGTGTCACTGGTACGATCCTCGAGTGAGGCAAAATGTCTCTGTGACAATTAATCCTAGTAATTGAGTATAATGGTCATTTGTCTCTTAACACTTATTCAGAAATCATGTTGGATTATTAGTAGGTCACTTTTTTGGGTTAGTTGTCTAGGAAAGCAGGTTAGGTGAATCAATGGCAAAGAAATGGTCAAAAAATATTATAAAATCAGTGTAAAAAAAAACAGAAAAGAAATCAAATACTATACATACTCCTGACATATTTTTCTGACTCCTAAGTTTGAATTATTTTTAAACTGCTGTTGCACATCTGGAGCTGTGCAGCTTTTACAATGTACATAACATATATTGATGTAAAATTGACTGCTGTTTACCACTGTTTTTATTATATAAACAAGTAACACAAGTAAAAAATAAGACAATAATAAGACACTTGACAAAAAGAAAATGTCAGTCAATTTTGTAGCCAGTTATATATTATTTAAGTTTATTTCAATAAATTTAATACAATATTTTTTCAGAGAGATAACAGAACTGGACGAGTTTTGCCATGATTATGGTATAGAATTGATCCCTGTGTTAGAGGTGGCCCCTACAGTACAGTATGATGACCTTCAACAGATGTACCCTGTCTTCCAAGATTTCCTCACCTGTTTTAGCTTTAATCAGTAAGTCACTGTTGTACGATGTAATACTATATTTGATGTTGCAATATACATTTAAAGATCCTGTAACACAAATTTTTTATGGTTTTATATCATATATATGATGCTCAAATTAAGATTTATCAATTTTGTAAGTTCCAAAAAGCATCATTTTATATAAAGATGTTACCGAATTTAACATTTCATGTAAATGAAGGGAGGTAATTAGAAATTTATTTTCTATAAAGTCTAAGTCAAATTTTTCAATAAGAAATGAATGCATATATTTTAATGATTACATATAATGTGCACAAACATTTGCAGTACATATTTTACATATTCTTCGATGTTTGAAAATTGTTTTATAAGCATAATAATATACAGGATTTTTAATTGTCATTGTTGCTTTTCAGTATAAGTTAAGGAAATAAGGGAAAAGGGATATTTGAGATGGTGTGTACATTATGAGTAATTATTCTGTGATGTTATAAACATGGTAGAAAAAATGTTTATTTTATTATTGATTTAGCAGTTATTTTACTCATTCATTCATTACATCTTACTTTGACTCTAATGTTTACTTTTAATTTGCATAGCGGGCACATGACCTATTTTGAATTTAGATTTAGTATAGGCCACTTTTGCATAGTTGGATATAATTTTTATGTTTTGATAGTTTATATGGATTGTAATTGCAAATTTTTACTATGAATGTTTGCTGCTTTCATAATTTCACACTATAATGATAAGAAAAATAAAACTCATCTCAAAATATTTAATGTCATAATGTATTTTTGCAACAGTAACATTTGAAAAGTTTTGCATCAATCACATGTACAGTGAAACCATTAAACAAAGGCCATTCAGCGGACATACTAGACATGCCCTTTAAAGACAAGTGGTCTTAAATTTTAGGTTACCCTGTTCGATTCAATCAATGAAGGGTTGCTCAAGGGTGGTCTTTATTTACAGGGTAGTCTTTAATTAGAGTTGGTCTTAAGCACAGGTTTGATTGTATATCTGCCTTTCAGGTTTGTAAGTGTAGGTCCGAGACTGAGTAGTTTTCTGTTAGACGTAGATGAGGACAATGAACTGAATGTTACAGACTGTGCGACCATGTTACCTGTACGCTCACATCAGACAATCCAGCTGTGTGGCTACCCTCTACATGACCTCAACCCCAACACACTGTCTCAGCTTCCTCCGCATCTTGTGTTTAATGAATATGGAGTGCAGGTAAGTTTCTTAGATAAGCTGTAGATTGTACAAGCTCTAGTCTTTGTTATAGAGAGGCTAGTATATGAAATCTTAAAGGGACTCCGGACTCCACTGAGGTTTTTGATGGAATGGTATTGAAAATAATTTTTCCAGATTAATTTTCCGTTTGATGTAGGTATAGACCAATAACTTTTGTGCAAATTTTCAGATCATTCAATCACTCTGTTTTTCCAAAATAAATATTCTTCATTGACCTAAAGTGAAAAGCCTTGTTATGGGCTAACAATGGTACAAAAATACAATTTTCAATTTATTTCTGAGTATAAGTCTTTATTAATTTTGCATATTTTTCTATTTTATGTGCCTCAGCTGATTTCGATAAGAAATTAAAATGTTAAGTTTTTAAGCTTTTGAACCTCAGTTGAGTTCCTTTAAATTAAAGAATATCAACTTTCTTGACTTTTGAAAGTGATATGTTTGAATACAGTTAAAGATTGTTCAAAATTCAAATACATTGTATAATAATTATAATCTTGCCTGTTATATTTACATAATATGGAGAGCTTTTTACTGACTTAGACGTTTGCATCAGCACCCTATATATTGTATATTAGGTTTTTTTAGTCCCCTACCGGTTTAACCGGAGGGGACTTTAGGTTTACCCTCCGTCCGTCTGTCTGTCCGTCTGTCTGTCAGTCCGTCCACAAAACTGGATCCCGCGATAACGCAAAAAGTACTGAAAATATTTTTATGAAACTTGATATATGGATAGATGGCAGTATGGAGATTATGCACGTCTTTTTTTTTTCTTCCTATGTTGAAAATTCTGGTTGCTATGGCAACAAATAGTCTGAAAATATGGCAAATTTAACACATAAACTGGATCCAGTGATAACTCAAAAAGTACTGAAAATTTTTTTATGAAACTTGAAATATGGGTATGAAATAAGATTATGCACATCTTTTTTTTTTTTTTCCTATGTTGAAAATTCTGGTTGCTATGGCAACAAATAGCCTGAATTTCAAGATTTCTGATTTAAATTTTTCAGCTTTTTCACTATAAGTTCTTTATTTCTCAAGGTGTTTACTTCAAACTTAAAATATAAGTTTCTGGCCATCAACCACATCATATGTGACAAGGTTTACAACTCTAGCACAAAAATTATCAGTATTACCTCCCTTGAACTTAGAATTTTTATGAAAAAAAATGTTGTCTTTTTTAAATAACTTCATTATTTCCTAATGTATCTACTTCAAACTTCATATATATGTTTCTTATTATCACTCAACATTTTTGAGAAGGTTAAATACTCTAGCAAGACTTTTTCCAGAATTATCTCCCCCTTGAACTTAGATTTTTTTTCGAGAAATTGGTATTTTTCACTCCAACTTCTTCATTCCTTCATAGGATTTACTTTAAAATCCCACATCATAATAATATGACAAGGTTGTATAAACAGAATTTCCTTACTAGGCAGGGAAACTTAACACATTACTGTGATATATGACTTAGAACTCAAAAGATTTAATTCATTCATGTCATTCATCCACTGGTAAAATTGAATGGCCAATGGCCCATCAGAATGCTGCTGGGGTTCTAACCGGTAGGGGACTTATGGATTGCTTGCAATACTATGATAATTGCTTGTTTGTATCAGCACATTATACCCTTCTGAAACTTGAAATACATTGTACTTGTAACTGATTGTCATTGATAAGATTTCATTGGCAAGATTTTATAACTCCCCTATGAATTTTTTTCATAGTTATGGCTCTTTTTCGACTTGAAAGTTTTTTGAGATCTGTTGAAATTCCAATTTATCAAGTAGAGTAGCAACTTAAGCACTTGTTCTAAACTACGACACATGACTGCTTACAAATAGACGAGATTTTAAAAACCTATCAACAAAGGCCATTTCTTCATTTATGAATAAATATAGTCTTTAAAATGAGATTTTTCTGAAGCAAGATTTAATATGTTATTCAAAAGGTGATGCGATACTTTTTAAATTTTAATACTTGTATATATTTAAAATGTAACAAAGAAAAGCACATGTTTATATATTTGCTTACTTACAATTTCATCATTAAAATTGTAATTTTCATTTGCGGTTATTAATGCAATTGTTTGCCAAAAATATCAATCAAGATAACTCTACAGTTTTCAATTTGTGTATGATTTCAGGCCACTCATAATTTTACAGAAATATGCAAGCCATTATCAAAACAAGGGTAAGAAACTTTGTTATATTATACTATGTTTTGCCTTGATATTGATTACTAGATTTGTGGGAACTTTATTTTTGATGTGCCTGTCTTTCTTCACAACCTTATAAGCTAACACAACAAATGAAACTTATAGGACTTCTTTCTTTTCTAAGAGATTTAGTGGGGAGGGGCTCAATGGCTGAGTGATTATGGCTGCTGATTTTGAACTACTGCCAGTACAAATCCCATCAGGGACTTTAGATTCTTGCATCTAGATAGCTAATGGAAATTCAGTGGTTCTACTCAGGTTTCTGCTTGTGCTTGATATAATGAAAACCTGTGACACTCAAGTAAAGAAGTAACATATGTCTGTATTAGTATTATGTATTATATATTGTTGTGTACTAATTTGTTTTGAATGAAAGGAACAAAAACATCAAAATTGATAATTTTATAACTTACATCTATTTTGAACAGGATGAATTACCTTGTATGTCCAGGTACGTCCGCTTGGAATAGTTTGGCAGGTTGTCCCGAGGCTGCTTTAACCAATGTTTATAATGCAGTAAAATGTGCAATATCTGATGGTGCCATGGGAACAATTGTGTGTAACTGGTCTGGCAAGGGGCACATAACTCATCTACCTTTCTGCTGGCCTGGATTCCTGATGGGGGCAGGGCTAAGCTGGAATGCTGATTGTCATTGGGTAAGTTGAAAAAAACAACACCAAAAACTAAAATACCACTGACTGACAGCTTCTGTTTATTTTTAGAACCTTAAGACAAATTACATGTAGGTTGTCATAGAATTAAATTAATTTTATAATTGTTGTGCATTTTTAAACAAGTCATGATCTTTCTTTTTTAAATTTGAAGGTTACTTTTAAATGGTTATTTAATGTAGCATAGCGTCAGTAGTTGTGATAAAAGCCCATCTAAACCCAGTGGACTTTAAAATTTTGGCTTTATTACGCAGTATGGAGAAGTGAAAATGTTAAATTCTGGGGCTTAATGGCCCTGCACTGTAAGTTGGAAACATTCCTCTCTATTAAAGTGCCAAACTAAAACATTGACCTAGCAATGCAAGAACAGACTTGGCTTTATTTCTTCTGTTAACTCTTGCACTGTCAAAGGGTAGTGGGGTAATGGTTTCAGTGGATTGATGCATACATTTTGAAAAAAATATGTGAACACATACTGCAATATTACAAATGTGACCCATTTTGTTCAATATTTTATATGTTTCATTACAGGAATTCTGTTTAGGCAATTTAGAAGAGTTACTAAATCTACATATATTCCGAGCTGAGAAAGGTGTTATAGGTCATGCTATAGTAGAATTAGGAAGAGCTGAAACTTACTTACTTAGATGTGCTAGATGTCAGACAGGTAATCTACTTTTAATAAAATAATAAAGTTTTACAATAATTTTAGGGGTGTCACGTTTAAACGGGTACAGTCTTTTTTTAGCTAAAAAAAGGGTTAGGAAATTCAATAACCGGTAACCGAGGTGACTAGACAGACCTATAAAAATTGTTAAAAAAGGAAAACTTCACTTTTTTCTTTATGATTTGTTTAAACCGTTGATAAGTTTGCTTTAAGAAAAAAGTAAAAAAGGTCACCCGGCGATGGCTCTTGTTTATAACAAGATATAACATGTGTTTGTATTTCAGTTGTACTCAACAACGTATTTTCCTGATCTAATCAAGTATGGTATGACCCTAATGAAAATAATAACTCCATATCCGGACATGTATTGTAATCATTTTGAATACAACAAAATACAAATAAAATTTTATATTTTCTCATAAAGAAACAAAGATAATGTTGAAAATCTAAGGACAGTCAGTTAAACTTATAAAACGGTTATTAGGTCGCCGTTTAAACGGTTAACATTAAATAATTGACACCCCTAACTAATTGAACCCTTCACTTGCTTGATTTGTGAAACAAATTTCGCTATGTTTTGAACTTTGATCAGTCCATTTGACAGGATTTTAATATCAGAATACAAAAAAATGAGTTATCATCAGTATAGATCCTAGTCAGACTGCACCTAAGATTAGGCAGTCCTGGTCCTTTACTGCAGCCAGAGGCTTATAATCACTTTTGGTTGTAGCAGATAAAGGGTGAATTTGAATGTAGTACATATTCAATTTTAATGATAAAAAAGCATGAATTATTGGAAAACAATCATAGGTTAAGGACTTCTTATGCTGTGATTTGGAATAGTTATAGAACTATCGGTACCAATTCTAAAATAATAAATGGGATAGCACTTATGTCAAAAATAGTGTTTTTTTTTTCATATTTAAGAACATGCAGTAACCACTTGACCCTCACCCCTATAGGTTTGAATCCCCCCAGAGATTTTGGAGTCTTTTATGTGAGGAAGCTATCCGGTTAGCTTAAGGAATGCCAGTGGTTCTACTGATGTGCTAGGAGGGGTATCTGAGGTCTTTCTCCACCAGTAAAGCTGGAAAGATGCCATATGGCCTGTACAGTGTTGGTGTGACGTAAAATCCAATGAATAAAAAAAAAAGAACAAATATTCTATAAATATCAGAATAATAGATTTATATGGAATCGTATAAATTTCTAAATGTTTTCTTTTTAACTAGGTGATGATTGTTCAGACTTGCCATCAGACAATGGTTCCATGTTATATCAGTTTCTAATCCAACCAGACAACTCGCCTATAGAAAATCTCACACCAGAAATACTTCAGGTAATGTCAACATGGTGGTGGTGGTTTTGTTAGTTTTCAGTCCGGAACATGGCAGTAAGCCACATTGAATTTACCAGAGCACAGTTCAGCCAATGCATCGTTCTTTGGCAAGCTTTGAAGCAGTTTACCAATACTAGTTGCCTTCACTTTCGCAAGGAACTGATAACTTCTTTACATGCAAGAGCAGAGGTACAGTGCAAATGGCCATAGAAAGGATTTCATGATCAATCACAACAAAAGTGACCTGCACTGTCTGGGAATCGAACCAGAATCACCCTATTCACAGTATAACGCTCTAGCCATTGAGCTAACCAAATGGTGCGTAATATCTATATGTGTTATACATGTTTATTTATAGTCTCCTCCATGTATATTTAGTATATTGTTTTATGTAATTTTGTTTCAACAGAGGGTGACCCGTCATGTAAGAAAGTGCCAAAATGAGTTGAAGGCAGCAGAGTTGAAGTGTACACAAGGATCTAGTATTGTGACAGAATTACAACTTACTTGTGATCTAATGCTGTTATCTGTGAAGTGAGTACTGATAATTATATGTCTTACTGTGATTTGGAAGAAGAAACTAGGAAGTAGAAAATAAAGTAAACTTTTGTAGTAGAAAAAAAGAGTAAATTATGAAGTAGAAAATAGGGTAAAATATTAAAGTGACATGCCTATCCAAGGGTATATATAGTGAGTGAAAAGGTGAAAGTTGAAATAGGTTTACATTTTGCCTTAAATCCTTTCAATTTTATAATCTACTTCCATGAATGATAAATTACTCACGTGACCAAAGGAAATTTCTGTATATATCCATCTGAATTTACCTGTCATGTTCAATTGATAAAAAAGAGTGAGGTAGGTGAGGGGCAGTTGTTTTGAAGTCTGCCACCTTAACCCCTCGGCTACTGAGGTTCCTTCATCCTACAGGTGTGTTTGCCTTATAAAGTATAATATGTTAATAAAGATAATTCTATGAAAGTAATTTTCAAGCTCAGATGAGACGTTGAACTTGTCTTCTTGTTTCTGTTACAGAATTGGTAGAGCTCTGGTTGTATCTGGTAGAAATCCAAGTTCCCAGGCTGGTTGTAGTGTGGTTAATCTCGGTATAAGTAATTTACCACCTACTGTAAAAACAGATCTGGCTAACAGGTATCAACTTGCAATGTTTTCATTTAGCTGTCGCCTTTTTCTACATTTTTATCAAGAGACTTTAACAATAAACTTTCCTTTAACGATTATCATGTGTACCCTAATACATAATGTCAGGATTTTGTGATTTGATCATTTTTGGACAGAATTATACCCTATTGTGTTTTTAGCATTCATAATATGACAGAAAACCCTGGTTTTGTGAACAATTCATGAGATTTGTTTCTTATTTTATAAGTACATGTAAAATCATATATAAATATTAAGATCTTGTTTTTTCAGACTTCTAGAGTTACTTGAAATGTACGAATCTCTATGGAAACAAAGATATCTGGAACATGGACTTAACTTTTCTGTAGCAACTTTAAAGAATATTTTAAAACAATTTATACCAGACACTAAAACTCAGGGAGGTACAGACAGTGAAAGTTCTTAATGATGAAATATATAGCAATTTAATTTTTGAGAAAGATTTATGTATTTTATCGTTAAAGATACACACTTATTATGGATTGTATCGTGGGAATTTTGTGGATTTTATACCACAGTTGTGGGAATGCATGTTTTGAAGTTGTGTGGATTTTATTGTGGAAGTTGTGTGGATTTTACTGTGAAAATGATAAAGATATTATTATGGAAGTTGTGTGACATTTACTTGTGTAGAAGTTATTTCAGTTTTGGATACACCTCACAAGCATTTGAATCTCTTGCTATAGACCAAAAAATCAACAAAAAGTGTGAAGTTCTGCTGATATATAGAACAGTTAGAGTTCTGCTCATGTTACAGGACTTTGTGAAGCCCAGCTAATGTGGAGAGCATTTTCAGAATAAACTCCAATAGAACTAAGGTTGTTTAAATGGGTTAGAATATAATATTAAAGCAGAACTACATGTACAAAATAAACATGAATTCAAAAAGGTTGTTAAATTCAATTTTATTGTTATTTAGATATCTCATTTTGTAAAACACTTGTTTTATGTGGGTTTTTCCTTTTTAGCTCACCTGTCACAAAGTGACAGGGTGAGCTTTTGTGATCGCTTTTCGTCCGGCGTCCGTCCGTCGTTCGTCCGTCCGTAAACTTTTTACTTTAAATGACATCTCCTCATAAACCACTAAGCCAATTTCATCCAAACTTCACAGGAATGTTCCTTTGGTGGTCACCTTTAAAAATTGTTCAAAGAATTTAATTCCATGCAGAACTCTGGTTGCCATGGCAACCGAAAGAAAAAACTTTAAATATCTTCTTTTAAAAAACCATAAGAGCTAGAGCTAAGATATTTGGCATGAAACATCTTCTAGTGAGTGTCTACCAAGTTTGTTCAAATAAAAGCCCTGGGGTCAAAATTGGCCCCACCCTGGGGGGTCATTGATTTTCCCTATATGCATATAGTAAAAACTTAAAAAATCTTCTTTTAAAGAACCCAAAGAGCTAGAGCTAAGATATTTAGCATGAAACATGTTCTAATGGGTGTCTACCAAGTTTGTTGAAATAAAAGCCCTGGGGTCAAAATTGGCCCCGCCCCGGGGGGTCATTGATTTTTTCCTATATGCATATAGTAAAAACTTAAAAATTCTTCTTTTAAAGAACTCAAAGAGCTATGGCTAAGATATTGAGCATCAAACATGTTCTAATAGGTGTCTACCAAGTTTGTTCAAATAAAAGCCCTGGGGTCAAAATTGGCACCGCCCCGGGGTTCATTGATTTTCCTTATATGTGTATAGCAAAAACTTAAAAAATCTTCTTTAAAAAAACCCAAATAGCTAGAGTTAAGATATTAAGCATGAAACATCTTTTAGTGAGTGTCTACAAAGTTTGTTCAAATAAAAGACCTGGGGTCAAAATTGGCCCCGCCCCGGGGGTCATTGAATTTCTTTATATGTGTATAGCAAAAACTTAAAATCTTCTTTGAAAAAACCCAAATAGCTAGAGTTTAGATATTAAGCATGAAACATCTTCTAGTAAGTGTCTACAAAGTTTGTTCAAATAAAAGCCCTGGGGTCAAAACTGGCCCGGCCCCAGGGGTGTCATTGTTTTTAACTATATGTGTATAGTAAAAACTTAAAAAAAATCTTCTTTTAAAAAGCCCAATGAGCTAGAGCTTAGATGTTTAGCATGAAACATCTTCTTATGGGTGTCTACCAAGTTTGTTCAAATAAAAGCCCTGGGGTCAAAACTGGCCCGGCCCCAGGGGTGTCATTGTTTTTAACTATATGTGTATAGTAAAAACTTAAAAAAAATCTTCTTTTAAAAAGCCCAATGAGCTAGAGCTTAGATGTTTAGCATGAAACATCTTCTTATGGGTGTCTACCAAGTTTGTGCAAATAAAAGCCCTTGGGTTAAATTGGCCCTGCAACGTTGGGGTGGGGGGTTGGAGGTTGGGGGGCCTATATACAGGTGAGCGACCTCAGGGCCATCATGGCCCTCTTGTTAATGGATGTTATATGTTTTAAGTCATATCAGTCAGTAAAATTTATGGTATAAAATAGTCATACCGTAAAACACTGGTGAATTGAATTCCAGGATAGTGAAATCTATACAATTTATATGATCAGGCTCATAAGAAATTTTAAGTTTTATACTATGGAATAAAGAACTTGTGAATGACCGTCATATCTTATATATTGATAATATACTATGCACATTTCAACCAAATCATTATATAATTATAACACCTTTATCATTTATGCCATTATCCCATTATTCCTGTATATTACCATATATAGAATAGAATCTACATAAAATAGAGGGTTAATTCACAGTTTTTATTGCATTAACATCTGCAGAAGCAATTTGGAGAAGTTGGAATATTTTAAGATTGGTGGTTCCACATGGATGAATAGCTCATGTCTGAAATGAGCCGCGCCATGACAAAACCAACGTAATGGGTTTGCGACCAGCATGGATCCAGACCACCCTGCGCAGTCTGATCAGGATCCATGCTGTTCGCTCTCAGTTTCTCTACTTGTTATAGGGTTTGTAAGTGAACAGCATGGATCCTGATCAGACTGCACGGATGCGCAGGTTGGTCTGGATCCATGCTGGCCGCAAATCCATTATGTTGGTTTTGTCATGACGCAGCTCAAGTAATGAAAGGATTGGAACCTCTAGGGGTTTTCTTTCACCATGTAAGCTTATTTTACAGGCTTGTTATTTAAGATTTTGTTTGAATTCAACATTTTTTTATCTTTTTTTTCTGTGATAAATATTAAATGCAGTTATTGTTTTTAAGAGATATTTTTTAACTGATTCTGCTGATTTTGTTTGATTTTTTTCCTGCTTTTGTTATTCTATAAAATTCAAATTGGTGCATTTTGAGGTTGAAATAAGGCTATGGCTTTCCTTATTTATGTGTTAAAAAGTAAAATTTTGTAGTGTTTCATTATCAAGATGATTCAATTTTGGTGTAATATATTTTTCAACAACATGAGATTATGAATATTTCTGTAATTGCTAGCCCCTTACCACCCTAAATATTTTAAATGGACTCATCCGTCTTTTCAGTCTGTACTAAACCATCATTTTTAGGGAAAAGTCCAAAATATGTACTGACTGAACAGCAAACAGTGCAGACCATGATAAGGCGGCATGGAAAGTACAGGCAGATTTTGGTCTGTACTGGACATATGGGTAGATTCAGTTGCTGCCAGCTAAAGGTTCATGTATCTGTGTGAAAATAAAAATAAAACTTTCAATTATGTTGAAATATAGATCATTAAATTTTTGGGTTTATTTTGCTTTGTCATATAAACTGTATAGATTTGCAAAAATATAACACTATATGCATTGTATTTTCACATTCTGTTTTAGAATATTTTAAAGGGTCGTACATGGCTGAGTGGTGAAGGATGTTGACTTCAAACCACTTACCCACTTCTGTGGGTTATCGAATCCCACAAGCACTTTGGATTCTTTCATGTGAGGAAGCTATCCAACTAGCTTACAGAACGTCAGTAGTTCTACTCAGGTGCTCGCTTGTGCCCGATATAATTCACAAAGGGTCAACTCATGAGGTCTTTCTCCAGCAGTAAAGCTGGAAAGTCCCCATATGACCTCTAATGTTTTTAACATTTCTCAGTAACTGCAAGAAGATGCAAAAAGTTGACACAAATATTATTGTTTGTTTCTTCTATAAATGATTTGAACTGTTGCAGTAGTTAGCCATTTTATACTAAATCAAAAATGTTAAAAGTTTTATTTTCTTATTTAGAAAGCCTAGAAAGTCATTTAACCAGAATCTGTTTTTGTGTTTATATAAAATATGGTTTATAGACATGTACATGTAGTAGAAAGTGACCTTATATTGTTTAATGAAAATGCAATGTACATGTTGATTGTTATTGAATGAATTGCCTATTTATTGTACATGATTTCTTTTTTTTGTCATTGCTGAACAACTTTTAGTAGATTATTGTATTACCAAACAAATATAGTGGTATATGATGTAGGAAAGTGGTATTAGGCATACTTATACTTCAAGTACTAGTACTTGATTGGGTGACAATTTAGATATGCAACATAATTTATATCACCAAAATAAGTGTTGTGGGTATTGCTTGTATTATTTATTGAAGGTTTTTATAAGCTTATATAACCAAACCTTAGTATTAGAGTAGCATTTATAAAGACCTTTAACCATTTTTATATGGCCTAGTAAAAAGGTTGAAAGCAAATATGACCAAAGCCATTAGCTGATGGTTATATAGCAATCAAAAATTAAACCAGGTCATATAACCTGTCAGTAGTCTGTATAATGAAATAATTACACTACATAGTTACTTTCTTCCATTGAAATAAAGATTATTCGAAATCAAAAATTTTCAGCAGCGATTTATTTAAAAAGTGTTAAAGTCACAATTATCCAATAAAAATTGAGGTAAGAAAGTTACAGTATTATAAATATTTATAAACTGGTTATAAAAGTTGAGTATAGAGTTATATATATAGATGTTACTATATTTAGAGTATATATGAAAGCACTGGCATACAAACATAATTGTGTATAATAATAATGTTACTGAATTTCTTAAGTTTTGTTTGTTAAATGTTTAATTTTTTTTAGCTCACCTGACCACGAAGTGGTCATGGTGAGGTATAGTGATGGGGCTATGTCCAGCGTCCGTCGTCGTGCGTTGTGCGTCGTGCGTCTGTCGTCGTCAACAATTGGGTTGTTAACAGTCTAGCAGTCACAGTTTTGATTGGATCATCATCAAACTTTGTCAGAATGTTTGTCTCAATGAAATACAGATCGAGTTCGAAGATGGGTTATCTCGGGTCAAAAACTAGGTCACAGGAGCTAAAAATAGAAAAAGCTTGTTAACACTCTAGAGGCTGCAGTTTTCATCCAAATATTCTGGAAATTTGTCAGGAAGGTTGTTTTGATGATATCTAGGTCAAGTTCGAAGATGGGTCATCTCTGGTCAAAAACTAGGTCACAGGAGCTAAAAATAGAAAAAGCTTGTTAACACTCTAACAATTGGGTTGTTAACAGTCTAGCAGTCACAGTTTTGATTGGATCATCATCAAACTTTGTCAGAATGTTTGTCTCGATGAAATACAGATCGAGTTCGAAGATGGGTTATCTAGGGTCAAAAACTAGGTCACAGGAGCTAAAAATAGAAATAGCTTGTTAACACTCTAGAGGCTGCAGTTTTCATTCAAATATTCTGGAAATTTGTTAGGAAGGTTGTTTTGATGATATCTAGGTCAAGTTCGAAGATGGGTCATCTCTGGTCAAAAACTAGGTCACAGGAGCTAAAAATAGAAAAAGCTTGTTAACACTCTAATAATTGGGTTGTTAACAGTCTAGCAGTCACAGTTTTGATTGGATCATCATCAAACTTTGTCAGTATGTTTGTCTCAATGAAATACAGATCGAGTTCGAAGATGGTTTATCTCGGGTCAAAAACTAGGTCACAGGAGCTAAAAATAGAAAAAGCTTGTTAACACTCTAGAGGCTGCAGTTTTCATCCAAATATTCTGGAAATTTGTCAGGAAGGTTGTTTTAATGATATCTAGGTCAAGTTCGAAGATTGGTTATCTCCGGTCAAAAACTAGGTCACAGGAGCTAAAAATAGAAAAAGCTTGTTAACACTCTAGTGGCTGCAGTTTTCATCCAAATATTTTGGAAATTTGTCAGGAAGGTTTTTTTGATGATATCTTGGTAAAGTTGGAAGATGGGTCATCTCCGGTCAAAAACTAGGTCACAGGAGCTAAAAATAGAAAAAGCTTGTTAACACTCTAGTGGCCGCAGTTTTCATCCACATATTCTGGAAATATGTCAGGAAAGTTGTTTTGATGGTTTCTAGGTCAAGTTCAAAGATGGGTCATCTCCGGTCAAAAACTAGGTCACAGGAGCTAAAAATAGAAAAAGCTCGTTAACACTCTATAGGCTGCAGTTTTCATCTAAATATTCTGGAAATTTGTCAGGAAGGTTGTTTAGATGATATCTAGGTCAGGTTTGAAGATGGATCATGTCTGGTCAAAAACTAGGTCACAGGAGCTAAAAATAGAAAAAGCTTGTTAACACTCTAGTGGCTGCAGTTTTCATCCAAATATTCTGGAAATTTGTCAGGAAGGTTGCTTTGATAATATCTAGGTCAAGTTCAAAGATGGGTCATCTCCGGTCAAAAACTAGGTCACAGGAGCTAAAAATAGAAAAAGTTTGTTAACACTCTAATGGCTGCAGTTTTCATCCAAATATTCTTGAAATTTGTCAGGAAGGTTGTTTTGATGATATCTAGGTCAAGTTGGAAGATGGATAATGTCCGGTCAAAAACTAGGTCACAGGAGCTAAAAATAGAAAAAGCTTGTTAATACTCTAGTGGCTGCAGTTTTCATCCAAATATTTTAAAAATTTGTCAGGAAGGTTGTTTTGATGATATCTAGGTCAAGTTTGAAGATGGGTTATCACCGGTCAAAAACTAGGTCACAGGAGCTAAAAATAGAAAAAGCTTGTTAACACTCTAGTGGCTGCAGTTTTGATTAAAATATTCTGGAAATTTGTCAGGAAGGTTGTTTTAATGATTTCTAGGTCAAGTTCGAAGATGGGTCATGTCTGGTCAAAAACTAGGTCACAGGAGCTAAAAATAGAAAAAGCTTGTTAACACTCTAATGGTTGCAGTTTTCATCCAAACATTCTGGAAATTTGTCAGAAAGGTTGTTTTGATGATTTCCAGGTCAAGTTCGAAGATGGGTCATCTCCGGTCAAAAACTAGGTCACAGGAGCTAAAAATAGAAAAAGCTTGTTAACACTCTAATGGCTGCAGTTTTCATCTAAATATTCTGGAAATTTGTCAAGAAGGTTGTTTTGATGATATCTAAGTCAAGTTGGAAGATGGGTCATCTCCGGTCAAAAACTAGGTCACAGGAGCTAAAAATAGAAAAGCTTGTTAACACATTAGGGGCTGCAGTTTTCATCCAAATATTCTTGAAATTTGTCAGGAAGGTTGTTTTGATGATGTCTAGGTCAAGTTCGAAGATGGGTTATCTCCGGTCAAAAACTAGGTCACAGGAGCTAAACATAGAAAAAGCTTGTTAACACTCTAGTGGCTGCAGTATTGATTCAAATATTCTGGAAATTTGTCAGGAAGGTTGTTTTGATGATTCTAGGTCAAGTTCGAAGATGGGTCATCTCAGGTCAAAAACTAGGTCACAGGAGTTTAAAATAGAAAAAGCTTGTTTACACTCTAGTGGCTGCAGTTTTTATTCAAATATTCTGGAAATTTGTCAAGAATGTTGTTTTGATGTTTTCTGGGTCAAGTGCTAAGATTGGTCATGTCCGGTCAAAAACTAGGTCACAGGAGCTAAAAATAGAAAAATCTTTTTAACACTCTAGTGGCTGCAGTTTTTATCCAAATTTCCTGGAAATTGGTCAGGAAGGTTGTTTTGATGATTTCTAGGTCAAGTTTGAATATGGGTCGTGTCCAGTCAAAAATTAGGTCACATTGCCCAAATATGGAAAAATCTTTATAACACACTAGAGGTCACATGTTTGACTCAGTCGCATCAAACTTGGTCATGATGCTTGTTTAAGACATTGCTTGGATGCGGTTGTGTCAGGTGAGCGATCCAGGGCCATCATGGCCCTCTTGTTTAGATAAAAAGAAGAAAGTATATAAAAGTCCTGGTTTACAAAATGTATTTACAAATATATCTTTGTTCAATATGTAATTTTTACAATACCTATTACCAGTAATATGTTATTTGTATGGTTACAAACAAGTTTTTATGTACAGGGTTGTTAATGAACAGGGTGTAATCTTTGAAACTTATTTTGTAGTCAGTATTTGGTCATATTCTCTAATGAAAGAGAGTGGGTTTTTCCCCCCAATTCTTGAAGGAAACAATTCCAATTGATAAAGTTGTGCCAAAGTTGTTGTGTAATGATTCAGCTGTTTTCATCTATAGATAAGAATTTTTTTTTCTACTGATCTGTGCGGCCATCTGACGAAAGTAAATTCCTAATGTCGATTACAGTAACTTTTACCCTGCTAAAGCAGAAGTAATTAGTCTTTGCCACCAGTATAGAGCCAGGCCAGCCTGCACATCCGTGCAAATTCTCACCTTGATATACCTAAAATTGATAATGGACTGTTCCAAAATGGAAATGTCCATTTAAGAGATTCAGCAGGTAAAGGGTTAACCCAGTAATCTGCCCTGAACTTTGTAATGGATTTTCCTGGCTTTGATTTTGGAACAGTCCATTCAAAGGTTATAGGATTAAAATATCAAAATACAAAAAATGAAGCCATTTATAGTACCAGCCTGGTCAGACTTCATGTACATTTAGGTTGGCCTGGCTCTATACTGGAGACAAAGGCTGATAACTTTTTTGGTCCCAGCAGGCCATGGATACATCGGAAATTCTCAGTGCAAAGGGTAAAGGTCATATTTGCTAAATACTGAAGAAACAAACCTCAATTTATGTATGGATCCTATGATCTAAGCATAGATTCTAGTGGACATCTTATAAGAGGGGCCAACAGAATAAGAATAAAACCTTGAACTTATAATAGGTTTGAAAAAGAAAAAAATTAAATTTACTGATGGTAGTTGTTATACTTGTTATAGCCATGTTTCTGTGATATTTGATCAAAAATTATTTTATTAAAACAGCTTACATTATGGGTATAATTGTAGCATGAAATATCACCACTCCTGTACTTTAAGTCCACTTTTCATTTAAGGCCACAAATACTTACAATAGCTTAGATTCAAGACAAAAATGTTCAATTATTGTGTAATTATAATATTATACTTGTACATGTATGAATAAGGCATAGTAATCTACATTGAAATACATGTACTGATCATTTCACTTTGTCTGTAAAGATGGTAGTTATATACATGTACATCTTTAAATGCATAATATTTTTCATCTTGATTTTACATACAGATCACAATTGCAAGTTATTACAGTGATACATAAAAATTCACATCAAACTATATTGATTAAGTTGATATAAACCTAAATTGTACTCAAATTGTATGTGGGATCATTAGATCTTAAATTGAGGGATCAACCAAAAATAAAAAAATATGGAAAGAAATAGTTTTTGTTTTATTTAAACCATCCCTTTTGTGCACTGCTAGGTATTACATATTCTGCTTTTAGAAAAAAAAGTTGTTCATCAAAATACTTGGAAAACAGCGTTTTATTCAATGGATTGTGTACCTGCATGTATTTAGGTAGTCAAAATATTTTGACATGCCAAATCTAGATTCGGACATAATTTTGTTCTGGGTCAGAATATTGCTTCAACTTGTTATGCTATAATTATATGAATATGTAGCTGCCATAATCATGGATCTGTCTAAGGCTTTTGACTGTCTTCCTGTGACCTGATGTACGTGTTGTACTAAGTATTTGCTATAATACAGTAAAAATTAAGACCATCAATGGGACTGAACGAAAGTGGTCTTAATTACGAGGTGGTCTTAATTGTGAATATTCTTATCATTGCTTAAATACTTTATGACCATGGTCTATTTTAGTCATTTAACAATATGTATCTTAAACTGTAAATACGATATAAAAGTGTGTTATAATAAATAATCTGATAAGAGGAAAATATATTCCTGAAGAAATTTATGGAACAGAATTAGTGCATTTATTCCATCTTGCTTTATGATATCGGGACTTACATTATGCTTGCTTCTATACTTCTTTATGACAATGGAAACCTGCGTTTTGCTGAATTCAATCATGCCTTATGATTACTGAATGCACTTTCATGTAATTGCAACCTTATGTGTTCCTTACTAAACCATCAAACTCACATATTTTAAAATGCTATATGTTTAATTGCATCTTTTATTAAGGACAACGTATCATGTTTGGTGTTTAAGATAACATTCTTTGCTTGTTCTTGATATAACTATATGTAACATGGTAAGTTTCTTTCAGTATCTTTAATTTTGTTTTAAACCTGCCACTTATATAGTCGACATTATGTCACGATGAATTATTAATTTTGATCAATAATTGGCGAATTTGATGTGTCTTAGGATTCATATGCTTCAATATATTCACTGATTACAAATATAATGCAATACATGATCATTGCGCATCGACAACGAAGATGACAACGATTGCGATATTATAGTCGCATGTGACAGTACGCACTAAGCAGTTGGCAGTAAGCATAATGCGGGTTGCAATAATTTGTGTTCATATTATGACAGCAGGTGTCGCTTTGTCGGTACATCCCGGTATTTTCCGGATGATCCCGTATTTTGGCACATAGAGTAAAACAAAGTTACGTCCCCTTTATACAGGGGCGTATACAGAACAGTGTTAGTTGGGGACTGACATGTAAAGGGAAAATTTACTGAAAAACAAGAGAACACGATGCGACAGACGAAAAGTGCATGTTTTTGAAGATTCCGCCAGCATGTGGAAAAAATGTTATAGATGTCTCTAATAACTCATCCTACAAGTGGCAACTCACCTCTTATACAATTGTTTACATTTTTTTGAGCGTGTGTGATAGTCGTATGACTATGCTCAAACTTACGGTGGCACAAAGGTGACATGTGTGTGTTTTTATTTATCTCGTGCGCACGAGATACGGTGTCGTGGCCACGGGTTACTAAGTCGTGGCCACGAGATAGTTAAGTCGTGGGAACGAGCGAGTTACTAAGTCGTGGCCACGAGATAATTAAGTCGTGGGAACGAGATGACTAAGTCGTGGCCACGAGTTACTAAGTCGTGGCCACGAGATAAATAAGTCGTTGGAACAAGTTACTATGTCGTGGCAACGAGAAAGTTTAGTCGTGGCCACGAGAAAGTTTAGTCGTGCGAACGAGATAAATAACCAATCAAATTACACTATTTATATGAATTTTCCTAACAAGGATGCCCCTACTTCTCCTGTCCGTAAAAGTGCCATTTATACAAGTTATTGATTGGTCAAAGATTGAGCGTCATCGTGACCCTGATTTCTGACCAAATTGACCAAAAATTATTAGGTGTCATCTATTGATCTTTTTAGGTTATATAAACTACGGCTTATTCTTTCTAAATCATTCATCAGACAAGGAATTTACATGAAGTGTCATGTTTATCTGACCCGTGACCTCAAACATCCTTATAGGATATCTACTGTCCATGGGCAATGTCCCTACCTAATAAAATAAACCAGGACTAAGTCCCTCTCAAGTTATGGTATAAACAATGTTAACAGGCCGTTGTACGTACAAAATGACCAATTCTATCATAGAATTATCCCAACAAAGGGCTATAACTTAGTCAAATTAATGTCAAGTATCAAGTCATGTATCAAGTTCAAAGTGAACACTTCAGTATTTTCAAAGATTAATGTTGCACGTAAATCTTTAAACAGAAATTTTCTAAGTTTAAAAAATCATGGTGTAATCTGATTTAATTATCTCGTCTGCACGACTTAGTTATCTCGTTCCCACGACTTAAACGACTTAGTAGCTCGTGGCCGTGACATAGTATCTCGTGGCTACGATATAGTATCTCGTTCCCACGACTTAACTATCTCGTGGCCAAGTATAAGTAACTCGTGGCCACGACTTAGTACAGTACAAACTTGATTTTTTTTCTGTAAAATAAAATAAATATAATTTGGCTTCACACAAATATTGTGCTTTAAATCCTTTACACTGTAAGTGGGCAGTATGAATATACATATATAGTGTATATATATATGGAAGTTTCTTTTAAAGACAGGCACAACTTTACTTGACCCGTAATAAGGAAAGCAGATTCCTATACATTATGTGTATGTGTTTTTATTTAAATAAAACATATTTAGTGAGAATTTTATAGATTTCAATAAATTTCTGTAATAAAAATATGTTACTGAAAGATGTGCATAGTATATCATTAAGCACAAATGTATGTGAATGTGGTGGTGTGTGCGGGATGTCTGATCTATAATCAGACACACATATGCCCAACATTTGAGCCGCGTCACGACAAAACCAACATAATGGGTTTGCGACCAGCATTGATCCAGACCAGCCTGCGCGTCCGCGCAGTCTGATCAGGATCCATGCTGTTCGCTTTCCAACTCTTTTACAAGTAGAGAAACTGATAGCGAACAGCATGGATCCTGATCAGACCGCGCGGACGCGCAGGCTGGTCTGGATCCATGCTGGTCGCAAACCCATTATGTTGGTTTTGTCATGACGCGGCTCAATTGTAATTGACTATGCACATGTTACAAAAATAAACAACTTCCTTCTTTCCTTATTATACATGTATATTTTAATGTGTTACATACCTATTCGCCACTATTAGTGACTCTGAGACATTTATTAAGTTAAAAGGCCAATAATGTTTGCTTTTTAATGTCCAAGTCATTAGATAAAGACCTTCGCAGTACCTAGGCAGGTGCTTAACAACTGGATGACAGCATTTATAATATGTTTTGGTAAGGGAGTACACTAAGAAGACTATTGCATGAAACTGACACGTATATATTCCATCCCAGCTCATGAACGTATATTTGGCCTTAATCCGCCACTGTACTTATAACTGCCCCATACGAGCATATTTTTTCTATTAGACTGTATACATATATAAAATTATATTGCATAATCCTTTGCTACTTGTATTTATATTCTTTCAACTGCAATTTATGTATTAAGCGCTTAGTACGTATTTATATATACATGTACGCAGTATCTATACGGAAAATTCCGATGATAGGCGAATCGTGGAAAAATTCCGTTGATATCGATAACAGAGTTCTCGCCCCTTAACAGTTCACAAATCGCCAGATATAGTTTATCACAATGTAAGATGATCAAACATAATCCACAAAGGCTCAGACACCGAGCTTTATTAAGCATAAACACTGAATAATGGATATATGCAAAAGCTAATAGTAATATCGCCATGCGAGCTATAAATCAAATAAGTCACATTTTAACAAAATCCATCAGGGAACAAAAAATAGTCAATTTTAAATGACTTCTACATAAAAGTAATACAAAAAAAAAACTAAAACTTAAATGGTTTGTATAGAACATGAAGAAAGGTAGCTTATACATAAAGGTATATGACGTTAACATTTTAGTATTCCAAATGGTTTGTTCCAGTTTAATAGTTATCACTCAATGAAAGAATTGGTCACTACGAAATGTTTGAATGAAATAATGATAAATGGAATCCGGCATAATGCAAAGTTTAAATATCATAAAGCAAGATGGAATTAAGCATAATGCAAAGTTTAAATATCATAAAGCAAGATGGAATTAAGCATAATGCAAAGTTTAAATATCATAAAGCAAGATGGAATTAAGCATAATGCAAGTTCTAATGTCATGTAGCAAGATAGAATTAAGCATAATGCAAGTTCCAATGTCATCAAGCAAGATGGAATCAAGCATAATGCAAGTTCCAATGTCAACAAGCAAGATGGAATCAAGCATAATGCAAGTTCCAATGTCAACAAGCAAGATGGAATAAATGCATTAATTCTGTTCCATAGAAATTTTACATTAAAATCTCTTTGGTCTTATTTTAATCTAATTATATGATGTACATTATTCACCTAAAAATAAGAAATTAAATCTTCACAAAATAAATGTACTGAAAGCAACTTAGATTTACTTTCTCACCTTTTGCATACAATAACCCAATAATTACCCATTTTTCACACCTTGGGATATAAAGTGTCATACCTAAGAGCATTCCAACAAATTTAAGATCTAAGTAGGTATCATGGACTTTAATATCAATGGTCTCAATAGTGGGGTCAAATAAAAAATAAAACAAGGAATTGGAACTGAATCTGGTGGTCTTAAAAGTGGATAAGCGGGTGGTCTTAATTCTGAATCATGTAACCAATGACATAAAGAGCAGAAAATTCTGTTCTTTTTAAAAAAATGGTCTTAATAGTGGGGTGGTATTACATTCGGGGTGGTCTTAAGTAGGGATTCTACTGTATAAAGCCTAATTTGATTCCAGCACAAAGGCAATGCAACTGACCTAATGTAATTTTTTAAACTTGCAAACACAACACTACTAGATCTAATAAATCTGTTCTTTTCTGTCACATTTTTCTCTTTTTCATGTATTAACATACAAATAACCTAATTGCATTTCTTATGTATATTTTTTTTCATTTCTTCAGATTTTCTAAGACAAAAATACACCCTTCGGTCTCTCCTAATTTGACATTATGTGTAGCTTTCAATAACAAAGATAACTGAGCCATAGACTGCAACATTTCAAAGTCAATGTTACTATTTTTAGAACATTTGGCATTGACTTCCTGTCTGTTGATTTCAGTCACTTCCTCTTTGCATTGAGAACTACTTTTACAGTCAATGTTTTTGACTTCATCTTCACAGGTTTGTTTATCATTTCCTTCAGAACTTGTAACAGTTTTAGGTGACAAGGTATTTTGATTTGTCAAAGTTTTGGAACACAATGTGGTGACAAACTGTTCATTATCAGAACTTGTAAGTAGAACTATTTTCTGTTTAGGTTTCACAACCCTGAAATAGAGAAAAGAAAATACTTTAATGATGTATTTTAGTTAAATGTAGCATTTTCAAAAGATTTCATGCACTGCTTCCATTTTCAATTGGAACATTTTGATGTCTATTCTTAAGTCAAAAAGTTGCGATTGATCTGTTATCAGAATACCCAGGAAATTATCATTGAGTTACATTAAAAATGGCAGCGCCAAAGTAGAAATGACACTGAAAATTTAGAATTCTATATACTTTTTAATTGCTTTTTATTTGATTTCCTTTCAAATATACATGCATAGTTTACAGTCGTGCAAGCCAAAGCAAGGACCCACTTTGCGGACCCAGTCTTTGACTTTCTCATATAAACATATTGGAATTTTGTACATACAACAAATTTTCTAAATAGCCATTTTCTAAATTAAATGTCAATCATTCAAAGAAAATTCCTTATAAATTTAATTTTGAAGAAAATATTTACTGAAGAAAATATTTACTTATGTACCTTACCTTACTTAAAATTTAAATAACAGGGTTCAGGAATTTTTTTCTGTCTAAAAAGTCCCTTTGCAATGACTGCCATGACTTTATTTGTTTCATTCTTAAATCCTACTTTGAGCCTAATTTAAATGACTAACAAAAGTGTCACATTTAGAATTTAAAATTGCAATAATGAGATACAATTATTAAGATTTCCTAGTTCATAAACCACAAGGGTATTAAATAAAAATTTTGAAACTTCAACTTGCCTAACTAGTTCTGACAACATCTCGTAATAAAATGTATGTAAATTTCCGGTCACAATGTGGTTTTGACCAAAAGGTGCATCTGTAACAACACCATCCACACTGCTGTCAGGGAGGGGTATATGTTTGGTATCTCCATGAACCAGGGATATACAACTGTTTCTCTGGTTACAATATACCGTATTTTCTGCAGCAAGTCTTAACTGAGAAATATCATTGTCCATTCCAATATAAACAGCAGTCTGTAATGGTAAGAGAATAAATAAAGGTACTTTACTTCATGTGTACGTCTATGTTAATTTGACAGGTTTGTATAAGCAAACAAATATTTCAGTTCCATCTTGTAGTAGTCCAAGTTGATACAAAACACATAAATATTATCTCCATAGTGAAAACAATTATAAAATTATCCAATTTCAGCTCAAATCCAATCATAACTTACATAACTAATGGTTAATTGTATACACACATTGCAGACTTGTGAAACTTAACATAACATGCACTCGAGCCAAATATGGGTCCAATATTTAGTAGCTTTAATTGGGCCAAAATCATGTGGTCCTTTGCCAAAGGTTTAAAAATTATGTGGAGAACATAAAATATACAATCCTAGCAAAGCAAAGTGTAGAATTCTCAAGAGCCATACTGTATTCCTAGAAATGTTCATGGATACAATATTTCGCGTTTTTCACAACGTCGGCATTTTCGCGGAGACAAACTTTTGGGGATTTGTAGTTAACTCGAATTCCGCGAATATTTAGTCTCTACGGCCTAAATTACAGTTTTTGGAGGCTACGGTATAAACCTACATGTATTTTATGTCCAAAACATAAAAAATAATATCAAAATAAAATTTTTCCCGGTCTCCACTCTGGTATATGCGCATGCAGTATAGCCTATTTTCCAGTTATGAATGTCACATTAATGATTCAGCAATTCATGCAATTCATGATTGACCTTAACACTATATTAACTAGAACGAGTGTATTACTAAAAAGTAGCTGGAAATTTACCGGTTTATTTTTCGGTCCAGACGTCTGGATTTATATAACGGTAATGTTGTGCTACTTTAACAGTATTCGACTGTACATCGCTCTCATTATAATTTATCATTGATGCACTTGATCGCTTTTGTATTTTTAACAAAGGATTACACCCACTTCAAGCAAATAAAATCCAAGTCATTCAATGTATGCAAACTGTAAATGCTTTTGAATACGCCGTGACTAGCGAATAACGTCAATAAACATGATAATTACAAATAATTGACATTTTTTCTTTCAGGGTCTTTTTGTTATTTGCATTATTGGTATTGTAATTTTGTCATTGCATATTAAACCCCGTATGTATCCGCTGATAAGATTATAATAAAAATTCTGCATGTTTATGTTTATATTTGGTTGAAGCTAGAAATGTTCGCGGATTTGTTATAACTGACATATTCTTGGCTATAAAGATTCGCGGAATCATGCCTACCGCAAAAAGCGCTAACTTAAAACGCGCGAAATCTTTTCTAGGAATACAGTATTTAGGGGACAGTATCCTACATGTGGCCATTATGAAAGATGTAAAATAAAAGAAAAAAAAATCATTGTAATGTCCTGGAAACCTCCATATATGCATGTTTCTGAGCAATACAGTGTGTCTTACACTAAATTGCTAGGTATCATATTTGGCCAGTACCAAATATTTGACTCACTAGATTACTTGGGCCATTGTCGGTTGATTAACATGTAACATAACATGATAAATGTTAAAGTTCGGCCATGGGCATCAAGCGATGTACTTGGGCCAATATTCAACAAATTGGCTAGAATCAAATGTATTACAAATATGTGATTAACAAGAAAATATACAAACCTTGCACACATGTAAAGCCTCAATAAGAATGGTAGCAGAGCCGCACATAGGGTCCAATACCACATTACTGGGGCCAATATCCAACAACCTGGCCATTATCCAAGCAATGGGAGTCCTCAAACCACAATGCTTTATGTACGATCTTTTAGAAAGTGGAATGTTTGTAAGTGGAACTCCTACAGTTATGGTTTCATCACCCAGGTGAATGTTTATTTCATATTTTGGATGTCTCAAGTCAATTTTCCATCCTAGACGTTTACTTATTAAAACTCCCATTTGTTGTGATGTTCTCTAAAATGATAAACGTTTTAAAGACTTATTCATATATCTTTAGGGCTAAATAAAATAAATTTGCATATAAAGACAATAGATTAAGTTATAGTTAAGTCATAGTTTAAAGTAAATGTTGGTATAAATACAATGCTTCTTTTACATTTCTGTCACATTTCTCATATGAAATGAAGTAAGTCCCTTACATGTCTATATGCCAATACTGTTTAATTTAAGACCAACAAAATTCAAATTATATTACTATAAATAGTTTCTGGATAAAATAACAAGAAACATGTCCAACTGGTAGGAAAAAAACTTTGATGTAATAGAATGCTGTAAAATATACTGATGGATAGGAGTTACAAGAGATGTATAAGAGACAACAAATATTTTAAAAAATGTAAAAAAAATAAAAAAATACATTAATTGCATAAGCTACAATAAAAAAGAGAAAGAGTATATTCAAGTTTTTTTTCTATAAACACAGGATACATAGAGGATATTTGTTTGTTTTGCATGTAAGATTGAAATATAATTTCACTGAGTGAACACCAGATGCAATATTTTCACGAGTGGCGTAGCCACGAGTGAAAATATAATAGCTGGTGTCCACGAATGAAATATATTTCAATCTTATATGTAAAACAAATAAATTTTCTTTTTATTTCATGCGTTTTAAGTAATTTTAAGTAATTTTTACTGATTTTGCCGCGTAACGTCGCGCATTCTCCTTCGTGACGTCATCACATCATGACGTCACATCAACAAATTTGAAATATAGTTCTGTTAAATTTCTCTAATTTTGTTACATTTTTAGCATAATGTATGGTGACATCGACTTTCTTTTCCGAAAAAAGCAAAATTTACGCATGACGGCATTTATTTTTGCCTGTTATTCCATTCAGTTTTGATTTTCTTTTCATCCGCATTCAGATATAGTCCGGCTACAGTGAAAATTATATTTTATAAATTTCACTAGTGGTTTATCAGAATATAATCATCTGATATATTACAATAAAACACTGGAAAGCATGAAATAAATTTTCATTTTAGTGATATGAAATTAAATATTTCATGAGTGAAATATGAAAATTTTTCATAACACAAGATGAAAGTAAATCCTGTATTTTTTTCTTTCATCAATATGAGACAATATTTCATTTATATAGAGGATATTTGTTTGTTTTGCATGTAAGATTGAAATATAATTTCACTGAGTGAACACCAGATGCAATATTTTCACGAGTGGCGTAGCCACGAGTGAAAATATAATAGCTGGTGTTCACGAATGAAATATATTTCAATCTTATATGTAAAACAAATAAATTTTCTTTTTATTTCATGCTTTTTAAGTGATTTTAAGTATTTTTCACTGATTTTGCCGCGTAACGTCGCGCATTCTCCTTTGTGACGTCATCACATCATGACGTCACATCATCAATTTTGAAATATAGTTCTGTTAAATTTCTCTAATTTTGTTACATTTTTAACATGATGTATGATGACATCGACTTTCTTTTCCTAATGAATCACAATTTACGTATGACGGCATTTATTTCTGCCTGTTATTCCATTTAGTTATGATTTTCTTTTCATCCGCATTCGGATATAGTCCGGCTACAGTGAAAATTATATTTTATAAATTTCACTAGTGGTTTATCAGAATATAATCATCTGATATATTTCAATAAAACACTGGAAAGCATGAAATAAAAGTATATAATATTTTTTAAATTATACTTGGAAGTAAAAATATTTTGTATAAAAATCATACCTGTACATTGAGCTGTTTTCTAGCATATCCTGAAAATCTACAAGAAACTCTAAATGTTTCTTTAAAGCAGTGTTCTTCCATTTTTCTTCTCTTTATTGAATGTGGATGTTTATTGGTCACAGAAATGTCCTTGGTTGCTATAATGCTAGGGCTGAGTGTCTGCTTCTTGACACTGGTGCCAGTTTCTGACATCTTAGTGTCATTTTGTAACAGTGGTACAGCTGCAGTGATTCCGGTTTCTGACATTTTGGTTTCATTATGTAACAGTGGTACATTTCTACTGATGCCAGTTTCTGGCACACTTCTGTCATTATCAGAATGTACCACAGCATTATTGGTGCCAGTTTCTGACAACTTTTCTCTTATGTCATAGCCTGGTGTATCAAGTTCTGACATTTTTCTTTTATTGCCAGTTTTTAAAATACCTGTATCAAGACTGTTCTCTAAAATTTTGACAATGTCTGTTTTGGGAACATCAAATCTCTGGTTTTCAGCATTTGTGTCATTACTTATTTCAACTCCTTTTTCTGTCACCTTGTCAGTTTCTGACATCACCTTGTCAGTGTCTGACACTAAATGATCCTTTTCCAGAGCAAATCCTGGCTTAAAATTTCTTGCTTCAGATTGTTCTGCTTTATTACCATTGTCAGTATTTGATGCAAAACATTCAACATTCTGTTGTTTATTGGTTACATGGATGCCTGTATCATACCTGATATCAGATACAGGATTCTGGTTGGAAGGTAGATTACATGTTGAGAGATGTTTCAATGTGGAAAGACATTGCTCCCAAATATCTTTATCGTTCAGTCTTGTATGCAATAATGTCAACAAACCTCGCCTGTCTAAAAAATGAAACAGAAATCAAGTCAACAGGCCAAGGTTGTCTTATGATGAAAAATAATAGATATTGAATAGACAAAGATCTTGGATGCACACTTTGTCTACTTAAAAGCTGAAAATTAGAAGTACAAGTAAAATATGCAGAATCATGTACAAAAAACTTTGTAAACAAACACCCACCCCCTCCACACATATCATTGGGGGATAGCATGGAAAATGAGACAAGGCTACATGTATCTACAGTCTGTACTGAAAAAGAAAGTAAATATAGTGGTCTTATTTTGGCACCAAAATTGCCAATGATATATCTAACTCTCTGTTTAGAACATTTAACAATTGGCCCCAACCTGCGTGCAAATAATTTAAGATTTCAAGTGTCTGCTTTTCCTGCAGCCTGGGTCACTGGGTTGCAATTGAATTGTGTCTAAGGTTAGAACGTACCTAATTTTGAAAAGTTTTCATGGAGGACCTGAACAAAAACCCTCTCTACTGTTCTCAATGACATCAATTTTAGCTTTACATCCAATCCACAGTTGTTCACAGTGAAATACAATTTTCCATCAGTAGAAATTACCTGAAATGTAAATCATGCAAATCTGAAATTAATTAAAAATTTAAAAAAAAATATCTGGATCTGGGTTAACTTGAATGTACCAAGAATCAATCAGTTCTGAAATTATTTGAAATATATTACAGTTTACATTAAAACACTCGACATTATATAAGACAGATTTTCCAAAGAGAACTAGGTTTATTATGTAAAAAGGCAGTTATTTTACTATATGTATTTACTGTACGGCTGTTTTGTGTTGCTAGGTGACAGGTGTTGTTTTCATGCCAAAATAATAGCCTGGGATAAGCTTATACATGCCTAACCCATTGAATAAGGGCACTTTGCTGTCATTAGAAAATGTTACAGGGGATATGCAGCTTTCAAATTATTATTCTTATTATTATTATTATCATTTGAATGTTTTGTAGAGATTTCTGAATAAGTTTGATTTGTAGTAGTTATAAAAAAATCTTTGAAAATAACGTATTTTTTTTCACAGACAAAAGCGTTAATTAATTGACCTCAGAATGTCACACACACAAAATCTTATTTAATATTGTAAGTACAAATGTTGTCCAAGCAGAAAGTCGGTGGGCTAAAATGACTTGAAAAGGCTAAATAAACTGATTTTCACAAATTTGATGTAGTACTTGCACTCAAACATCGCGTTCTTTAAATTAAACGTAAAAAAGGAATAATTCGCAAGGCTTTGCTGAGCTATTTCTGCATTGTAAGATGCACAATCTTTGCTGATAGAAAGGTTATAATACTAAGTCATACCAGACATAAAATACACATTATTCAGTTATGTGTTGCAACCCACATTTGATCAAAATAATTAGACTACTTGTTAACAAAACACAATTGTTCTATTTACCAAGGACTGGCTTTTGTATAGAGGTATGACTGTACTTGTATACTGCGCAATATCTTTGGGTAAATGGCAAGTATGGCTTATGTCACGGCTTATATAAAACCATAAAAGACAGGCATTAATCAAATATCTTTTGTAACATATGCCTATGTAAAAACCATCCGGACATTGCAACAGTCCGCACAGAGATATTATTTAAGTTAATTTATACATGTAATAGAAAGAGCATCGAAACACGAGGCTATCTGATTTATACGAGGGGGCGTAGCCCCCGAGTATAAATCAGATTGCCAAGTGTTTTGATGTTATCATAGTCAAACATAAAAACACGTTCCCTGTTGTCACAATATGAAACCCCGGAGAAAAGTAACCAATGCCTGTAATTAAGCTTGCCTTTGCCTTGGGAGAAGTGAATTGATTACAGGTATATATAAGCCATTTCCAACAGCCCTGCAGTTGTGTTAAACCTTTAGCAATCATGTGGTAATCGTAAGGTCCGAAGTTCAAGTCCCAGTCAGTGCTTTTTTTGGCATTGGTCTGTGATTTTTCAGGTTAACAATAACAATATACTAGGATAGTACATGTAGGCCTACCTCTACATCCTGACCAAATTGTTGACTTATTTCTTCTCTAACAAAATTTTCAGTCCCTCTTCCTGCTGTACAATAAAACTGCATCCTTTCTTATGTCTGAAAATTTGAAAAAAGTTCGGCAACATTAGTTCATAATTATGTTGACAGAAAATAGAGAGCTCAATAGAATCATAGATGATAAGTATATGTATGATGAACTAAGCTAAAATACAACAACAAAAAGCTGACGAATGTCACTTGGTAACTGATCAGTGATCTATGCCAAAAAGTATCAATTTCATTTTCACCAATAATGTGCCGTAAATGGCGTATGTAAATATAAGGGAAGTAACTCTGTAGTCTCTTTAGAAATCCCGGGATCGCATATAGAAAAGCCGGGACCCGGGATCGTATTAAACATATAGTAATCCCGGGAATTGACCACCTACTCTCGGTGTATTATTATCATTATCATTATTATTATTATTATTATTATTATTATTATTATTATTATTATTATTATTATTATCATTTGAATGTTTTGTAGAGATTTCTGAATAAGTTTGATTTGTAGTAGTAGTTATAAAAAAAATCTTTGAAAATAACGTATTTTTTTCACAGACAAAAGCGTTAATTAATTGACCTCAGAATGTCACACACACAAAATCTTATTTAATATTGTAAGTACATGTAATGGCAATGGAAGTCGTTGTATATTGGGCATCAAGAGTGAATAAGAAAAAGTAAACACAAGTTGCCAATCAATTCAGCCAGAAAAGCCGGGATCGTATTAAAAATATAGGGATCCCGGAAATTGACCAGTCTAAGAAGATGTTTCTTCAGATAAGCCGGGATCGTATTAAAACATATAGGGATCCCGGGAATTGACCAGTTCAAGAATATAGTTTTCAGAAAAGTCGGGATCGTATTAAAAATAATATGGATCCCGGAAATTGACCAGTCTAAGAAGATGTTTCTTCAGATAAGCCGGGATCGTATTAAAACATATAGGGATCCCGGGACTTGACCAATTCAAGAATATAGTCTTTGATTTTTCCAATTTATTATAAGTATTCAGTGTGATTTTAAGTTTGTTAATAAATAGCTCTAAATATATTTATATCCTCAGTTAAATTAATTTAACGTTCATTACATACAATAAAAAATAAAAAGTTAACGTTTAATGGCCTTTCATTACGACAATAATCAACACAAATATAGTTTATTAGTTTCCCCTCTATATCTAATACGATCCCGGATCCCGGGCGTATTCTTGAACTGGTCAATTCCCGGGATCCCTATATGTTTTAATACGATCCCGGCTTATCTGAAAAAACATCTTAGAATGGTCAATTTCCGGAATCCCTATATTTTTTAATACGATCCCGGCTTTTCTGGCTGAATTGATTGACAACTTGTGTTTACTTTTTCTTATTCACTCTTGATGCCCAATATACAACGGAAATACACCCTCTTTAGACTCTATACGCCTATACTGAGCTGTGGTCTACATCTCCAAAAATCAATGTAAAAAATAAATGTTATACATTACGTATATAAATCATTAAATGTAAATAGCTTCCAAATGACACTTCGTTGCTAATGATATTATAAATCTTTGTGTACAACGGATGACATTGAATTTGTAGTTCTGAGCTTAATTAATGAGATTGCCGAACGATGAATGTAGAAATGCCAACGCAGCTAAAAAAACAAAACAAACACGCGATAAATCTGTCTGGATTTAATTCTGTATTAACAACCGTGATTTTTCGTCCCTTAATGTTCGTTTTTCAGTTTCTATTTGAAACTACGGTAGCTGCTACGTCTCCCCAGATTTGCTGAAGGTCTGAACAAATAACTTGTTTGATCATTACCTCATCCTGTTTTTATTGTGCGAATCGACCCCAAAATGAAAAGCGTTTTTCACTCAAATCGGACGAAGAATTGCATTAACTATCGATTTGAGTAGTTTAGTTCTGAATATATTTGTTTACTATCCTTTGCAGATTTTTCCACTTTAAGTTCTATGATCTGTGTAAAATTGTCAAATTTTATGTATTTTAATAGCCTTATTGATGTACCTGGAGAGGACATAAGATAACGTTACGTATTTTTTCGGATAGAACCTGCTATAGGCAGATATATAAATTAACATTTTTTTCCTTCCCTTTACCATAACATTGCTGCACATCATTATATAAGGCTGTCAATTATGCAAATGGCCGTTTCTTATTTGGTATGCAACATTTTGACATGTAGGTAATCAAATAGCCATTTCATATAAATCGCATTAAACAACAACCGTTTTACACAGTATTCGCAGAGACATAGATAACATCTATGTCTCTGGTATTCGACATTTCATTGTGTTGCCAGATACTTGTATAGTCGGGTATTTTTGTAAAATTAAATCTAATTAAAGGACAGACCAATATCGACATATTTATAAATTTAATGTTGTCCAAGCAGAAAGTCGGTGGGCTAAAATGACTTGAAAAGGCTAAATAAACTGATTTTCACGAATTCGATGTAGTACTTGCAGTCAAACATCGCGTTCTTTAAATTAAACGTAAAAAAGGAATAATTTGCAAGGCTTTGCTGAGCTATTTCTGCATTGTAAGATGCACAATCTTTGCTGATAGAAAGGTTATAATACTAAGTCATACCAGACATAAAATACACATTATTCAGTTATGTGTTGCAACCCACATTTGATCAAAATAATTAGACTACTTGTTAACAAAACACAATTGTTCTATTTACCAAGGACCGGCTTTTGTAGAGAGGTATGACTGTACTTTTATACTGCGCAATATCTTTGGATAAATGGCAAGTATGGCTTATGTCACGGCTCATATAAAACCATAAAAGACAGGCATTAATCAAATATCTTTTGTAACATATGCCTATGTAAAAACCATCCGGACATTGCAACAGTCCGCACAGAGATATTAGTTAATTTATACATATTATATAATATTGTAACAAGACCCGCATGTTCCCTATTGAACATAGGCGGACCGATCTGAACGTTGTTTACCGGCTATTTAACACCAGTTTGGAGTTTTGGTGTATAGGAATTGACCACTCAGGCCTAGGCCTGAGTGGTTATTTTTTTTCGCATCAAATGTACGTTCGTATTATGTCTGGATACGCCCTCGTGATATAATTCTTCGCAACTGAACTCTAAACAGTGATTTTATTTAGTGATAAAATCACTGTTTGGGATATATATTATTTCTTAAGTAATATCACTTAAATGCAACATAATAGTCATCAATGATTTTTTTGATGGATGACGACTTCCCAGATGCGCTTCCATTCATTTTTTTTTCAGACAGATAAGCTCTTGTGGAAGAACCACACATAGGTCTACGTGCAGACATTCCAAAAGTTTTAAAACAATTAATAAATAACTTTGTCTTGCAAAATGTTTATCAAAACATTTTAATGTTACTCGTTAGTTTCGAACTGCTTTTGATATAATTGTTGTTCTTTCGTTGATGTCCACCAGATGGTATAAATTAAGTGGTATAACGAATATATGTATTTGACATCCAAAGGAAAATAAAGTTTATTTCGGTGAAATTATGATTTAACATATGTCTAACAATCACAATCAATATAAAATACCTATTGATATACAATTATTACCAAATCAGAATTAATGTCATCAGGTATACATTTTGTATTTTCGGTGTCTACAATCATAAATTACCTACTGTTTTCTTATATATCTATAAATTTAATTAATTTAGGTGGACTTTAAATTCGATATATTGAAAGGATCTGGGTCAACAACTGCCAGCATTAGATTACATTTTCTTTACATCGAAATACCGTATCTGTTCTGTGTATTCTTACTATTGTGTTCGAGTCCTTATCCGAAGTTTGACGGAAAGGTCCAAGAAGATGCAACAGGTCCAGGATACTAGTATATTTATCTGTTTACTACACTTTATATATTATATAGCGTCTTAATCAATGTCCAAGATAACATAAGCGCCAAAATCGAAAAATACAAAAATTTCAGGTATACCGCACTATGCTGGCTAAATTTCGGTTAAATCCAACATCGACATGGATTCTTCATTTTTCATTCGCCCTGAAGCCACTTTATTTATCTAAAATGATGCCAATTTTCTTAATAGCGTTTTATCATTTAGCAATTTTAATTTCTAATTACAACTCTTGTTTGGGAAGTTATAAAATATTGGTTGTTGTTTGATATTAAACTATCGTTCATTTGTCATCCAGACAGTGAAAACTCTATCAGTACAGTACAGTGCGGAATATTTGACGGATATTTAAAGAAACCATTGAAAAGTAGTCAGAACTGTTACTGAGAATCTCCAACTTTTGTCCTAGTTTCAACATTTCTCGGCATTTTATAAGTTTTAAAACTGCATATTTCAAATGCACAAAGCCAGAAAAGTCCAATTTACGCTAGTCTGATAAAAATGGTGATAATCTGAAATAAGGCTGACATTAATAACGGACATTTCCTGTGTCTTTGTGCTTTGGACTTGAGTCCAAAGACTTCACTTTGCTCTATAGCTATTCCAGGTGTACAACTACTCCTTTGTAAATGGTTGCAGCAGTGTTGTAAGGCAAGGTGCTGAGATCCCTTGTTGCAGATTGAATTTAAAAAAAGCAATAGCTGTTGCAATTGTTAGAGAAAGACGTTGATCATATCAAATGGAATGTTTTATTTATTCTGTTTATCAAGCGCCTTGTGGCAGAAGGTGAGCTTTCAAGTCGGACCGCTTGCTTCTCAACTACCTTTCTGGAAGACTTGTAAAACGATTTTCATGGGTAAATGCAGGATACATTTTGATCTAGCTGGGGATTCGTGCAAAAAAGCACGCGACTGTTTGCGTTACTGAGCAAGAATAGTTTGTCTTGAGTTTACTGGCATTTTAAATAGTTATAAGAGAACGAATACTTGAAATTAACAGTTATATATCTTTGGTTACTTTTCCATAATATTCCTTAAGTTGTTTCGCACTATATTACTAGACTATATTATTATTCCTTTGTTATTTATCTTGATGCCATCAACTGATGAAGCTTTTAAGCGAATCATGTTTTGATAAATTGTGTCTGTTTTTGATATATTTATTCTATTCACTATATAAGGAACATTTATAAATACAGCATGTTTGTTCGTGTTGGTCTCGCCACATGAAGTCCTCGTTTTCTGGATTTTTAGTGGCAACAGAGACTTGTTAATATTGCACATTGTCCTTATACAACAATATTAAATCATGTTGGTCATTATATGTTACACCCGTCAGGGGGCTTGGGGGAGGCGGACAAAGAGTGATCACAGCAGCTTAAGACGAATTCTGAATTATTCCGGCCCGTCGAGGAGGGCCCGCAACATCTTC